TGCTACTGCGCCTGCGCGGCGATAGCATTGACTGTGGAGTTCCCGCTATCGTAGCGGGTTGCGGAGGGCCTTGCGGGACGGCGAAAACGATCTACGAAAACTCCCTAATGTCACGGGGGTTCTTTGATATCACGAACAACGGCCAATGAAAATGAAAGGAAAGTTCGGCTCAGATCTCCTAAAAATAGGGAACTTCACTTAGAGGGAAGGTACCGTGGGGTAAATTCGGGAACTTGGGGAATCCTTGAAGGCACTCTGGGAACCCGCGGTGTAGAGGAGGAGCAACACGACCACACGCTCGATTATGCGTACACTTTCTCTAATTTGCCCCGTGGCCGCATGGTGCACGCTCGAAGTGCTCCGCGCGTCTGCTTCGTAGCTCGACACTGCATTGCGCAAAGCGCCATTCGATCCCGGTGCAAAGCAAGCTCCCCGGCGGCGTTTTTGTTGTTAGGGCCGGCCGGCCCTCCGAAAGGTCACATGGTGTCGGGAGAGCCGCCGCCGCGCCGACGTGGCATCGACCGCGGGACGGCGGGATGCCGCTGCGCTACTTCGAAGCCGTCTGCCGCCCTCCGAATGGCCACAACGCGGGGCCAGCTCATCACTCTGGGGATGCCCTGGCTGCTTCCACGAAACGAGGGCGAAGGCGCCAGGAGCATTTCCGGTTTTCCCCCTATTTCTGTCTGGCACGAAAATCGTCCATCGGTTTGCCTCTATTCGGATTTAAGGTGTCTGGAGTAGTGCACTGCACGAGCCCGGGCTAGCCCCAAGGCCGAGCCGGGCCCGTGCTCGGCCTTCGGGTAGCACCCACTTTCTCGGGCAGGGCTCGCCGGGTCGGGGCTGGGCAGTCGTGTACCGCAAATTTTAAATTGTTGATATACAAAAAGTGTGCTCATTGATCGTTTCGGTTCAATGAAAACAAACGAGGGTACAACATGGTAGTCGCAGGGTACAACACGAATGTCTTTTTCCTCTGCTTTTCAAACTAAAAAAAAAAAAAGTGTTTTGCATTTTGTGGAGGGGGTCTTACTATGCCACCAAAGATAAGCTAATCACCATAGATAATTTTTATGCTTATACAGCCTTTTGAAGATGCGCTAGCGCGATTGTGATTGTTTCTTCACAAAACCATGTAGAGGAAAGTTTTCTCTGAAACGAACTGAACGAGGAAAAGTCCGATATCTCTTCAAGATAGGCGTACAGTAAATAAAATATTGCCCACTTTTCTTTTTTTCGAAATCATTTATGAACTGCATATTTCGCCCATATTCTAAAAATACATCGTCTAAGTCGGAATATTTATTGTGTAAAAAAAAAAAAAAAAAAATCTCGGTCTGAGTTTAAAAGAAATTTAAATCAAATTATGCTTAGAAAGTTTTGCTCGTGTACATAATCTGTTGGGCTCGGGCCAGGCTCAGGTATAGACGCTTTGCAGCGGCTGTGCATGGACGCCGCCATAACTGACCTTCAGTTTTTGTTTCCTCTTATGTCGTTTATTTCACTTCATCATTACCATAGCAGGCCAGGTTATTGCCATATTAGATTCAACTGTGTCCTTTTCTAAAGCATCGGCCTTTGTAGAGGATCGTGAACTACCGTTTCAGTTGCTCGGCATCTCGGTAAGACAAGAGAAGGTCAACAATGGCGGCTGTAATTTGGCGCGTGTGTAAAGCGTCTATACACGAACTCATCTCTGTGACGTCACGGCGCGGTGGTGGCGCATCGGTCGCACTTCCGGTCTGGGGCTGTGGGCAGAAGTTCCCATGCCAGACGTGTATTCCTGCTTTGTTTTGAAAGGAACCAAACAAAAACCTGCCTTTTCGTCATAACGCCGCGACTGGGGTCGTACCAAAAGTGTCGAGAAAGGTTTGAAGGTCAGTTTTCACGTGCTCGGTTCGTCTGAGAATCTGGACATGTGATGTGCCGTGAGAAGGGAGAAGCAGACGCTGTCGGACAACGATTGCTTGGGCGGGAAGCACTTTGGGTTGAATTCACGGATACCCTTGGTCATCGGATTTATTTGTTTTGTTCCAACATGAACGCCAGAAAACCGTCAAGTTGTGCGGACGTCCTGCGGACTACGTTCAGTGCGTCTTCAAGTTCAAACGGCCGCCTGATCGCTCGAACTGTCGTCTGCTCTTTCAAACATTTCTGATTGTCGTCTGCTCTCTTAGCCGACGCCGCCCCGCAGACCAAAAGTTTACCCGGTACTTGCGATAAGAAGTAAGTGCAGGCCCAAAATACTTAAATTTGAAGGTTGGTAAGCAGGCTCGATGCAAACGGTAGATACAAGGAGATGTTGATCATTGTTACACCGTGGCCATCATCGACTTGTGATGCCTAATTCACTTGATCCGATTCTGCTTGCGATTTTTAGTATCGACGTCGACCTCTCATCTACGCTTCACGCTTTTGCAGTCCGAGCGGCGTCGCGACTGAAAATTGCGAGCGAAATCTCATCATGCGAATCAGGCTTTAGCGTACATACTGCGGGTTCCACGCGGAATGAATCGCCACATGTCAGATTATTCACGCGAAGTTTTGCGGCGTAATGAGCCTCGGTAATTTCTCTGACGCCGCTCAAGATAGTCAGACATCGCCAGGAAGACGGAGAATCAACAATTCGAACGCGAAAAAGGGCAGGGGGACTCACACCGACGCCGACAACATCTCATTTCAATGGTTTGTTTATGGGCGACGGCGAGCTTCATGCCCACACCCCCATCGCGCATGCGCGGCGCCGGTGGCGTCCGCTAGGGGCGCTCCGGTTTGTTTGTAAACATGAGTTGGTGTATATACTTAAAAAAAAAAAAAAAAGTTTGTCAGGCTCGGGCCGGGCTCAAGCTTCTGTCCAAAAATCCTGCCGGTCCCGGGCAGTGTCTTTACCGGGCCGTGTCGGGCCAGGCCTAGAAATGAAATATTCTGTCGGGCTCGGGCCGGGCCCGGGTCGTGGCTCTACTGGGCCCGGGCCGTGCCTCTACCGGGCCGGGCCTAGAAATTCCGGCCCGTGTAGTGCTCTAGACTGGAGTGCACGTTTTGTTTCGAGCTGATTCTCGACATCGACGTAAGCTGCCTTCCTCCACGCATTACTGAATGGCTGGCGCCCCCGGGCATTAGCTTCATTTGGAGTAAAGCTCGGCCAGCTGGGTTTCCAATCTTACGAAGATTTCACGAATAATGCGGCTGGTTAGAAATCTATGCGGAGCGCAACTTGTTCGATAATTTTAGAACGCCAAAAATGTATTAGCTGATTAAAAAAAATGGGTAGATCTTAAAGGGTCTCTAGAAAGAAAAAAAAAGTTTTTCTTTTTAACAATCTGGTTGGGACACGCGTGTCAAAAAAAAAAAAAAAAGTTTACGCGCGGGGAGTTCCACGACTGAGGTAGTCTTATAGTAACGTTCCGGAATGACTATCTCGGTCATGAAGGCGAAGCCAATAAAGCCGATCCACCTCCACCCCACGCGCCCGAAGTGCCGAGAGAGAAAAGAGGAAAGGAAGTGACTACGGACTAAATCGCGCCTCGCGCCGTCAATATTGCTATGTATTTTTTTTTTTTTTTTCTGTCGCATATATTTTTTTTTTACACGCGTGTCCCAACCAAACTTTAAAAAAAAAAAACCGTTTTTTTAGGGTTTTTTTGGGGGGTTTTGCAATCCTATTTAAGCGTCTACCTTTTTTTTTCTTTTCTTTTTTGTTTTTTTGTTTTTGTGTTTCTTGTTGTTCGGGCAGCCCAGCGGGCACGGAGAGAGTAACTAAATATCAGTGCGTCATATTTTAACCGGACGACGCGGAAACCTCCTCCTCCTACAGGGGCGCCCCGTGGTGTGGAACGCGCGCGGCATGTGGCGAAATCTTGACGTCATTGGTCCTGGTCAACTGAGGAGAAAGAGCTGCCCCGTTTCCGGGCAGCTCTCTCTCCTCGGCCTCACCTCCTTTCCCCGTGTTCCCCCCCCCCCCCCCCCCCCCCCCCACACACACACACACACACACACATTTCTCAGTCACCGCGGTGCGCGGGCGCGGGAAAAGGGGAGACAGAGGATTAAGGACGTCACGAAGAAGGTTATTTTTTGTTTGTTTTTGTAATGTTAATTATGCCTATAACTTTTAAAATAAAGCGAATTTCGAGAAAGGAAAAAGTGAACTAATTTACTAAGTTCAGTGCACTCAGATTTGGAGCAAATTAAAAAAAAAAAAAACAGTAAAAAAGTCACTGCAGGGCCCCTTTAAGGCAGCTTGCTTTGAGGTCTACCCACTATCCTTTCAATCAAAGCCAATCAAAGCTTGGCGTTGTTTTGCCGTCACCGCAACTCCTGCGCAAGAAGACGCCGACTTGCTCTTCGCATAGCCTAAAGCAGGAGTATGCAGTAAAGTATGCAGCCTCCCACGAGACAGTTTCATCTGGCCCCCAACACGACACCACAAAAGCCCAAGCGCCCCCCCCCCCCCTCTTTTTTTTTATAGCTTTTTCACACAAACTTAATACCTCAATCCCCCTTGCGCCTTGCCGCCCAGCCCCCTCTGTGTCGAGTTCGTGACGACTTGGCCTGTCGCTGCGAACGGCTGCCAACCAGTGGCGTAAAGGATGCAATCTTCTCCTTAGAAAATGTTTTTTTTTTTTTTAAGTGCGGATTTATTTACATACGAGCCTCTTCTTGTTTTATCCTGCACGGGCATTCAAAAATGCGCCCAACGTATCTATAATTGGCTGAAATGGGGAAAGGAGAGTGGGGCAGCAGTATTAGGATTGCTTCCTTCATTTTCTGTTAATTATCATAATCCACCAGCATTGCTTCAGACACGAGTTATTTAGCTAAGATACAGGGGCGCTATTGTGCCATGGGCCAACAACATGGGCATGGGCTTTCAGATTTGTCACCATTCAGAGAAGAGGCTCTGTGGCTAGAGTGTAAATGTTCAGTGGACTCTATTCATGCTCAATCCAACCAGTATTATGTTGCAAATGTCGCCGGTTTGTAGGCTCCAGCTATTTTTGATGGCCTTTGTTTCCGGGTTCTCCTTGCAGAAGCGGTCCAGTCTTTTGATCGGCCGTCTCAGCTGCTGTGCGCCTACTCGCGCCAGTCCACAGTCAAGATCTACAGGGTGGGAGGGGTGCCAGCTGTGTCCTACAAGGAGAGCAGCAATGGACTGGACGAGGACGCGCGACACGGCGGCAGCAGTGCAGAGCAGAACATGGCCACCGGTGAACTGCTCGACTCCAACACAACCGAACGCTGTCCCCGCAACTCCCACTTCTGCTACTCCCTCTGGCAGGAGGACCCGGTCAACAAGACGATCATCGTTGTCACTCAGGGTTAGCACTGGCACAACTGTGCAAGGGATTGTGTGTATCTAATAGATTTTATGGGATATTGACAAACTATTTTCATATGCAGGTATTTCTCCAAAAATCCCCCTAAAAAAAAGAGAGAGAAACAATTTTGAACTTTACAGAAAACAAAGCCTCTCAAGATCAGTTCTTGTAGCTTCCACCTCCCTTCCTTTTCCAATCGGGTGCAGTGAGGCAACGCATATTTCCCAATATTATAAAATTTACAAGCTGTGATAGCTTTTTGATATTCATGCAAGTAACAGCGAAAGATATATATTTTACTGTCAATGACAAACAGTTGAAATTATACAGTGTGCAAATAGTTCTTCTAGTCAAATAGCAGAGTGGCATTTGTAGCTTCATCACTGCAGACAGATTAATTATCTCTGGCTTTTCTTTGTGCTACAGATTATATGAATGGCATAGTGCTGTTCAATTAGAAAAGCTATTTGTATGGCTCTAATTTTAATTCTAGAGCAGTGAAACACATTATGGTGCTTATTTTTCACTCATGAAGGAAGTGCCTCACTTTGTAGCTGAGTAACTGGGAAAGTGGGGCTCAAAACAATGAGAGGAGGGAAGGAAAGCTGGAAGGAAGCAGGGGTCGACCATAGTACATTCTACTACTGTACTACACTTCCATACTATACTACCATAGTCAAAACAGTGGTCCTTATTGAAGAGACCACCCAGAAATATGTGGTGCCCGACTGTCCGCTTGACAAATTATGTAAATCCAGAGTAGGTCACATGAAAGAGTATCCATCAGTAGAAGTTCATTGTGGTTTACTTTTGGGGATTTTAAAATGGAAAGATGACAGGAGAATAACAAAATACGTGTCCACATTGTTTCTTGTTCGTTTTATCGTTTTTTTTCCTGGGGGGGGGGAGGGGGGGGATCTGCGCTCGCGGAATGGATCGTGCCACGTCCAAGACGAATGAAGTGCCCGAGTTTGCCCGAGCATCCATCGAAAAAGCCCCACAATTCCCCGTGCTGCGCGCTGCCGTGTGGGAGAGCCTCGAGGTATCTTGTGATTGTCCTGATGCTTCCCGTCAGGATTTGTTCAGGGCAACGGGGTATTGTAATTCTGGGTCACGGCACAGGCCACTGTTTTGGTTTCCCAATCAGACCCCTTGGAGGAAGGTATAGGTTGTGATTTGAAAGCTGTGAAAGCTATGAACGCTTAAATTTCATAGGAGGCGTCTCACCACTCCACATCGTGCAGCCGCAGGGAAAATTGGTAGAATAGGATGAAAAAAAAAAGATGTTTACAATCCCCCATAACACCGAATTAGAGCGCAGCTCTTGAGGAGGAGAAGGGGAAAGTACGGAGAGGAGGGTATGCCCTTCCTCCCCTCCCATTTAGCGGGAAATTTTCGCTAAATATCCCGCTAAATTTTGCGGAAACCCCCCCTAAATTTAGTGGGGAAATTTTCCGAAATTTTCCGCTAAATTTAACAAGGAAATGTTTCCGGAAAATCTAGCGGGGAATTTTTCTGCTAAATTTAGTGGGAATATTTTTTGCTAAATTTAGCGGGAAATTTGTTTTGCTTATTTTGGCGGGGAAATTTTCCCCTAAATTTAGTGGGGAAATGTTTTTGCGAGATGTAGTGGGGAATACTTCCCCCTAAATTTAGTGGGGATATTTTTTCGCTAAATTTAGTTCTGCTAAATTTAGCGGGGAATTTTTCCGCTATATTTAGCGGGGAATTTATTCGCTGAATTTAGCAGGGAAATTTAGCGGTGAATTTTTTTGTTATATTGAGCGGGAAAATCTTTCCGTTAAATTTAGCCGAGAAATATTTTCCGTTCAAATTTAGCATGGAATCTTTTCTGCTATATTAAGCGGGGAATTTTTTCCGCTATATTTAGTGGGGAATTTATTAACTAAATTTAGCGGAGAATTTTTTTAAGCAATGGTGAGGGTGCACGCTAGCTGGTCTAAATTGAGCATAGTTGTAAACCTGTTCTGTGTTTGTCCCTTGTCCGTATCCCCAGTCTCGGTTTTACAACTATGCTGCATTTTTTTAAAGTTTAGCGGGGAAATTTTTTCTCTAAAACATACGGGCACTTTTCCCGCTAAATTAAGCGGGGAAATTTTTCTGCTAAGTTTACCGAAGAATTTTTTTTCTGCTAAACTTAGCGGGGAAGTTTTTCCGTTCAGTTTAGCGGGGAAATTTTCCCGCTAAATGTAGCGTCAAATTTTTTCACTAGATGTAGTGGGAAATGTGTTTCGCTATATGCAGCGGGAAATTTTTTCCTCTAATTTTAGCGGGGAATCTTTCTTGCTAAATTCAGCGGGAAATTTTCCCGCTAAATTTAGCGGAAAAAGTTTTATGCTAAATTCAGTGGGAATTTTTTTCGATCAATATAACAGGGAATTTTTTCCACTAAATTTAGTGGGGAAATGTTCCCGCTAAATTAAGCGGGGAATTTTTTCCGCTAAATTTAGCAGGAAAGTTTTTCTGCTAAAGGTAGTGGGAAATGTTCTGCTTATTTTAGCGGGGAAATGTTTTTGCTAGATGTAGCGTGGAATTCTTCCCCCTAAATTTAGCGGTGAATTTTTCAGCTAAATTGAGCGGGGAAATCTTTTTGCTAAATGTAGTGGGGAAATTTGTTCTGCTAAATTTAGCATAGAATTTTTTTCCACTAAATTAAGTGGAGAAATTGTATTGCTAAATTTAGCGGGGAATTTATTACTAAATTAAGTGGGGAATTTTTTTTTCTAAATTTAGCTGGGAAATGTTTTCGCTAAATTCAGCGGGAAAGTTTTTCGCTAGGATTACCGGGGAATTTTGTTGCCTAAATTTAGCGGGAAAGTTTTTCTGCTAAATTTAGTAAGGACCCCACTAAATGTGGCGTGAATTTTTTTTTCGCTAGATGTAGCGAGAAATTTTTCTTCTAAATTTAGCGGGGAATTTTTTCCGCTAGCGGGGCTAAGTTTAGTGGGGGAATTTTTTCTGCTAAACTTAGCGGGGAAGTTTTTGCGCTCAATTTAGCGGGGAGAGTTTCCCGCTAAATGTAGCATCAAAATTTTTTATTAGATGTAGTGGGAAAATGTTTTCGCTATATGTAGCGGGAAATTGTTTCCGCTAAATTTAGCGGGAAACCTTTTTCGCTAAATTTAGCGGGGAATCTTTCCCGTTAAACTTAGCGGGGAATTTTTTCCGCTAAATTCAGTGTGGAATTTTTTCCGCTCAATATAACAAGGATTTTTTTCTCTAAATTTAGGGGAGAAATGATCCGGCTAAATTAAGGGGGGAATTTTTTCTGCTAAATTTAGCGGGGAATTTTTTCACTAAATTTAGCAGGAAAATTTTATCGCTACATCTAGCGATAAATTTTTTCCGCTTACCTTAACGGGGAAATTTTCCCCCTAAATATAGCTAAATGTTTTCGCTATACTTTTTTGGCAATGCAGTGGAAGGTATAGGCCCGCGTCCCCTCTCCCATTTTGATTGTATGCAGGCTCTTCTCCTCCCCCATTTCCGGGGAGAGGAGGAGTGCCCACGCACACTCAAAATGGGAGAGGGGACGTTGGCCTGTACCTTCCCCTGCATTGCCAAGAAAAGTTGTCGCGGAGTATAGATGTAGCGTGGAATAGTTTCCCTTAAATCTAGCGGTGAATTTTTCCGCTAAATTGAACGGGGAAATTTGTTCTGCTAAATTTAGAGAGGAAATTTGTTCCACTAAATATAGCATGCAATTTTTTCTGCTAAATTGAATTTTTCCTCCTAAATTCTGCGGGGAATTTATTTGCTAAATTAAGTGGGGAATTGTTTTTCTAAGTTTAGCGGGGAATTTTGTTGGCTCAATTTAGCAGGGAAGTTTATCTGCTAAATTTAGCGGGGAAATTTTCCCACTAAATGTAGCTTCAAAGTTTTTTCGCTAGATGCAGCGGGAAATTTTTTTCGTTATATGTAACGGGGAATTTTTTACGCTAAATTTAGCGGGAAATCTTTCCTCTAAATTTAGCAGGGAATTTTTCCTGCTATATTTAGCGGGGGAATTTTCCAGCTAGATTTAGTGGGGAAATTATTCAGCTAAATTTAGCAGGGAATTTTTCTACTAAATTTAGCGGGGAAATTTTTCCCCTAAGCTTAGCAGGGAAATTTTTCCCCTAAGCTTAGCAGGGAATTTTTTCTGCTAAGTTTAGCAGGTAATGTTTTTCCACTAAATTTAGCCGGGAACTTCGGCTGCTAAATTTAGCGGGAAATTTTTTGTGCTAAATTTAATGGGGAATTTTTCCGCTAAATTTAGTGGGAAATTTTACACTCAATTTAGCGGGGAAATTTACCCATAATACAATGGCGGTGACATCATTCGTGACCCTCGTGACGCGTCACGTGTGACATCATTATGGCAAACGTCAAATAATGCAACGCGCAATTACGCCGACGGCGACGCCACTCAAGCTGCAGTTGAGTGCCTAAGAGCTGCGCTCTAAAAATACATGTCTTCCAACGGCTACATCAAAACTTGAGCGATTTCAATTTTCTTTTTTTTTTTTAAGTTTTGTTGTGGGACAGTTAGTATAACTAATGGCAAAAACGCCTATGTAACGTGGGAGACATGCATATAATAAATCTAAGGCAGGGTTATACCCACCGGTTAATATATATTTTTAGTTTGAATCTTGAAAATTGGAAACATAGCTAAAATAAGCTCCATACTTCAGAGAATTGGGAATCTAACAAAAATAAACTCCGATAAACTCCAAATATTCGGCAAAATATAAACTCCGAAAAGCACCCTCCGAATTTCACGAGAAATAAACTCCGAAAACATGGAATCCTACTTATAAGCTTACCAAAGGAACTCTCTGGCCCTCAGGAAATCACCCAAGGGCCAGAGGGGCCCTCGTGTAATTTCACACTGAGGGCCTCTCTGGCCTCCAGCGTGCTACACTAGTGCCGTCTGTTTGAGTCGCTCAAGCAGTGACATCGCATGGATGTTTCAGCTCTTCTTATTGCTTCATTCTTATTACCTGGCCCTGTCACTGGAGTACACTGGTTAAACAAGACGAGTAGTGAACAAACTATTAATTAAAACAGCAGGAAACTTCAGACATTCTTAGCTTCTGGTGTGGCAACTTGCGACAAACTGCCACAAAGCACCACCCGAAACATTACTTTTAAATAAAAATGTAAAAAAAAAAAATGCTGTAAAGATTGCATATGCATACTCTGCGCCTCTCGTATGTCATCAAAGGTTTAGTGAAACCCGATCATGCAGGTTGCTGGGGGACATCAGGGGAAGTGGACTGCCAGTCATCAAACTGCACCTCCACCAAGAAGCCTTCCAAGGTGCTCAACAACACCATGTTCTGCTGCTGTTTGGGGGACTTCTGCAACGTCAATGTCACCGATGGTTATGTGCCTTCGGACGACGACAACACGGAGATAGACCTTCGTAAGTGCTGTCTAATGCTGGTGGCGAGACAAAGAAGCGAATCTCATGCAACTTGCCTAGCAACTGCTGTTCACTTTTGCACGAAAACATTTTTTTAGCATTCCTGTCGGAGTTTGGTAAGCCTTTCCAACCATGGTATGAGTGCAGTACTTTCAACCCCCTTAAGTAGCGCTTATTTTGTTCAGTGCAGAACACAAACACTAAGCGTGCACTGTCTCTTAAAAATCTTGCCTCAAGCTTTGGTCTCGAAAGAAAGAGGAAACCTAATTGGGAACAAGACTAGCATGGCTGCCTTGCCAAAGACTGCATGACGAATGATCCTATTTCAAAACACTTAGCCATTTGTTTTATTTAAAAATTTTAGAAAACTTTCCTACAGTGCATGCCAACGTTACTAGATTACCTCAGTTTTGGAACTCTTGCAGAGGGTGGGTCTCTCCCTTGCTCACTTCAGTTCACCTCCTGCATTTGAAGTGTTGATTTTTGTTTGAACACTGTGTCTTCCATAGAGTATGGTGAAGTGCCATCTAGACGCTGTGCTTCGAGACACACATTTCATAGAACACACTGCAGTCAACATAACAGCTGTCTCCCCAAAACGGTGGCGTGTCGAACGACGGGAGGCAAGCCGTAGGGAGAGAGGGGGTACTGCTTGCGCAAGTTGAGTTGAGTTGAGTAACTGAAGGTTGAATTCCACTGGTCGTTTCGGAGCGCGCCAAGATCAGTAGACCAGATCCGAGATGGAGCATGCGATCTGAACGAAGTCGTCCTGCCTCCAGAACCTGAGTGGAACATGGTCATTCCTCGGGATCAGCGGATACCTTCCCGTCATTCACCTTCCTAAGGATCCCCTTTCCTCGGTTCTGGATCTCGAAACACATGTTTTGCAGTTGCGGCACTAACCACACATGTTCAACGCACGAGCGAATTTAATCATGATGTGAAAGATACGTCTCGATAAGCTATGTGCATCAGCATAGGCCCCTTGCTTCTTCATCGAAATACTCGTGAAGGGTGGCCAAGTGTCTTGGTTCTAGGCCTTTTCTGCGGAGGTTCGAAAAAGCAGCCAAATTCATGCGGGACATACAAGCATTCCTCGTCGTTGCTGCTATGCTCGGCGACAACTTTTCTTGGCAAAGCAGTGGAGAGGAGGAGAGCCTGCGCACAGCTTTATTCAGCGTTCAAAATGGGAGAGGGTTTGCGTGCGCATACCTTTCACTGCATTGCCAAGAAAAGTTGCCGCCAAGTGTAGTCGAGCCACTGCTGCTGGAGAAGCTGCTCGAGTAACTTGACGACAAACTGTCATAAAGCAGCAGCAACAGTAAAGCGGGCGGCACTTTGCGAGCGGCAATTGAGAAATCTTGCAAGGCGAGATTCCCGGCAAAAAAATAAGTCACACGTGCGCGCTGAGTGCTGGCCAGGCTGGCTTCCGGTCGAATCCACCAATATCGGCGGAGTGACTTTTTGCTTATCCGGATTGAGATCTGGAGTGGGAGCTGATCTAAAACGACGAGCGGAACACGTCTGTCACGATTTTGATCGCCCAGTGAAATATGCGTGCTCCAAAATAACTGGTGGAATTTGCCGTGAGCTAATCTAGTAACATTGGGATATGCTCGCATGAGACACTATAGTCCAGAGGTGGCTTTTGTGATCTTTGTACTCTAAAATCTAGTTAAAGGAGCGATGCAACAATTTTAACTGCGAAAAAATTTTCAGTTTTTAATTTTTACATTGCTTATCGTACTGAAAATTCTCTTGAAATATTGTAATTCTGCTGCACGATACCAAAGAAGAGAACGGGAATATTTCGCAATTTGCAGCCGCGGGGTTGCGGCCATGGGAACTAAAGGTTTGTTCACACACTTGCGACTGACTACGACCGACTGAGGCAAGACCGGTTTCTAAGCCTCTTGTGACCGCTTATGACCGGCTCCGCAGCAGTGTATTTGGTCGTAAACCGTTGCAAGAGGCTCAAAGACCGGTCTAGTCTAGACAAGTTTGTGACCGGGCACCTGAAGAAGTCTTTGCATTCGAACAAACAGTAAAAGTTGTAATGCAGGCACCTTAAAAATTATGTGTCTTAAGTTTTCTTTTGATCTTATGGGTAGGAACATAGACCCGCCTGTTGCGACGCGCCAAGGGTGGGAAAGCGCATGAGTGGAGAAAGTAGCAAAAGTTACTTCATCAGTGGGGTCAGCTGATCCTTGCTCACCATTAAGCTGGCTCGGGGATGCCGTCAATGACATCACGACGCTCTGGACAGGTACCTAACTCAAATTTATTGAAAGAGACTCTTTCAGAGATTTTTTCAATAAATCTATAAATCCTTTTCAATAAATCAATAAATTTTCAGAGAGCCACCTCTCTGAAAGAGCCCAACCAGATTCTCCGTGTCTTCAGTGCACCCGGGAATACATCACTACGCATGTGACTCGGAAGACGGCGTAAGAGTTGAAAGTTTTGAAGCATAGTGGTTAAAAGCGCTAAAACGACAAACACAAGAGAGAAGACTGACTCAGGCATTACTCGCAACTGTGTTTGAAAAAAGAAGATAGACGTACATACACAGTGCAGTCCGAACCCGAAAATTCAATCGTTATGATTATAATGCAATTAAATGCAAAGGTGCAAGTGATCAATAATCCCTGGAGAAGGGGAACAAGAGGAACAAAGGACAAACACAGATCTCCAAACACAGCTAACTTTCTGGTGCGCGACCGAAAAAATTCGCCTGGTCTGGGTATCGAACCCAGGACGTCTCCATTTCCAGTGTAGCACTCTACTAACTAAGCTAACCAGGGGTTAGTCGTCAGTAGAGCAAACAGATTTTATCAGCAGCCACCAGTCTAACCCCAACAAGGGTGAAAAGCTTGCAGTTTAAGGTTATGATTATAATCTTCAGATTTCCCCGATGGCCATCACACTCAATTTTTTACGCTCGTAACGTTATGCTAAAGACGGGTTTTTTTCCCGTTTCACGGAGCAGCAGAGCAGTTGAGGGCAGAGCAGGGCAACCAGACGATCATGGTCATCGTGGTGGTCTGCGCCCTGGTGACAGTGTTCTTCGCTGCCGTTGCTCTCGTGGCGTATCGCTGCATGGTCGTCCCTCGGTTCAAGCCGGGGCTCGACTCAGCCCATCTGATGGAGGCACCGCAGATGCAGTCTCCCACCCTAGACCTGGACAGCCTCAAGATGCAGGTGAGCTACGGCAGACATTTTGTAACACCCTGCTTCCCCTTTAGGCCGAGTGAACTATCGCTGCCAAATTTGTCCTTGTATAGAATAGAATGTGTGATGCAGGAGTGTCGCGTCCATAATAGTTTCTCATCAAAGTTACTGCTACAAACTTTGGAGGTGAAAGTAAAGTTCTGCGGTCGGCAGGGGGCGAAAGCGACCGTATTTACTTCCACGTCGAGCAGTCTTCTGAGAGTGTTGTCGAGGGTGCCTCCTAGGAGTATGCCATGGAAGGGGAGCATCGAGGACTTCTGGCAAATGTGCTGAATGAACTGCGTGTTGGTGCTGTGCAGGAAATGATTGGGAAGGGGCGCTATGGCACCGTGTGCAAGGGATCCCTCAACGACCGTACCGTGGCCGTCAAGATCTTTGCTCAGCATCATCACTTGTACTATGCCAACGAGAAGGACATCTACAAGCTGTTCCGCATGGACTACCCGTTTCTGCCCCGGCTGATTGGTAAGTGGGGCATCGTCCCGGAAATCTGACTTAATCTTTGGGTGCACAGTGAAACTACAGAAGCACCACACTCGGTGCTTCTATAGTTTCACTATAGAAGCACCGAGTGTGGAGGAAGAAAGAGGTGGCCAAAAAAGGGCTGTCTACGAGTTGCGATCAAAAAGTTCAGAGTCTGATTTTGTAGCGTAAAAAAAGAGGGCAGCATGGTGATGTGCCTGCAGCATTCGAAGGCTTAGACCTTTTTTGCGTCATTATGCCAAAGGGCATCGCTCCACAAACATTTAGAGCTGTGCTACACGAGTTTGTTTGACCACGTACGTGCACAAGCATAACGGTGATTTCATCGTAGGCTGCAAACCAAAGCAAGAGCAAACATCAATTTTGCATCGAACTTGGCTAAAACGGAGACCTTTGAAATAATTTAGAAGGCTTGGGTCAAAAAGCAGCAAGGCGTGCGAAGTGTTTTGAGTGGCACCCGCACTTCAAGAATAACAGAATACATACGTCACTGAAGTCAGAGGGAGCTCAGAAAAGGTCGCCCTACCTCTTCGTCTTCCAACGATGTTCTGCCATTCTTGAAGCTCGAGCGCCACTTAAAGCCACTTCGCACAATTCACCATTTTTGACGCGGCCCTGCTGAATAATTTCAAAGGTTTCTGTTGTATGTTTGCCAAGTTTGACGCAGAATTTGCGTTTAATCTCGCTCTGGTTTACAGCCTACAGTGAAATTGCCATTGTGCCTGTGCAAGTGGTCACAAAAACTCGCATAGCGCAGCTACAAATGTTCACAGAGCGACGCTCTTTGGCGTAATGAGACACGAAGCTTCCTTCCTTCGACTGCTGCGCGCATCACCGTCCTCCTTTGTACGCTACAAAATGAGTCTCGGAATTTCCGGATCGCACCTCGTACACGTGTTCATTGTGGCATTGTGCTACCCCCCCGCTGAAATAAAACTTTGAGGTGTTACTTGAGTTGAGTCGGCACCTATGTCAGCTACCGAAGCTGGGTGCGGGGCACAAATTAGAGGCAGCCCAGCTGAAAATTGCCATTAGATTTCAATTGGAATTTTCAATTGGTACCAGTTAGGTTTTTGGACAACCAATTGGTCACACCAATGGGAACCGATTAAGTTTCTAACTGGAAAATGTTTTTCCAATTAGTAAGACCCATTGGCCAGTGTGCTTCCAATTGGATCCCACTAAAACTAATTGGTTCCAATTAAAATCAGTTAGAATTCCAGTTGAATCTAATGAGAACTTTTAGCTGGGAAATGCTGCTTCGGCTCTCAACAAGGACTCATGTTCAGTTGGTGAGAACGTACGAGCCCCAGTCGAGCGCTGACGCGTCGCTTTTATCCAATTTGTGCCCCACATTGACATAGAAAATCTAGCACTCTATCTTTTAAGTAGAAAGTGTCGGTTGGGCGCCTGCCATGGAATGGCAGATAGATTTTATTTTATGCGTTAGATCAGTTACAGCTTGCAGCAGCCACTAGCTAATGTTGAGCGTCTGTGCAGGCTTTGGCTTTTACTCACGCACGTAATTGGTCCCGTGCAGGGGCAGACGAACGGGTGGGACCCGAAGGGCGGCGAGAGTGGCTGCTGGTGCTCACGTATGCGCCAAGGGGCAGCCTCCAGAGCCAGCTCAGAATGGGCACCATTGACTGGGCGGGCCTCTGCCGCATGGCGCAGTCCATCACCAGGGCCTTGGCATTCCTGCACGGCGAAGGTGGGTTTCTCGCCTCGTGGACTTCGAGGCCGGTTTGCTTTCCAAAGTGGGCCCGGCATTCTTTGGATGGCACAAGTCTACGAGTTCTTTTTAGCAAAATAGGCGGTAGGGTCTGTCCCTTTGCGTTGATTGCTAGTGTTGGCAGAAGTAGTCCTTCCTGCTCTGGCGCTCGTCTAGATTCCCTTGGTCGGAAAAAAATAAGTAAGAAAAATGTCAGACATTTTTGCATTCTTTGGCTCGTCGTCTCTGTTTGGGGCTTGCACGCAAGTCACGTTAGCTACCATCGTGATGGTTCTGTATGTGTACCTTGTGCAGTAGACATTTCGAACCACAGTATTTGTTTTTCTCGGCACGAACGAGTAGCAGTGACCACCAGCACGGTGCGGGGACGGCGCGTTCGAGCCATGTATAGCAAATACTGATATAGAGAAGATATGGATGTAGAGATAGAAACTTCATGAATGCTTATGATAAGGCTAAAGGAATTTCAAGTACTGATTATGGTGATTGAGACTAGTGTAGTCGTTTTTTTCCTAAAACAGGTTTTGCATTGTAGGCACCAACATATCATGGTACCTAGAATGCCTTAGGGAAACAAAAGAATGTCTGAATACTCAATCAGTAGTTCTTTTCAGGTATGAGTGTTATGGGGCATGTTATAAGCTTCTTCCATAAGGTTTTCCATGGGACCATTGACTTGTCTCTCAAATGTTGGGTTCTGTCTTTTACATGGGCTGCTAGGTGCCATCCTGACTTGGATGTTGTCCGATGTTGGGCTTCCATTGCAGTCTCATTTAATCAACTGCTTCCTCTCGCATTTAATCTCTTTCAGAAAAGAACAAGCCTTGCATAGCACATCGAGATCTCACATCACAGAACGTTCTGGTCAAGGACGATGGCAGCTGTATGCTTTGCGATTTTGGCTTTGCCATCCGTATCTCAGGCTCCAAGTACATCCGCAATGGGGAGGAGCAGCACGCTGAGACCAACTCTCTCGCGGAGGTACGCTCATCGGCCTTTTAGTCATTGCCAAACTGAGGCAGAACCCCTTTATACTAATGCAATCACTTTTTAGCTAGTCATATTTCTGGGAAGTTCACACCAGTGTGAATGTGCAGCGAATACGTATTTATGTTGCGAGCTTTGTATTGGGCAGTTTTTCAGAGGTGGCAGCATACTTGTCAAGAGTTGAGAACTGTTCAACAGATATGGCATTCATCCACAGTTTTGAATTGAGCTTGTTTGATACTTTCATGCGCACATCATTCGAATGGTTTTGTTCTTAAAGAAAACAGGCTACCATTGTCTATCATTTACAGTTACAATGAATTTAATTAGCTCTCATAACGAACGTTCTTCATTAATCAAAAAGAAGTGTCGTAATACTTGCAAAGAGTGGCAGACCATTTGTCATAAGATGTGACTACACCAAATACAATTCCGAAGAAACTAAGTGTCCGAGCTAAACATCGGTCACAACCTGTGGCTGTCCCGGCTTCTTATCTTGCAAGCACCATCTTTTCTTTGCCCATGCAAGCTGGCTTGTTAGAAACGGCATCTTATCTAACACTGCATGAAAGAACGCCTGCAAAGCCTGGCTATTGCGCAGGCTTGAGACACGACTTCACGTGTCAATCCACTCGTGCACTATAGCTTTGGCAGTGCTTTCTTTCACGCAGTCTTGGCTAAGGCTTTGTGCTCAGCAAGCCAGCTGTGGTTTGCCATGTTTTTTCTCTGTTGGTCATTGTCTCTGCATGTCTATAGAACTTTTGCAAAAATTCCAAAAGCCCGCGACAAATTACGGGAGTGCTCGGTACGCTTATCCTATTGTCTTTCCTCCCGCTACCACGGGACATACTTGAGCACCGAGCGGGCACTGGTTACTCGAGCAGGCAAGCCAGGCAAGCGCATGCAAAGGGGGGAGGGAGTGTTGCGAAGGCTGCTGCGACGGCTGCTGACGACAGCTGCCGACGACAGCTGCCGCGACTCGCGCGCAGTCGCGGAGGCGCAACGAGAAGGCGCAACGAGAAGGCGCAATGAGAAGGCGCACGATTTGTACTTTGGGTTCCCAAAAATGCCCTGCCGCCGTGGCACTGCATCTATTGCAACGGGCCTATTCGGCTCTGCCTTGCAGGTGGGAACTCTCAGGTACATGGCTCCCGAGGTGCTTGAAGGGGCACTCAACCTACGGGACTGTGAGTCCTCGCTGAAGCAAGTGGACGTCTACGCGCTAGGATTGATCCTTTGGGAAATTGCAACGCGCTGCTCTGATCTCTATCAAGGTACGTGGCACGCTCAACAAGATGGGCGGCAACCGGGCTGGCCCATGAAGCGAGCATTCTTAATCTGTGTGCCCCTGGGTGCATGGTTGAGCCTCGGTGCTTTTTAACTCCCTCTCTTATCTTCTCATTTTACTGTCCCAGGTAGTTTAAAAACATAGTTTTAGTTTATGACTAATTTTTTAGGAACTTTCGAACCAACTTTTGTTCTTGACTTCAGCTGTTGAAGTCCGAACAACTGTGAACCATAGATGTTAAAATAAATGCGAGGTGGCACTGTTCATTTCATGAGGTGAAACTTATCTCTGAGATATCTGATTGAGTTAATGACGAAAAACTGTTTGCGGATAAAACTGGTTTTAGTGGAGGTTCTTTTCCTCCCGTGGGGGGGGCCAGTATGTGTGTGCATAATGTATGAAGATGTTGTTCAGTCATGACTGTGACCCCAATTTACTTAATTTAGTTTAGAAAAAAAAAATGTTGTGTGTTTTCACGTCAGTTAACAATGATTGTCCAGGTCACATTTTTGATATTTTTGTAATAAATATGTGTGAAAGCCATGTTCTGGGAGGAACATTTGGCTATATGTGAACGCCATAGCTAATGTCTTCCCAGAGATATAAATTTGAGTACGTTGAGACGTGGACATTGTTAAACTTTCACTATGGTAATTTGCACAGATGCCAATGTTGCACCAAAGCAGGCATGCAGTTAAATATTTAGAGCACAGCTCAGCACCCGTTTCTGGCTTGAGTGGCGTCGCCATTGGCGTAATTGCGCGTTGCATTATGGGACGTTTCGCATAATGACGTCACATGCGACGTCACGAGGGTCATTATAGTCCAGGGGTGGCCAGGCTTACCTGGCCTAAGAGCCGCAAAACAAAACCACGAAACTTCAAAGAGCCGCGCAGGGCGGGGCGGGGCGGGGCAAACTTTTCTTCATAGCAGTAAACGAAACTCGAAATACTTTCAATCTATCCGAATCGCAAACCTGTCTTTCGATTTGAAATGCGTTCCATTTCTTTTTGTGTCGAAGTGCTCGTGTGACCGGGAGGGAGGCGGGTTGGGGGGGGGGGGGGGGGGGGGGGGGGTAGGGTAGGGTAGGGGAGGGAGCCGCAAGCCGCGAGCCGCACTTTAACATGCGAAGAGCCGCATGCAGCTCGCGAGCCACAGCTTGGCCACCCTTGCTTTAGTCGGTTACAAGTCAAGAAGGTAGGAGAAGCTCCTCCCACAAGCGTGATGCGCCCGTTTCAAATCTCTCCGCAGTCAAAAGAAGAGTTCACTGGAAACGCTCCTTGTTCCGTTTCAATGGATTCCAACTTGTCTCCAATCCCACTTTTTAAGAAAGCAATCTTTGTATACATTGGAAGGGGAACTGAGCCCCTGAAAGCAGCCTATCCATCGGAGGGGGAAGCTAATGCCCGAAAGTTGTACTTGTTGCCATCGGAGGGGGAAAACTCTAATCTCCCTCTCGTGGCTTCCACAATGCTAAGTCAAAATCGAAAGATAAAGCAAATATGTACAAAAGGCAAGACACTCCTCGCGCATTGGCCGCGACGTCACGGAAACGATGGTACGCTATTGGATATGGAGGTGGCGGAGGGATATATGAATGATTCCCTTTGAGGGGCATCTGCCGCTACCTTCTTAATCTGTAACCGGCTATAGTGACATCATGAGGGTCACGAGTGACGTCACTTGTAACCGCACGTTGCATTATGGGACGTAGTGACGTTGCATTATGGGATGTAATGACCCTCGTGACGTCACACGTGACGTCACAAGGGTCACTAAGGTCTTGAGTGACTTCACGAAGGCCACTCATGAAGGTCACGACCTTCACAGTGAAGGTCACGGCCTTCACGTGACTTTCTCGGGTGACTTATGAGGGAGGGGAGGAGGGGGAGAGAAGAAAAGGAGGAGGATGGAGGAGGGGGAGAGGAAGGAGGAAAATGAGAGGTGGAGGGAGGAGGAGGGGATGGGGAAGAGGAGGAGAGAAAGAGCAGGGGTATTCTTCCTCTCCGTATCATCCCTTCCTCCCTCAAGAGCTCCGTTCTACACCAAGACAAGGGAAGATGAAGAAAACAGAACATATGTCACGAAGATTTCACCAGACGTGGTTTGACATGCTAAATCCGTACAACCCTAGACACCCTTCTGACAAGGAGAGTCTGCGGCGTACACAAAGATAATCTCCGTCAAGACTATGGGAACCGACCAACTTCCTAATTTCAGGGTGGTAGATAATGATGTTTCCTAACCAGCTTGCATGCATTCACTTCTCAACCAAAAAGTCATACTCTCTCAAGCTTTGTTTTATCTTTCAGTTTCCTTGTGTTGCCTCCTAAAGCCCCCCCCTCCCCCCCTTTTTCCTATTATTTCCTAAGGAGTGTTGGGGCACGGCACTGGTGTCTGCAGTTGCGAACAGGAACGGCAGATCGCCTTGAAACTCTAGTGTGCACAAAAGGAAGGTTGGTCGCCGCGAACACAAAGCAAGGGAAGTAGTATCTTGGGTGTCACTACCTTTTTGCTCAACATTGGGGGGTGGAAAACAAACAATTCACATCGGCTTAGCATTCGGAAGCTTCGACGTGTAACATAAAAAACAAGGAATACAGATAGAAGTTGGTAACCACATGGATGTTTCTGCAAGGACGCTAAGCAAACATTAAAAACCTGGAGAGAGGCATTTAGAAACTCTCAGATTAGCATTTGGAGCGAACATGTCAAAGAAGACTTCCCTTGCTTTGTTACACAGTTTATGCAGGGGCCTTAGAAGTTAACACAAGGAAATTGAAAGATAAAACAGAGCTTGGGACAGTATGACTTTTTGAGAAGTAAACACATGTGAGTTGGTTAGGAAACATCATTATCTATCACTCTGAGATCAGGAAGTTGGTTCGTTCTCGTAGTCTTGACAGAGATTATCTTTGCGGGTGCTTGGTGGTAGATTCTCCTTGTTGGAAGTGTGTCTAGTTTTGCATGGATTTAGCCTGTCAAGCCACGTCTGGTCAAATCTTCGCGACATCATGTTCTGTAACAGTAAGAAAGCACAAAACAAACAGAGGGACAAAAACAGACATGTACAAGCTTGAAAGCTTGTACATGTCTGTTTTTGTCCCTCTGTTTGTTTTGTGCTTTCTTACTGTTACATCTGTCCCAACACGCTCGTCAAAGTCATCATGTTCTGTTTTATTGATCTTTCCTTGTTTTGGTGTGGCCGAATGAACTCGGCCGTTCTTGAGGTTTTTGTGTTGTGTTGTTTGTTTCTTTATTCCTCCTAGTCCCATGGTTTTAAGTTATGACGACTTTCTATGCTCTTCACTAGAGCAGCACCGTTGTACACACTTTCTCAGTTCTAGAGAATATCTCTTTGGAGCCGATGTCGTGCGGCAAAGCCCCCATAACGAAGGAAAGCTAGCTCGATTTGAGTGAAGGTTTGTTGTCGCTTTACTTAATTGGAGGTTATACGCTACTCAATATTTCCATCACAACTTAGTTCAAGTTACTGCAAGGAGATAAGGCGAGTTTAAAAGAAACAAAAAAAAAAAGGAGATTTTTAAATATTGACGTGCAATTTTGCTGCTCTACAGAAATCACTTATGTTTCTGAATTAATAACAAAACTACAATTATGACTAAGCAAATATTTTTACATATTCGTAAGCTGCATTTCAAGACACACATTTTGATATATTTTGCGACATTTTGCATAAAGTTGCTTATTGGTAAATAATTTGCGAAAGTGTCTCCAAAACGTGTTTCTTTTTGTGTGTTTCGTAAATTTTTTGCATAGAAATATATAATTGTAATTTGTTCGTATGTGGTGTGCATGTTGTGAATTGCCTATAAATAAGTTTAAAAAAATTTAACTGTGGGCCTGCTTTTGTGCAACATTAGCATCTGTGCAAATTACCATAATAAGGTCTCTGCAATGTCCATGCCTCAAGTTTCTCAATTTTGTATTTCTAGGAAAAAGATTAGCTACGGCGTTTACATATAGCCGACTGCTCCTCCCAAGAGCATGGCTTTCACATATATTTATTACAGAAATATCAAAAATATGACCTGGACAGTCATTGTACGCGATCCGGCGTGGGAACACCCTGTGGTTTTTTTTGAGAACATGGTTGAGCTCACGGACACGAAGGAGAGGGAAGATCACATAATGCAATACGCCAACCCATTGTGTTGTTTCTTCTTCCCCTTGTCAGTGTCCGTAAGCGCAACCATGTTTTCTAAGATTCAGGACCAACTCGCCCAACAGTCAGCTGTGATCTTCAGTTGGAGGGGGATTAAATGAGAACTCCTTTGGAAAATACTGGTGGAATTATATATTGGAAACTGTTTTTACGGCTAAATTCATGTTACTCCCCCTGCACCATCGCTCCGTATGGCATGCCCTTTGTGAAACTGTTGGTGTACCTTTGCCGCAAAAGGTAGATGTCCAGTCCTGAGTCATTGGTGTTTTGTCCTGCACAGGCATGAATGTGCCAGAATACAAGATGCCGTACGAAGCCGAGGTGGGGGTGCACCCCAGCACGGAGCAGATGCAAGTGCTGGTGGCGAGGCACAAGGCACGGCCTCTCTTCCCAGACATCTGGAAGGCCAGCAATCCGGTAGGGCTTCTGCTTTCTACTTTGTTGGCACTCTTCTAAAGTTTCTGCCATAAAATGTTGAGCATATGCCAACACTCCATTCCATTAAAAATGAATTAGTGCAGCCCACTTAATGGTAATGAGAAAACCCAAAATTTCAAGCGTTATAACCGATTATCGTTGTATCTGGACTAGAACTGATCATTTCCAGTCCAGAAACTCTAGAAAGTGATCATTATAAGCGGTACATCGTTATATTATGTGGTATTGTTATGAATGGGTTGCACTGTACAGGATGTAAAACAAAGCAAAAAAATTTTGTTTTTTTTATTGCATGAATAAACTATGCATCGCCGAACGCTCGTTCTCCGCCCAAATGTAGCGTTAGCGGCCCGAACTAGATGCCAAAATTTCAGAACTAACCGTCATTTCGTTAAGTTGTAAGTGATTTCCTGAAAATTTGAATAGGAAAATGGGACTCGTTTGTGCCCGTTTTCGGCATTTGGTGCTACGCAGCTCCATGCATTCAAGAGCTCCGTCGGCCACCATTTCCCCTTTGATAATTTAAGAAAAAATTTCTCGGTTTATTTCTGCCTTATTCTTGATGTATCTTTTAATACGATCATTGGCGTCGTGGGCGCTGATGTCGGCACGACATCAGGGTTGAGACTAGCGGTAGACTGCCTTGTTGCTCACACTACTGCTACCTTTATACGCACGAGGTCGTCGTGACCATTCTAGACGAGGACGCACGATAACTGTCAAACTACTGGGACATACTGTTCCACTTTAGTAGTGAAAGGTCAGATGAAAATGAGGGTAGCAGGGTAAGGACCCTGTGCTTCTGCGCGGGAGTCGCATGCACTATTCAGAGAGACTTTTTAGTGTTGTGTCGTTTACCCGCAGTCTCGGGATTTTTTCAACCATGTGCAGTGTACACCAGCTCGTTTGCGCCCTTACTTTTTGTTCACTATTCACTAGACCAGAAATGTGGCAATACATGCACATTGCTAATATACAAGGATACATACTGCCCTTGCACTTCTGGGATATTTGTGTTCCTTCCCCTTCTACTATTGTTCCCCCATGAAATTATACTCAGAGTTTCTGCGCTTGACACAACTCATCATTCTTGTGGGCTCTTGCCGTGTAGCCACTCATCTGTATATATTATAGTTTGGTGTATGTATGACTGTAAATCCTGAATTTATGTTACGCTCACTAACTGTTATGTAGTACAAACTCACACCCTTCTTCGGCTAACTTGTTGCACAGTTTCTGAGGCTACAGTAAGCTCTAACAAAGGCATACGTGAACAGTAATAATTTTTCACATGCAATAGTAATTGCTTCCAATTATTTTCAAATGCAGGCTGTGAGAGCTCTTAAGGAAACCATAGAAGATTGTTGGGACCAAGACGCCGAAGCTCGCCTCACTGCGGTGTGCGTTGAGGAGAGGCTGAATGAACTGCCCATGCTCTGGGACAGGCACAAGGGTGAGTTGCACATCCTTAAAGGAGCTGTGCAGCAATTTCAGTGTTTTGCTTAAATAATTTGGGAGTTTGTGTCTCGACCTTTCTGAAGTAAAGAACAAAAAACCGCTTTTGCTTGCATGTCCTAGTTTTTATTCTAAAAATGGACAAAGATTGAGGTTTTCGGCACCCCTCAACTCCTTCACCATCTTCCGAGTCAGGTACGCTGTGACGTCAATGAGGGTAGCGCGGGGTTCGGGTGAAGCTCTTTCTCTAGAGCCATCAGTGAACAGCGAAAACTGAACCGCTCGCCACCGCATGACCACGTGCTGGCGCAGCGCGGACAATATGGTGAAGGGAGGAAAGTCTCATCCGGGTCCGTCCCCCTCCGGCATCTGTCGACTATTTGCGGTAGTGGCGGTAGCAGATAGAATTGATGGTTTTGTGGACTTAGGATAGATGGCGCCGCTAAAACTACGTATAATAAAAGCATTGTTGATGATACCAGGTTTTTGATGCATTCATATTTATGTTAAAACGACAAGATTTATAAAAAAGTTACCTTTTATCGAGCAGGTATTCGCTCAACTTGCTCTCTTTCTACAAGACCCCCATTGACGTCATGCCGCGTGGTTCTCATGGCTGCCGCTCACGGCTGCAGGTCGAAGAACATTATCACTTTGGCTTTGCGATTATGCGGCGGAATTGCAACATTTCGAAGGAAGGAAATGTGTTTTCTGTCCTTTGGGACAAGATAAACAATGTCAAAAGTAGAAGATGCCAATTCTTTCATCGTTCAAATCGTTGCACAGCTCCCTTAAAGGGACATTGACACCCCCCAAAATTTTTTTTTCATCTTTTGCCAGGCGCTTCATTATGGTGTTGGAGGACTACCCAATCAATATTTTGCAACAGAGTAGCGTATTTTTTTAATAAAGTCAAAAGACGCAACTGCTCGAAACCGAAACCCGCGCACGGAGGTCAGAGAAGTGGAGAGAAGGGAGTGAGTGGCGGAAGTCACGTGGCAGCACCCGACCGTGCGTTTTTTTTTTCTCCTTTCCGTAGCAGACGACATGCAGCGTAGGGGGAACTGTTTGCCGCGCGATTTATTTGCAGTTATGTTTGTTCCGCTCGCTGTTCTGTACTCCAAGATGAGTTGTTTTGTACATTGAGGAGTCGGAGATGAGTAGCGAGTGCCCGTGGTGAATTTCCATGATCGGCTCAGAAAAGAATACACCCAAGATGTTGCGTGAAGAGCTGGCTCACATGTCCCAGCTGCGTCCGAAAAAAGTGGCAATGTGCGACAGAGTTTCCGAAAGATCAACGGGATCGGGACCAATGGCTGGCTGCAATTCCTGTAGAACATTTACGGGCACCTCGGAAAGCGGACGCTACCTGATTTATATGCTCCTTGCATTTTGTGGAAAGTGATTACATTGAGTTCGCAGGTGTCAAAAAGGAAATCCCATACCATTTAATTCAGCGATGTGTCGTCCACAACATTTGTTTGTTATTTTTTTTTGCCTCTTCAGTAATAATTGTAAAAAAAAAAAAAAAAAAAGATTTTACTGGGGATCGAACCCTGTCCTACTGCATGTGCCGCGGACGTCTTTCCCTCTGAGCTACTGGGGCATCCTTTTCGTGGGTGATCTCTTTCCAGTAACAACCCAGAGGGTCAACTGGAAGTTGGAAAGTTTGTTGCTGATTTGCCTCCAGCAAAAGCACTCCGAAATCGGGAAGCACCCCGCATTGGCGACATTCGCACCTAGTGAAGAAATCGTACGCGTGCATATTCAATTCGAAGTAGACACGTTGTGCTTGCTTGACGTTTGCGCGAGCGATGTCTTCAGCCACGAGAACGGAGTGACAGCTGGGCGACGTCTTCGTTCAAATCGGCTTGGTGGTCGGGCGTGTCGTACGGGATGAATACCAATTCTTTTGATCAGTCCCAAATTTCTTTTTTAAAGGCAGACAGAATTCGCCGGTACCGCAAACAACAGTTCTGAAATAGAGGTCCCACGCCCGTGGTCTGCTGCCATCGCCGTCCCCACGATACGCGAAACGACGAACGCACAGAATGCTTCCGGTTGTCTGTGGAACTATTTTTTTCAATCAACGTATATGCAGTTTTTTTAGAAGCCACAAAAAATGGGTTTCATATTTTTTTCTATTTTTAATATTGGGTGTGTGCCTTCAGTGACCCACGACTTTGATTAAATTTGGTGGTTGCATCAATACCTTAGAAAACGGCCCGTGACCGCGGAAAAGAAAGTGAGCGAGACTCGAACCGGCCAGTTCTTGATCGGCGGTTTTCGGGCGGAAAGAAACCGAATTTCGAGCCGCAAATTCTGTTCTGGGTAGTTGAGCTCTCATACGTCACGTACAACTAAAAACCTCGGCGAGCATAAATACCCTGTCAGTGTCCCTTTAAAGGGGCACTGACACCCCAAAGGTCTTTTTCTTTTATTGTTGAAATTGATGCAAGTTTGAGTCATAGACACAAAAAAAAATATCACAATGCGTAAAAAAAAAAAAAAAAAGGTCTCCCACATGCGCGCACACTTTTTTATTTATTTTTTTTCCCGCTTCTCACCTCCTCGCTTCTTTTTATTTGTGACGTCAGAATCTGATGACAGTGAAACTGAGTGTAGTTCGGATACCGATGAAAGTGATGCGAGGTGCCACTTTCCACATGAAGAGAGTTTTTTTAAATCAAAGAAATTCTGAAGTTGAAGAACATAAAGCAACATAGCCTGATAAATAAATGTTTTTATTAAATTGTGCAACCACATTTCTGCATCCAAAAATTTTTTTTTTGCTCAGCATAAAAAATTTATCAAAGGGTGCACACTGGGATGAAAAAGACCCGTCACTTAAAGGGCTAAAAGTGAAATTCCCTCTGCATGTGCATTTTGTCCTCAAATTCCTCGTTGTATGGCACCGTTTCACTCCCGCATAGAATGGAGTCACTCACAAACCAACCAATCCCCCCCCCCCCCCCCCTTGTTCTGACCCACAGCAGGCATCAGCGTCACCGGAGTGAGCCCCACCATCAACCCGACGTCGGCGCACCACCACCCGAGGTCCGGGTTCTCCTCCCTACTGGGCTGCGGGCCCCTGGGGCCCTGCTCGATCCAGAACAGCACTGAGCGGAGTGAGGCCACGGCCGAGACCCCGCTCTCCCCGAGCAGCCCCGGGGTGCGCCAGCTGGCCGACAAAAACAGTACAGCGGCCAACAATCACCACAACCGCAGCAACCTCGCCCCAACCGCAGTCTCGGTGCCACTACAACCGCACCAGGGACGCAACCCCTGCCTGGAACGCAACCTCATGGTGGAACCCGTGGAGGAGATCTCCGTGAGTGGGAACACGCTGCTCGACCAGGACTCGAGGAGCCTGCTGCCTTACGCCGCTCTGCTGGGTGGAGTGAGCATGGGCAACCGTCTTGTGGGGAATGGACTCGGGAGCATTGGACTCGGTAGTAATGGACTCGTGAGCAACGGGCTCGTGAGCAATGGGCTTGTGGCCAACAGGCCTGCAGGCAGTGGACTAGTGGGCAACGCAGACTCGTCGTTGTCTTCGCCGGCCACTTCTTCGGCGACTGCCGCCACGACGGCCGAGGACAACAGCGCCTTGGTGTTAGGAGATGTGCTGGCACAGACCACGCGGGCCTACCACCCGATCCCTTATGTGCAAAATGCGGTGCACGTCTCTACGGTCATCCCCAAGCAGCCCAACTTGCCGGGTGAGTGCATTTGTCAGGTGACGGGGGCCGCACTGAACTTGGCAGGTTTCGCGACTGTCTCCGGTGACGGATGACGCCTCTGGCTACGATTTTTAACTTCTAGAAAAGTTAAATGGAAGACTAAAGTAAGCTACTGCTCAATGGGCTCAAAAAATGATAGAGGTCTCCTGCCACTCTCGTCTTTGAAGTAGAGTTAAACCACGGCCCCTCGATTCGCTCCACACGGCCCCTCGTCGCTCTCCACTCGTTTGGCTTGTTGCATCACTCTCCTTCCCGGTGGCGACGAAAGTTGTAAAAATGGCCACTGTGATTCGGGTGGTGCTAGGGAGCACGGACGGTCGGATGTAGTATGGGCTTGGCAAAATGTTTAACGCTGCGATTTGTCGGCTTTCCTGCTTGGATGCTCACTTTATTGTGTGTCTTTATAAGATCGCAAGTGCATCGGAGCATACGTTTCAACGCAGTGAAACTTCTGCGCTGCATAAAAATTAATACAACCGCCCTTTGGCTGAGCATACGTAGTTCAAAAAGAGAAATTAAGGCGGAAATAGTTTGTTTCTTCTTTGCACTTCCAGAATACCCTGCTGTTCATGTTTTGCTCAAGCAAGCTTTCCATGAGACACAATTTCTCAGTGTGGGCTCAGTCCAGGATGGACTGAGCCCACACCACGCTTCAACACGAAACGAACGCCAAAACTTTCTGACAATGTGAAAGCGGCATCTCTTTACCCATATTAAGGAGGTGCTCGCTCCCGTGTGCACAGATGATTTGCACACTCAAGGGAATGCCTGCGTGCGGCCGCATATGCGTTCGTGCTTGAAAGAAAAAATATCTGGCAGCACCTCTGGTGACAAAATGTTTCTACCACTCAGGGTGGCAAAAAAGAACCCGACGACTCACACGCCACCAACATTCTCCGGCCCTTATACACACTGTCTTGAAAGAAAAAAAAGAAAAAAAAGCCTTTAATGCGACCATTTTTTTTTTACTACCCATCTTCTCCAAACAGGTTTGCAATTTGTTTGTGGGAAGAAAAATGCCAGGCCTGCCTTGTAGATGTGAACGCAAAGCCTGACCCGGTCCGGGCTCTGCATGGTCTTAGCTGTGAAGTCTGAGCCCAGGCTATGGCCGGTATACCTGTGCAGACCTCTGTTTCATACCTGCGCGGACCTCTATTTCTCGCCGCCAGACACGCAACGTGCATCCATGCCGTGCAGCACACGTAGCGGTGACTCCTTCAAACCGAGGAGAAACGAAGTTGATATTGTTCTCCCCGGGAAGTGACAGGCAGGACGAAGCGACGCAACGGCTCGGAGCGAATCGAGGAGTCGTGGTTAAACACTGAAGCCCCATTACTCGGTGAAGTAAAAAGAATGCACCAGATGGTAACGAAACATGTGGCTCGCTCATTGTCTGGACCAAAATGAGGGAATACAGTAAATCTATTGGACCTGCTTTTATATTGTTTCTTGCAGGGGTGGAACTACTGCATTAATTACGCCATTTCGATACATTCACAATTTTCTGTGCCTAGCGGCACAAGAGCGCCAAATCAACCGAAATTGTGCCACGCTGTGCCGGAGATCACTGCGATGCTAGATTTAGCAAAAAGTGAAAGTTCGGTTGACAACCTTGGCTAAACTATTGCCAGGTGGCACAGGCCACCGTTCGATTCCTTGTTAAAGCCGTATCTGTCCATCCATCCATCCGATGGATTCAGTGTATCGTACATCCTAGCCATCGTACCGCAGCATGAGAGACATTGTACATGTACAATGTATGATGCAACGTAGCATGTAAGATTTCAGTTGCCGAGTGGTGCCCCTTCATTTTTAGTCTAATGGCGAATTCGGGTGGTCAGTCGCCGGCGAGAACGAGCCGGCGCAACCGGCAACCAGAAACGCGCCGGCGGCACACCACGTGACCCTCACCACCCGAACACGAAACGCCAGACGGCGGCAGTTTACTTCGCCTCTTGCCCGCGCGACACCGCTAGCGAGAGCCTGTCGCCGCCGTCACTCATGTCCCAACGACTTGGATTGACTTTCGTAGCGGCTGCTAAAGTTACTTCAGATCAGTTTCGTTCTTTCGTTCATTTTTTTTTCTCACTGACCTTCTTTCTCATTTCGGAAGTGACGACACCGGATACAGTCTGGCGCCCACTCGCCCGGCCGTTCGGAGCTCGGGCGGAAAAAGCACCGGAAAGTTGCCGGTGCTTGCCGGAGAACCACCACCCGAACGGTGCGCGCCGGCCGGAAACTGACCACGCGAACACTATTGCCGGTTTTCCGGCAAAATAAGTTGCCGACGATTGACCACGCGAATTCGCCATAAGTTTGTTCCTAAAATAAAATATCTTTCTGTGTTTAATTTTAGATATTTCCCTGTAAAGTTCTATTCAGTACTTTCCAACACTTGTAGTACATACCTTGTTTTCTTGAATTGTTACTGATGGTACAACTGGCTACGATGCCTTCTTAAAATGATGTCACAGCTATTCCTAAGGTGCTCCAAAATGTTTTTTTAATGCTTTAGTGCTCCAGAATACAGGCTTTTCTGCTCCTAAGTTGCTCCAAAGTACAGTAAAACCTTATTATTACAAAATTGGATATAACAAACTAATGGATATAACAAAGCAATCATAATTCCCCTTGCTTGCTAATAGTGGGAAGAAATGGACAGTGGCTATAACAAACTAATGGTTATAACAAAATAATTACAACCGCTCCTTCAACTTTGTTATAACGAGGTTTTACTGTATAGGTTTTCTGCTCCTAAATTGCTCAAAAATGCAAATTTGTCTGCTCCAAAAATTGCTCCAAACTCAGTTTGGTCTGCCCCACCCATGTATACTTGTTGTCAGGAGTATATATTTGTCTAATGTCCTCTCGGACAGCAGGGAAGCACCAGAGAGCCTTGTTTTCGAGGAAAGAAGGAGCTTGCTGGCATCCAGGCTATGCTAAGGCCATCATCCTCACAGCAGTCTATCTGCAACGAGAATGGAAATGAGTAAACTATTCATGGTGACTAGTCTTATGAGGTATCATCGGAAGTGCATTCTGTGAGGCTGTGAAGTTCCGTCATTGCAGCAGGGGATGGCAACTAATGAGAGTCTAGCAATGCTACTATGAGGTGTACACTTTTCAATCGGAATAGGTATCATGAGTCCCAAACGTTGTAGTAGTGAATATCTGCATTATTTAGAGTGAAGCTCTACAAGCTGCAGAGTCGATCAGGCTGTGCTACAAGTTATCAGTGCTGGTATTGTGCTCTCACCTTAACAGTGAAGTGTGCAAACATAGTGCCTCTGGCTCAGTTCTAACAATGTTGCAGTGGCACCAGATATAAATTGATAGTGTTAGTCCACACTGTTCTTCACTTCCTTGATGCATACCGCTTGTTCACCTGAAATGATATACCGTACTATGACAAACAAACCAGTACACACGGGCTATTGTTGCACATTGTTTCATGTTGCAGGCAGGCAGTTGTGCAAGCTGCTTGTGTGACCCTATCCCATGCCGTCATTTTGTCGCACGAGTAGCATCGTGAAGAATACTGCTGGAGTGAAAGCAAAGCAATGACGCAGGGTGGCGTGCACAAGCACAATAGACCAACCATATGCCCTTTGCAGTGAGATAGTGGTGCAAAGCACCTTGCTACAACAAGATTAAAGTAAAGTTTTACCTTCAATTGAAAGTTCAGAAGTAAAGAGTAAAAAGCTGCACAGGAGGCCAGCATAATGCAGAGTGCAAGTTTGTCTGCTTCTTGCACAAGGGTTGCGATGATGTCAGAATGCCGAGCTCTTATTGGCTGATTGAAAAAAATAGGGGGTAGACCTCAAACCACCTAGCATTGAGGTCTACCGCACTGTCCTTTCAATCAAAGCCAGTCAGAGCCTCGCATCGTTCTGACGTCACCGCAACCCCTGCGCAAGAGGCAGACGACTTGCTCTCTGCATTGCATTCTTGCCGGAGATTTTGAATTCAGAACTCAACTGTGGCTCCTCTGCTTGCTCTCCTTGACTTTCTGCCTTATTTACGGTTACTGGTAACTGTGCACATATACTGGGCCGTGAATTAGCATTTCAATACGCTAAATGAACCTTTTTTCAGTAAGCTTCTGCACAAGCGTACACACCCTCTCCTGGCCTCGCATCCCGCTGTCGCCATTTTCGCAGTGCAAAGTTTCGGTCGTCCAACATATTGAGGACCTATCTTTGCACGTATTTCATCTTTCTTGGTGATTCTTGTTTGAGTATATGCTAGTATGGGGCATAAAAGTCAATGAAGATCAGTACAACAGTACAATGCCAATGTATTCTGATGGGCGGAGGCAAGTAGGGCTGCCCTTCATTTGTAGTTCCAAGACAGCTCTGCAGACACTGTTCATTACTGAAAAAGGTCTTTTGGCTTACGCACAAGCTGCATTGGCTTACTTTAACCTCGTAAATGGTACGGTACAATCTGAAAGGCAATGCACCTGGTCTGTGTGATGTGCAACAACTGCTTTGAGTGGCGAGTTCCATTTCTAGACCTGCCTTTGCACCTGTTTTTAATGCTTCCGGCGATACTAATCTCTGCGTCTGTTTTGTTCTCAGGGAACGGTCACAAAATACTCGGCTTGCCCAAAAAAGTGGAAAAGAAGCGCTTCAGGGGAATGTTCTGGAAGCCCAAGGCGAGCCCAGCAGCCGAAGGCGGTCTGAGGCGGGGCCTGCGGAACCTCTTTGAGTGGAAGCCGAGGGAGGACGCGGGCCGCGCCGGCAACGCCAAGTCGGACAATGCCAGACCGCCGGAGAAGTTCCCGGTCAACACGGAGGTGCAGATGGTAGAAGGGAGCTGCCGTGTAAGGTCTCTGCCGCCGATTACCCCTGTGGCCGAGAACGAGACGTCGCCGCTCCTGCAGAGCAAGGACATAAACGACAACTGCCGAGAAACGGAGGAAGACAGGGTTTCGCGACCAACCACGTTACCGCTACGCATGTGCCTTCCGGTATCCAAAGGGTCTGTGGCGGACGACGGCAGCAAGGAGTTGTCTGCCGGTTTGCAGCGGGTCTGCATCGAGGACGCCTGAGGGCGAACCGCCTGCCGTCGCTTTGTCCGCCGCCTTTTGTGGAACTGCCGCGGGTCTTGCCCTCGCTTGCCGCAACCCAAAGCTGTTTCCCGGGTTTACGAAAGACATGTCGCCGGCTGGCCATGCACCCTCAAGACGTGCCACTTTGGGTTGTGGCAGAATACAGATGTGACGGGATGCAATTGTGTCTTGATGGTAAAAGACAAGAAAAATGGCCAATTTGCTTCGGGTTTTAGGCAGGAAATACTCGAGGTAGCTATCTTGATACCCATATGGACAAGTGAGCCTTTTGTAACAGTGGACTGAGGTTACGCATGTTTGATTGCCTGAAACCTCCTTACCTCGGTAAGCCGCAACTAGCTTAATTATAATTCCAGTTGCTAGAAGTAGACTGTAGTAGTGTTTTCGTCAGTTTGCAGGCATTATAAATGTTTTTACTCGGCAAAAGCACAAGTGAGCATTTGCATGCCTTTGGATGTTGGCATGTGACGTGTAGTATTTATGAGTGTGCATTTTATTTCTTGGCTCTGTAGTTACAAACTTGTTAAAGATTTTTTTTTTTGGAAACTCCCCTGAGAAGCTGAGTGGAGGGTGAAAGTTTCCATGGCAGAAATTACTTGGAGCAGGGAGGCAACAAAGTGAATGTGGCTGACATGGTAAAGTGGTGCACTGTCTTTGATAATTTGTAGTTGTGTTGTTTGAAATAACATGCCAATTGAAAACCGAGACGTACGGAGCCACATTCCATAAGGAGGCAATAAATGGCCATGGGTGGTGCATCTGGGAAGACGAGAGAATGTTGATTCAATAGGCTATTGAAGTCTTTTACGGATGAGATTGAGACTCTCACAAGAGAAAGAAAATTGGTCTTGTGAATACCAGATAATACTGCATCCATGAAAGTTCCACTTCAGAGGCAAAATGTGCAATCCTTAGATCAAAATAAGCATGATAGAAGCTCATATTGTGGTAGAAGTAAAATCCCTAATGCATTACTTATTTTTAGATGAGAAAGGGAGGGGGGAGACATTTGTGACTTATTTAATTTTTGAAATGTTGTGTTCCATGGAGCATAGTTGCCTTCGTATTTTTAAAGATGTATTTACTGGGGCTTCCAGAAAAATGGAATTAATGAAAAAAAGAAAAAACTCACTGGCTTACTTTTCTTTTTCTATTTTTATTAATGAGGAGACATTCATTTTCTTTTTAGTACATTAGACATCAGTAACAGCTGTTGGCAAGATTGTACATAAGTCTTGACAGAAAATGCCATCAAGATTTGAACATGAAAAATTGTGTTTAGTCAGCCAAGAAAAAAAAGAAGAGTTAGTAAAAGAGCTTGTTGGTCAGGAAACATTCATATCAACCAATGGAATTTAAAAAATGTATGACTATGCACAGTGTCGGTAAACTGTTTGCTTGTTTGCCTTTACACTAGCAGCCGTGAGTTAGTGCTTTGCGCTTTGCAAGTAATTTTTCAGTATATCGGGGAAATATAAAAACATGAAACTCAAAGCATGACTTCGTAGAACATGAGGTTGGGAGCACGAAAGAGTATGGACAAGTACGAAGTATTGCACTTATGTCTGTGATTACACATACCATTTCACTTATTCTTGGGCAGGGTTGCAATTGCCGACACTTCTGCTACCTTCACAGGCTCCCGTCTTCCCAGTGTATCTCGGTGCACCAGGCCACAAGCTGCCGAGTCTGCGTAGTCATCCAAACATAAAACGAGTCGAAGCCAGGTTTGCCTAACATGATTCAGGGTCTAATCATTGCTGCCACATCGATGCAAATGAACCTTTTCCTTACAATGACTAGTGGCAGGCGTGCGTACCTCCCCAAACTGGCACTGCCAGTTTAAATAGCAGCCTACATAAGTGTCGTTTGCTATTTTGCCTGCCCCTATTTCTTTTGAAGCACACACGAGCCTTTTCTGCTGGGTGAGACGGGAGCACGTGCAGGCACGCGAAACTTTTCGCAAAGTGTTCGTGGGCCCAGAAAGTGCAGGTACTGATTGGCAGGTTTGCACGTGTTGTGCTGTTAAGACTCTGAGCTCAAGGGGACTTACCTTTGCCCAGTCCTTGTTTGTTTTATTTACCGTTACTACTGCTATCTCTGACCAGTCTGTTTAGTTGACAGCTCTAGCTTTTAACTAACTGTCAGGTAATAAACCCCACGTGTAGACGCTTTACGACCAAATGCCAGGATGCATGTCTGGCTGTCAGGTTTGTCAAACCCAGAGTCAACGTCGAATGTCTGCACAGCCGTGGCAGTTCCCAATGTCTAGTTGTCATAGCGGTGGCACAGTGTGGTGGTGCTTTGTACATAGAATGTATAAATTTTTTTTAAATATTTTGTTCTTCTCAAGCTTCCTGAGCAAGAAAACGAACAGAGGACAATGTAGAGCAGGAAGGAAGTCTTAAAGCTGTGATAACCGTGCGATAGGTTTTTCAAAGGTATGCCAAGGAATGGCGAAAAATGGACCAGTATAGGATGCCGTCTGCCTGTGAGCAGTCAAACCAGCCACAAACAAAACACAATCTGAGCAGAGAAGTGATATTATTATGGTACTAGGTCATGCTGTTCAGATTTTTTAAAGGCCTTGCAGGACTGTGCGCATGACAAGGACACTGCCATGAACATGAAACTCTCCACTGGAGTACATGTTCCTCACCAGGTTTGGCTGGAATGCTTGAGGCGGTGCTCCTTGCCAGAACATGCCTATCTCCAAGAGGATCACAAGCAGTCAAAGCAGAGGCTATGTGACAAAAACACTTTGCTCGTGTTCTGCATGGGTTGTGTGCTATGTGCATAAGGAACACAATCAATACAATTGGATGTTGCTAGAATCACTCTACATATGTTGTAGCTCAACAAATTTCACATTCTGCAGCATTTTATCGCACATCAAGTATCACAAATTTATTTTCAGAATAAGACTGAAACTGTCTTGTTATTCTAGCAACACGGATTACACATAACCAGAGCACTAGGCAAAAATTTCTAGAGCAACAGTTTGTTCGAGCCCTTACGGCACTCCTAAATTGCCGGCGGTCGTTCACACCAGTCGTTGGACGGTGCTGGGTTCTAGTTTTGTACCTCCAAGGAATATAGCCAAAAAGAACTGCAAGAGGCAAGAAGAAAAGTCATTTTTACGGTGGTGATGTACATAAAGACATGAGCGATGTGTTCAAGAATGCGGTGGATTGTTTTGAGGTCAAACTAAGCGAGTCTGTGTCTGGCCCGTTTGTATGCAGTGTGCTTGGGAGCGTGTTGACCAGTGTCTGGATGTATAGTCAGGTTTGTTCAGGTTGCTTTACTTTTTCACTCTCGAGTTTTGTATGGCAGGATGAGGTCTGGGTTAATTGCGCGTCTAGGTTGTCTTTTGAGGTTCACAGTACTGTTTCGCTTGTTTTGGCAATCTTTTTTTTTTCTTTTTCTGTGAATATAGGATTAGGTCAAATTTAGTAGTGCAATGTTTTTAGTATTTTTGTTACCTGTGCTGTCAGGCTGCTGGCTATTTCGCATGCACGCTTGCATCTCTTGGACATTTCGAAACCGGGATCCACATCATAGTAATGTGCTAGTGCAGTGTCTAGTAATACGAGCCAGTTTCATCCTCTAGGACCAACTCGGCACGTTTTCCCTGTCCCTACACTAGGTACCAAAAGACAGTACAGTGCCCAAAAGTGCCAATGCTTTATAGATTGTCTCCATCTTTTCTTCTTCTATAGCTGCACTGCAATGAAGGAAATTTTGTAATTAGCAGTTTATTTATACATGGCTTATTGGTGTACCTCACACAGTCTGACATTTATGACAGTGTTGTATCTTGGTCAATAAACAGTTTTTGATGTTCAAAAGGTTTTTTTTGTTGTTGTATTTACACACTTTGCAAGTCTTAGCAAAACAATGTAAGCATTTGAAAGGATATGTAATGATTTAGGTTGACTTTGTAATGACTTAAAAAAGCATGTACTTCCTCCGGCAACCTTTATTGTTGCTTGGGAGAGGTGTAGGGCACCCAATTCAAAAGCCAATTTACTGGTGAGCTCATTCATCAACAAACAAAAGTAAGAAGTGCTACATCGTTAGCATGAACAAGCAGGTGCTGGTTTTTCTTGTAAAATTAAAAGAATGCAATAAAAACCAGCAGTGTTGTGGGGAGGGCTCATTCGGGGCCTCCACTTAAATGGTGACATTTGTCTATTTCACAGTTTTATTGCATCAATAACAACTTGTACGACAATTTACTAACATGGCATAAAGCTACTCAAGTCTGCTGTGCATCCACATTACTTAATCATAATAATAATCTTTATTCAGCCTAAAGCGCTATGACATCACACATCACAAAAGATTTCCATAGAGCAACATGCATTGTTTTCTAGCAAAATGTTGACATGATCGGCCAACTCAAGATCTGATTGTTGGCTGCTGAGGTAAGCTTGCCAATAATTTTCACAACTTAGCGCCAGACAGGGCGTCATATTGTTAATAAAGTTTGACACTACCACCACAAGGAATGGGCAGGTGCAAACTAACACGAGCAGGGACCCTCCTCTTGCGTCGTTTAATAGCTTCATACAAAAACGAGACTTTGGCCAGGTCTTTCTATACTTCAACAAAATTTAAAATATACCCGTCGTGTTCAGAAATAGGCTGATCATGATCCACAATATCTATAAATGACAATCACACTTTTGTATTGTGAGCCTGGTGGCTGTATTTTTCGTTAGAAATGGCCCACCCTGGCAAGCGCTCGGAGAGCAGCCAACGGAGAGCACGTGACATCCATTGCAATCGTGACATAGATTGTCTCAGGACGAGCAAAGCTGCGGCGAGACTGACAATGAGAGGATGTTCTAGCTTAGTGGTTCTCAACCATTGATGCTTCGCGGACCACTTGTGGATCGGCGGGGATGATGGAGGACCCCGTTTGTGGCGAGGGGAGGCGAAAGTATAGGTTAAATATGATTTAATAAATGAATAGAACTAAGGGCTAGTGTGAAGTAGACCTCTGTTCCTGACATACATGCGAGATAACTTGCCCGAAAACTGAAACAGTTCTTCTCGATCTGAAAAAAGGCAACTTTTATTGCCAGGCTTGACTGGTGGGGCAGGGCTTCACGGACCCCTAGAATTCCTTCACGAGCCCCCATTTTAAAACCACTGTCCCAGCCGTTCCAGCCACCGAAGCACGCCAGCAATCGATCGGGCCACTGTAACTAAGCCCAAAGCTGCTTTTGTATGAATTTTGAGTGACGAGTTAATCTTCTATAATCATGAAGAGGGACAGACATCTGGGACACACAAAAGAGAGTCGGGGAGAGGGGAGTTCCTCCTTCCCCTCTTCTCTCGTAGTGGCCAAAGGCAAGACAGTTATCGTCGCTACTTGTCAAGGTTCCTAGATGAGCATTACAAACGAGGCGTTGGCGACATCCACTAGGTGCTCTTTCTAATCGTTTAATTTGTTTTAAAATTTCTTTGCTTGTCTTTTTCAACAAGAGATTGGGGTCTGATGCGATACTGCTCCGTTGAACACGAATAGACCTAAAAATAAGCGCCGAAATTTCGTAGTATCCCTTTAAAGGGGCCACGAAATTAATTTTGGGCTGGGATAAATGATTCTAGATTGGGATTTTGCTAATCACATATTGTTTAGTGGGCCAAAAGGAAGAGGGTAGAAAGTCAAGAGCCTGCTCTTTGGTACGAAAGTTTGAAAATATAGCATACGATTTTGCACCACCTTTCTTTTTTTCGAAAGCTCTCCGCTTTTTCACTGCGATACATCCATGGTACTCAAAACACATCAGCCGACCCTATCGCGCGCATTGGACACAAGCCCTGCGTCACTTGGACGTATGCACTCGTCAATAATCAATCTGTCGACGAATATTTGGGTTTGTGGCCAATGAGTGCCATGATGACATTTGCCATCACTTGCTGATGAAATTTCATGACTTGCTTAAAAAAACGCAGTGGAAGCTTGGATTCGTTGCATTTGGTGAAATACTGTCATGACCACGTGATTTCTCATTTTGCTTTTAAATTGAGGAGAAAAGCTAAGAAGGAAGAAGCTGAAAAAATTGTAGAGCCCTTCCACTTCACGTGAAGATGGAGAACCAGCGAAGCTGTTATCGTTACGACATCTAGGACGATGCCCAGAGGACAACATCTAGCACGACATCAAGGACCACTTCTAAGACGACCTCGAGGATGACCTCAAGGACAACTTCTAGGACGACCTCGAGGACGTCTGGAAGTCCACTCTGACGACCTCAAGGACGACCTTTCGGAGGACTTCTAGGACGACCTCGAGGACGTTCTCAAGGATGACCTCGAGGACGACTTCTAGGACGACCTTGAGGACGATGCCTAGAGATGATAAAGGATCAGGACCTCAGTATCTAATTTCATTTCATTTCATTTATTTACCTCAAGGGCGTCTTTTGAGGACGCATTACATGAGGGGGGTGGCAATAAATGGGAATACAATATAAAACATAACGTAAGAACACGAACACAACCACATCTCGTCTAACCACAAAAGAAAACAAGATATATATATACACAAACAGACGTTCCCTACTCATTGAACAAAAGCGCGCACATTTCTTGAAACGCCGTAATATCTAAGTTGGTTACAAAATGATCTGGCAAGTTATTCCATTCTGTAATACATATTATTAAGGGAGAAAACATGAATGAGTTATTATGGGAGCGGTATTGAAAGAGTTTGCATGTGTTGTCGTTTCGAGAAGAAATATAATGGGCTTTTTGACAATAAATATTTCTGAACTGTGAATTACTATGGTAAACTTGATGGAAGAAACACATGCGGTTAATTTTGCGCCGTGTGGCTAATGAAGCGAGACCAAGTCTTGATTTTAAGGCGGAGACACTACTTCGTGGAGAGTAATCATTTAGGATGAACCGGGTAGCTTTGTTTTGAATGGATTCTAGGTTTGATATTAGATCATTTTGATCTGGATTCCACACAACGCTTGCGTATTCAAGTTTGGGTCGAATTATTGTTTTATAGGCAAGTAATTTTGTCGCAGCAGGGGCCAGATAGAGGTTCCGCCTCAAGAAAGCTAATGATGCCAAGGAAGGTTGACCCACGCTGGTTGCCCCCTCTTTTCGTTTTTATTTATTTCTACTTGCCACGACCAATGAGGAGTTTTCTGTCGACATGTGAGGACACATTTTTTCCCAGACCCTAGCGTATAACAGCTTCGCTGTAAAATAATTTCATGACCCCTTCAACAATATCTTCCCATCTGAAGTTTCATCTTTGCAAGTAATTGAACAAATCTTCTTTCCTTGTTTTGAGCCTTTTATATCCACTGCTGCTGGATTTTTGGGGGGCTCGAGACCAGTCAAGCTGTTTTGAACAGCTTTTTTCTCTTGCCTCCTCCAACATTGTTTGTTGTAAAATAAAGGAATTATATGTTTTTGCTATTTATTTCTTTAGTATATAGACCCGATAATAGAAACAAGGCACACAGAGTCTGGATATTGCATAGGGTCGGCCAAAGTGAAGATACAAGCTGATTCTCAAGAAACCTCTGGCACTTTGACAAACTCAATTAAAATCGAGTTCTTCAAACAAATTTGCCATACTTTTATTGCTTCAAACAAAGTATGCAAAGGCCTTGTATACATTTTTTCGCATTTATTATTGAACAGTAAATTAAAAAAAATAATTGTTAACAGTATACAAAGACTATTTACAACAATGGCTAAGTCAACCTTTTATGTATGCCTTCATCTTTTGCCACCAAGCTGCTGCTTCATGGTGGAAATCTTCTCGCTGATTGCTCGGTTGGCTGCGGTGCACTTGCTCAGGATAAAGTTGAGTGCATTCTCGTCTTTTTGCTCAAAGGCAAACTTGGCCGCTTCATCCAAGTTACTGAAACCAAGCAGAGATCCCTCTGTAGAACTGTGCTGGCAAAAGCATGTATGTTTTGACCATGAGATGCAGAGCAGTGTCTATGTTTGCACCTGTACCCCTTTGGTGAGACCCAGTGATGGAAGCGGCATTTGACCTTTTGTAGCAGGTTCTGTGGCAGGCAAAATATTGGTTGGGAGCAGGAACTGACGCTTTTGGAGCAACATCTGTTAGCAAATCACTTGAACATAAAAAAGTGATTGCATCTCTGAATGAGTTCATTTATGATAGTAATCAAGGGTTACTCTCTGATGATACTCGAGCATGTTACTTACTACCGTTCGTGAAAAAAACTTGGAGTAGGTTTCATTTACAATGGGTATTGAAAAATGGCTGAAAAGCGAATCACAGCACAACACTTTGTTGGGATTAATCCTCTCTCCATCTTTGTTTTAGACTCGGTAGTTCGCTAAAGCCTGTAAATTTTTGTAAAATGCCAGCAAGAACCAGCATATTTGCTAACACGTCTACCAACAAAAATGCATCCCGTAGGTTTAATGAACCTACCAAACTCGAGACTCTAACATCATAAGCTGAAAAAACCACCACCCCAAAGTATTATAAATATTATACTTGTGCTCTGAAGGTGACACTGCTTTTTAGCGGCGTAGGAACCAGGGTTGCGCCAATGTTTGCTGGTCTTTCGATTGACAGCTGCACGGGAACTACCGTAACTACCGTATTCATTCAGATATATATATATATACTCGTGTTTTCTTCTTTCTCTGCTGTTTCTTTTTTTTTTTTTTAGGTTAGAGATTAACTTACAATTAGGACAAAGAAGGTCGACCTGTAATAATTTCGAGCATAGTTAGAGTGCCTATTGCACTAAGCCTGGCGCTCCCCCAAGTCAGTCGCTGCTCCTAGCACTTTGGTGCAAAGCGGTGAAGCTCGATGCACATACGCTGGTGAGAGGCAGAGGTTGACGTGAGCGGTGCAACTGCCACAGTACTCTGCAGCCACGAAACGAACGCAAGTGGCGGACATAACAATCAAGGGATCTATCAGGAGTACAGGAACCTGGTTTTGTTTTATCACAGTAGCCACAATCAGCAATCCTATTATTCTGCAAAGTTTTCTCAGGACTCTTTGTTCCTGACATCGACGACATCGTCTGGAAATTTAGACGATATCAGCGATCAACCAGCCAGCGCATCAACCAGCCAGAGCGGTTGATGCCCAGCATCATCCACTCTGGTTGGTTGATTCGCAGCATTAAAGCGCAACATCGCGGCATTCGTCATCTCCTTGTATGTGTTCTTTCGTCGCGTAAAACAAATCAAGTGCAGCAAATATCCTGTGACTTGTGCATTTAGTATGTGTGTTTGTGGTTGTATGTGTTCGCACCTTTGACTATGCTCTGACCTAAACAAATTACAGTAGAGACAAGTAAAATTCGTATTTATACAATTTTCCTCTCCTTCTACTTTGCTAAATATTAGAGTCAACCAATAATACAATATTAACTTCTCTGCTTTAAGCCCATCTCGGCACAGGTGCAGTACAATTCTTAACAAAAATGGCATTTTGGTGCAAGGTGCTAATGGCATAGCACTTCCATCACAGTGAGACCTCAACTTACACTGAATCAAGCTGGACTTTCTTGCATGCTTAACAGGCCTACTGTCCTAGTGTAACAGTAGCACAAATATCATACTCGCTCCAATTTATTTTTGATGTCTCGCCAAATATACTGTGACCAAACAAGTTTGACAGAGAAGTGCTTGGCCGAGGACGAGCAATTGAAACTTCATTTGCAACTAAGGCCAGCTTGGTGGCTCCAAAATGAAGTGGCAGTCTACAAATCCCTAGTAGGTGGTCTCAAACACTGTCCAAGGTGCCTGCATGCAGTTGGATATTTTTTAAAAGCATGCAGTCGTTGGATATTTTTGAAACAATCTATGGTTTACAAATACAAAATACACACCAGTCTTCGACGCTTACAGTTGTTTAAATAGTTGGCTCTTGCGAGCCTAAAGAAATACATGTTTATAAAGCTATAATGTCAATTCATACAATAAAAAAAAAAGCCAACTGCCTTTTGGATTTTGTAAATTTTCCAATATTACTTCTTTTAAATATTTTTAACTATTACTTTGACAACACTGCATATGATTAGAAAGGAGACAGAGAAGAGGCCAGCAAGGAATGAGGAAGTCTATTCTGAGACAATTTTCACAACCTAATCTTTAATTTATTTTGCCTTGCAAATTTATTTTGGGTATTCAGCAAGCCCACTTAGACTGTAAAAAAGCACAAATTTGTGTGGCTACGAATTACAGTGCGCTGAACATGCCTCATGGCCCGACCAATGATGTGTCATATTGGCAGTGACAAGAAAGTCAGCAGTACGTATTTACTTGCATAATGAACATACTCGCATAATAAACGCACCCCCCAAAACGGGTACCAATATTTAGACTTTTTTTTTCCCTCGCGTAATGAACGCATTTCCAATTTTCGGCTCCGCGAGTCTCAATTGCATCCAATTTAGCCAGCCACAAAGTCCATTTTCTTTTGCCGCCAAGCAGTCAGGCCAAGTCAAGCCAAGCCAAGCCGCTCTCATAATGGCTGCAAGCGGCCGCAGGTGCATAGTTGAGGAAGTGATCAACCGTGAAACCGAGCGGCGCGCACACTTGACGAAGCTTGGGTAGAGGAATTGCCCAGCCTTGGACATTCTTCTCCTATTGAACAAACACGCCGTCGTCTGTGGTCTGCCTCCGGACAGTGAGTGAAAGTGGTTAGGCCTAAGAAGAGTCGCATTGCTCCCCGTGCTGAGTGCGCTTCGTAGGGCGCTTTTTCTTCAGCACAAGGCACACCAAAAGCGCCCTAAAAAGGTTTGCAATTTATAGAGCATGATTACAGTGGCACTCCTACGACCAGCCATGGGCACGCCTCCGCCAGTGAAGACGTGCTACAGTACCCTGCCATGTAATATTGGCACCTAAAATCACATTTGTGCAAAGTGTAAATACAAAAATTTATTCCGTATAATAAACCCCCCCCCCCCATATAGGTCAATTTTTCAGAAAAATAAATGAAAGATGTTTACAATCCCCTACAACGCCGAATTAGATCGCAGGTCTTGAGGAGGAGGAGGGAAGGGTACTAAGGGGAGAAGGTGGAAAGTCCCCCACTACTAAGATGGGTGTGGATCGACGTGTGCTTAACGCAAGTCGCAGAAAATGCGCACCTTTGGTGAGAGCACTGTGTAAATTTGGCGGGAATTTAGCGGGGCAATTTTTTCCCCTAACTTTAGTGGGGAATTTTTTCCACTAAATTTAGCGGGGAAATTTTTTTCGCTAGATTTAGCGGGGAATTTTTTCTCCAAGTGACGTCACTGATGATGTCATCAGTGACGATGATGTCATCAGTGACGATGATGTCATCAGTGACGATGACGTTATCACGATGACGTCACTGGTGGTTTTTGTGACGTGATCGTTATCGTCACTGATGACATCATCAGTGACGTCACCAGTGACGTCACGTGTCCCATGGTGCACCGCGCTATTTCGCCGACAACGACGCTACTCAAGCCGAAAACTGGCGCCTAAAAATGCGCTCTAAAAAGTGTGTTCATTATGCGAGTAAATACGTATGTGCTGCTTCGAGTGCTCTGAAATAATCAATTGTACCTTTCCCAAGTTGTTGAAATAATCAATTGTACCTTTCCCAAGCTGCCTCAAATTATACTTCCTTAGTAAGTAAATGCTTGTAATGCAAATATATAAGATTTTCAGCAGTGATTCCAACTTACCCAAGCTTCACAAAGTACTTGACTTTGTTCTCTTCTTTTGCTTTGGCAAGGTACTTCATCGCTTCATACTTGTTATCATATTTTAGGCAGATGTCAATAAAGGGCTGTAATAGTATGAAACATGGGTTAGGTGTACTTTTCTGCCTCACAAAAAGATAGAGTAAAATTTGGGCCAGACAAGCTATTTACTTCGTATCCTATAGGTGACTTCTTCGACTTTGAAAATTTCTCCAACTCTATCCACTGGTTTCCTTCTGCAAGCACTGACAACTTGAGCCACCAGAACCTGGAGGATAAATGAGTAGAATGCCAATATGAAATCAGACTAACAACCCAAGATCCGATTCCTTTCGCCTCTCAGCAGGAAACTCTAAGCAGTGCTTCAAAAGTTTTTACCCTGTGACCTACAGACCCTGGAGTAAAGCTCGGAAAATAATACAGCATTTAAAAATGGTGGGACAGGGAATCAAACAATAATAATGATAATGCCAACCGTGTGAAAGTGGTAGAGGTGATGAAAATCAGCACATGACAGTGTGCACCCCACTGACCTTCATGACTATTGTTTGGATTGTGTCCCCAAGCTATGAATGCAAGATTTCTCGCAACTGCGTGTGCATCCTAGCAGCTGTGGTTGTTGAGGGCCTGGCAAAGGTTCTGTGAAGGCACAACACTGCAGAAAGGCAGCACAACTTGCTTCAAAAACACATGCAGTGCAATCAATGCCTGTGTTTAATGCATTGTCAAGTGGTGGTGTAGCTCGCATGTGCTCTCGAACATTCCAATAATTATCAAGAATCGATGTAGTGGATGTGACCACAACAGCTCAAAAATTTGGCATGCATAACCTGCACCAAGTGTAATCTTGAAGCAATATGTTTGCTACATAGAGCATTTAAAGATATCATACTATGCTCTCTACCATGGTTCCATAAATGTTTTAGCCATAACAAAAGAGCTTCCCTTTAACTCTCAGAAAACCAGCACCTCAGTTTGAAATTGCAGTGGAACAAGGCAAAGGTTGCTAGTGGATTCTCTTTGCCTTGAATATGTCTGGACTGTACGAGCAGAAGCGCCTGCCAGATGCAAGTTCCCACCTGTAGCCTTCCTTCTACAACTACCTAAAGCTTCACACGAAGTATACAGAACTTATTTTTCATCCACCCAAGGGTTTCAAACTATTTCTCTTTTCTCAACCACATAATATCACTTCAGTGACCTGCAGTTGGTACAAGTCACGAACACAGTAACACGCTGCTCACATACTTACGCACTTCAAAAGGGCAACTTGTGATCAACCAAAATGTGTGTTACACCTGTGACACTTTCCTGTAAGACCAGTATCACACCGACAGAATTGATTCTTGATGGGTATCCAAGTGTTTGAGTGCACTGAATACGTCACCATCACTGAACAATACGGCAAACGTGCTTGCTGATCGCATTGTAACTCTTTTTGAAGTGAACTGCACCATCTTTCTGCAGTGCACCAACTGTGTAGATTTCTCTACACAGTTGCAGCAGCTAGCATATACATAAAGCTTCAAGAAAAAACTGTAACAAATGATGGTGATCGAAGCTAGCTGGCTACGGCGCGTAGCCAGGCAGATTCCACAATGTTTCACCTGGTTGACCATGTTATATGGTAAGACTTGAGAACTTGGCAAGACTTCAGATTGAGAACTTTAAGCAACTGAATTTGTGAAGTGTGATCTGGAAAAGTGTCATGAAGATCATGGTACACCTTCACGCCTGCCTGGTTGAGGCTCTTTGGCCGGAGGAAAACAGCAGAGTTGTCTATCACTGATGATCAAACATGGGAACCATGTACGATTTTTGTAATAGCATTCCCAATAATAATATAATGTTGCTGTGCCAAAGCATAGATATTCTTGGCTGTTAATAGAAATCAAGAACAAATACATACTGTAAGCAATTTCTATCTTTGCGGGCTCAAAATTTAACAAACTTTTTGCAGTGTGGTTTTTGGGAATATTTTGCATACAGAACATTTTATGGTTTGGACCAATATGCAATATACTGCTCGTTACCATGAGGTGATATATTTGCGTGATGGATTTTTAGCACTATTTTTCAGATTGTGAAATTCGCAAAAAAATAGGCACCTAAAAATGAAGTCGTTTACAGTATTACTAAATTGCATTCCACGGGGACGATGTTGCAGAAATGTGAAATGTCTGAAGTCGTCGATTAGATTTATGTAGAATCTGATTATAAATGTTTGACACGTGAATTAACCAAGAAGAGAAATTATTTTAAATTTTCGGCGACTGTTTAGATTAGAGATTTAAAAATCTTTCAGCCTGCAATCCCCAAACTTCTATGACTATTGACTGGTAACATGTCACCACCACTGATTTTTTGTAGCACTAAATTTCTGTGCACTGATTACATGATCTTGAATATACATGCATCCAGCTCCTGCTAGCATGCATTAGTAGGCACTTCTATGACTGGAAGAAAGTTTGGAATGTCTTGGCAGTCACTACTGTCAGTGCAAATGTCCACATGCCATGTTTGGCAACAGTTCATATTTAATTTAATAAAAAAAATTCAATGCATACTTCCAGTCTTTGGTTTGCATGTAGTTTAGAATTGGACATCAAGTGCATGTTCCCAGGTGCACAATGGTAATAGTCTGTCCCCTCTCCACAGCAGAAACAGATTGTGCCAGCTACAGGATCTATCAAGTGTCAAACTGAGCGTACGTCCAAACCGTCCCACAATTTCCTACGATATGCAGTGTAGTCTGGGATTCTTGCGAGGCCTTTTGGGATTTTTTGGGATGGTCTACTGTGGTTTGTGGACCACAAGTGATATATCTGCATACTTTCCTTATCACCAGTTCATGCACTGGCAGCTAAGGAAATAGACATTACATTCATAAAATTACTCACACGAATAAACTAAAAATAAATTCTGAAAATGTAAACTTGCTTGCACGAAGTTCGCCTAAAGAACAAATTATTGATTAAATCATTTTTCAGAGAAGATAAGGGGAAGGTATTTTAAAAGCTTTCCCTAGCACAGATTAGGCACCACCACTAGTTTGGAGAGTCCTTTGCCCTCTAAAACAGCATTTCAAGATATTATTTCTATGCCAAAAGAAGTGCCTGGCCTGCCTTGAACTGCTCTGTAATGTCACTGCAAAGGCCAGGCCCAGCCTGGACCCTTCTTAATGGCAAACTTAAGGTACAGAGGTTGGTCTATAATTGTGCAGACCTCTAATCTCGCACTTGTATTTGATATACTGCAAAATACCGGGCAAATGCCCACTCAAAATTTAGAGATAATCAAGAAAAAATGGGGGATGGGCGCTTGTCCGGTCAACAATTTTACAGATAATTGTAGTGTGCATATTTTCTCAGATCTTAGAAATTTGGATATGGGCACTTAATGTAAAATGGGCAGGTGCACGGTATTCTATGGCAGCGCTAACTTGTGAGAAAAATAAACATATATCACCCTCTACCCTCAAAATAATATACCTTCAGTAATCCATCCCAGAAGCCCAACAACATTTACCACACCTCTGAAGGAAGCAATGCCAGAGGCCACAACGTAATACCCCACCTCTGAAGGAAGAGATCAAATGAGATTTAGCTTCTTTCTCAAGAAAGACAGTTAGTACCCAAATTTATGCTCCAGTTAGATGCTCCTGAAAAGATTTTGTCCTGCAGGACCTATCTGATGCTACTATCATCAGACAAATTTTTGCTCCAATTACCGTTTCTCAGGGACCTTGAACTCCTTGCAAAGATCTTCAGCCAGTTTCATCTCCTTGATCTCCATAAGGCGCCGCATTGTCTGCTGGACAGACAGGCCGTCGAATTTGTCATTGAATCTGCCTTCATACTTCAGCTGGTGTTTCATCAGGCGCAGTTGGTCCTCTGTTTGCTGAATAAAATCGAAGCATATAATATTGTCAAAGCGGCAAAAAACATGGCTATCCCTTTCCACGTTTTGTTTAAAAAAGAGCTGAAATCTCTGAAACCAAAAATGACCTGCATTTCCCCAAGGTCAAAGGTGTCACCCTCTCCTCTCCTTTCTCTCTCATTTAGTTCTCCCCTTTCTCGTTTCTTATTGAAAAATCTGCCTCTTTCCAATTGCAGAGGTTGAAAGGCTGTAGTTGTCTATCCTTGCCGGTTGTGTTTTTCAGTTTGTCATGGCAGTTAGACTTTTACCCTGATTAAAGGGGTACTGACATGAAAATTAGAATATACCCCTCTCACATTTGGATATAGGTTAGACATGATGAACAATATCTGCTAATGACAATCACACGCTTGTATTTTGAATGGATGGCTATATTTTACTATCTAAACAACTAATTCTGGCAAGCGCTCGAAGAGCAGCCATCCGAGTGCGCCATCACGAGGATAGTGCCAGAGCTTTACTAGATGGTGGCCCAGAACAGAGAGGATGAGGGGTTTGCCATGCTGTTCAGGGGGGGGGGGCTTTCAGGAGTAGCCTTGTACTGGGAACAAGACTCTCAAGTTTCTCAAAAAAGCCCAGGGACCCCCCCCGGAACCTACGGCCAAGAGGGCCTGCAGTGCCGCAAGTCCTACCCACCAGGTCAGAGGGCAGCAGAATGAAGGCCCCCAAGTAGCCCCCCCCCCCTCCTCCAAGTCACAATCTTGCTTTGTCGAAGTACTCGAGGGCTGTAGCATATCGTGGGGCCGGCGAGGCGGCGGAGATGGCGGTGCTGCCTCGAGTGTGCGATGGCCGACCAATGTGACCCAGCTCTCAATTTTATTACTTTATTCCACTTAGCAGTATTTTACTAGAAAAGGGCTCTAGTTCTGTTCTTTCCTTCAGTGTGGGCGAAGCCTCTTCTGCATATCTTAGGTTGCATCAAAGTTCAAACTATAATGATATAGTGATGAGAAGGTGCGAATGGTTCCTCCAGCACCCAGTGGGAGCTTTTTGATAATTGTTTACAAATGCCTCTGAACAACAAAGTAGCAATGTTTATTTTTATTATATAGAATGTGATGATTCCCGAGTAGTATGTATGCATGTAACATGTATGCTTGGGTATCAAACTATATAACACAAATAGATGTAGTGAACAAGTGTCGGAGCTAGAAACGTGTGCAACTTTTGACCAATTAGAAGTACTAAGATGTTTTTGAGTTATTGTTATTGTGAACGCCCCATTGTTGGATATCTCGGACCACTTTGAACCGTTTATTATAAAACGGCTGTCTAGCATTTCAATAAAACAAATTATTGGAGAAACCGAAAAGAGAATGGCTTTCAGGAATGTGTAACCAGTAACTGGAACCGTAAAAAACCGAAACGAAACCAATATCAACAGGAAACCGTAACCGTAACCGAAACATTATATTTGTCGGTTTTAATTCATGATTAAATAAAGATTCCCCTTCTTCGTAGCAATATTAATATTATTATACCACATTTTTTTGTTTTATTTCATGCCCACTTTTGCGTTCAAATTATACAGAGGCCTGGTTAAATGGCCTGCTGCATTTTCCAAATCAAAAAATAACTATATAACCCATAAGAGTAAAGTATGTTGCAGTGCAATCTCGCTTTCGGGCTGTCACGTGCTACTATAGTTGCTGAAAGAAGGGAGAAAGGTTGACATAACTTAAGCTTAAACAGAGATAGAAAAAAAAAAAACATAAAAAGAGGGATAACGCAACAGACAGTACCAGCACAGACCTGAATTCATGTCGAAAAGTTGCAAATGAAAGACACTATCTATTCGTTGAATGTTAGTTATTGGAATATGCGCAAGAAATAAAGGACCTACATCGGCGGCAGTCACCAAGGTCAAAAGAGTACTGGGGCAGCATTTTGCACAGACAGATGCACTAGGTAGCAAGGAAAATAAGGCAAGAATGCAAACATACCGTTGCACAGAAGTCATTTTTCGCTTGCCTGTACTTCGTTGCCGCAGCTTGTAATAAGGCCAGACGTTGCTCAACACGCTAGAAAATCACCAAAAAGCCTTTTTTGGGGGCTCACAGTAAAAAGAAGCAACGAAGTTAAAAAGCCAACATGAGCTTTGTAAAATAAATTTTATCCATAGACTGACCCCAGTTTATACAACACAGGTTTGGCACTTAATCATTTTTCACTCAATGCAAGGTTTTGCAGTTAGGAAATAATTAAATGAGATAAATAAAATTTAACTGAAACTGGCTTGCAGGTTTCCTCCTTATTTATTACAACAAGCACTTTACAGCTCAATGCTAAATAGTGCAGTTTTCAATTATTGTTTACTCCAAGTTTAAAAAAAAAACAATAAAAACTTTCTTTTAAACACGCAAAATAAAAATATTCAAGAAAGTAACAAACTGTAATGTTTTGCTCTCCTATTGTTTAGTTAACCTTGGTAATTATGAGTTTATTAGACAAAAAGATTTGTGAGGCAGCTGAAATTCTCAGATTTTTTAACGTTCAATATTTTCCTTGCTATAGGGAGATATTCCAAAATCGATTACAATAGTGACCATGATAACTTCTTTTATATGTCTAGAAACAGACAAAAGTTCCCACATATTGAAGGTATGATTTAATTGAAAATGTGTGAAGACACTTGCCAAGTTTTTTTGTGCCGTAGAGAAAAGTATTTTGCACATTCTACAGGCATCATACTTTTTGTAAGAACTAGAAAAATCTAGCTACTGCATCATGACAAATATAGTAGAACTGCTTTACCTGTATGAACCCTCTCAATCGGATATCAGATGCTTCTCTTATCAGAACCCTACTGAAAGCAGGTGACTTTTACCCAAGACTAGCTAAATGGATCCTATTTGTTTGTTACCCAGGAGTCCTTTCTGAGTTAGTTGCTCTTAACAATGTTTTACTGTAATATGCGATTTTTGACAACTGTCATCTTAGTTATTACTTGAGGTGCGAATACAGAACATTTTCAGTCAAACAAAGCATTTTTATCAGGCAACACGAGGCTATATCAAAAGTTACTGAGACACTTCGAAACCATCAAAAGTGCTTTTAAAAAATCATACCGGAGTCCTGTAGCTCTCCATGATCTTGCACTCTGCAACTCCCGTGAAGTTGTCTCCCACATCGTACAGTGCTTCCAATTTTTGCAGGTCCCACTCCTTGCACAACTGAATTTCAGGAGGAAAAAGACCACTACCGTAGTACATGCTCATGACAATGCTAAACTTAAGAACTGTCTCTCCCGCTCAGCGTGGCTGACTATTCACTATTGGCTTTATTATACAGTTATTAGCCTACGGAAGAAAATATAAAGGCAGAGCTAACCCAGTGTACAACGCTTGTACCTTCCACATGCAAAGGATGTTTAAAAATGTACAAGGGGTGGTAAAACCTTGTTTGGGCCACAAAACGAGTCAAAATATGCCATTTTTTAACTGATGATGAACTGTAACTGTATGCAACAACCTTCGAAGTCGATATCAACACCGTTACAGAACCGAAATTAAGCATCTTACTCAGCGATAAAAAAAAAAAGAAAAGAAAATAATAATACAGGCCTTACTGAACGTTGGTGAACATGAACAATAATCCCTGTGAACAATAATCTTTGTTATGTCGTTAATAAATATGTTATACTTTATGAGGCAATAATTTGGAGACATTACTTCTGTACCATCGCTCATATTTTCCTCAGCTCGAGCGTTTCTACAACACACCAACGGCACCTCGAGCATGTTATGTTTTTGTGATTGCTTAATTTTTTTATTAACCCCTATTTTTAGAAACAAGCAGCTAGTTACCTTACACTACAAATAAATGAGCATTCTAAAAAAAAAGTAATATAATAAATGAACTGTACCTTTAGATACAGGGCCAGGGCTACGGGGGTACTGACGGATTGTCAGGTCGAAGTCCGAAGACTTCATTTCTTTGAGTTTCAACATGACCGTGTAGACTGCAATCAATGAGCAGCAAGTTTCCCATTAAGACAATAATTAAAATTTAGCACTTCCTGTGGCAGGGGGCTGTTCAAACTCAGGTCCATGAGACACATGTGGTTCCCAAGAAGATTCGTTGTGGCTCAGCTGCCTGAAGCCCTCTATAATAGGGGTCACATGCCAAAATAATGTGTCACCTCAAGTGCAAGTTTGACATGCTATTAACTCTAAAAAAATTGACATGTGCTTTAATAAAAAAGAAGATATTATGATTGAAAACAATTTGAAATAGAAGACTTCTGTGAATTATTGTTTCTCCACAGGCCTAATATTTAAGGCATAAAATATGGAAATTATTTTGAAGTGCCGCTTTTCAGAGTGTTTTGTCGAATGAAATTTCGCGACTTCTAGGTTCATAGGCTAAGTTGCTGCAATATGCGAAATTCACCATCGTCGTGAACCAGTATACATAATTTACGGTAGTTTTCCACATCTTTTACTAACCGTTCCTCTTGAACAGCAAGTTTTGGAATGCACAAAGCTATAATAAGGATTGTAACACAATGTTACTCTTGTAGACTGAAGGTGCAAAGTTGATGATATAGCTTGTTCAAGTAATATCCACCTTAGAGTGACATTGCAGATTGCGCAAACATTTGACCGTCATCATTTGACTCGAGTGAAGCGAACCTACCTGTCCACAATTTTGTTTTATGAGTTCTATTTCAAATAACCTCACAACGTTTTTTTTTGCCCAAAAATGTTTATTGCAAGAAACAATTTTTTTTTTTTTTTCACGTGCAGCGCTTGAAGTTATTACGAGCGCTGGTGAGGCTCTTGAGCGCAGAGGCTTGCCTGATCATGTACTATGATTGCACCTGGCAATCTTTCCAAATTATTCATAGCAGATTCGACCGGCTCCAGACAGGCACACTCGTGGGCAAAGGAAATGGCAATGCATGAAGAGAATACTTCTTGCATGTTACAACAGTAAATAAAATGTGCACATATGAATGTTGATGCCAAAGCAATGATCAAGTGTTTATCGCTGTTATCTAGTGCTATGTGACAAAATAATGGTGGTTGCTCATTTGTTTCTTCGGTGCCTGTGCATTCACGTGGCATCTGCTTGCCTTGTTAGATAGGACCTTAAGAGGAACATCTATACAGGGTATTTCATGAAACGCATGCCATTTCCTTGCAAAGCTACACAATGCGCACACACACAAAAAAATAAGATTGGTGTCGTACAGGTTACAGCCAAAGAACCTTTTTATGCAAGCTTTGCATAACTTTTTAATTTGTAAAAATAAATAGAAAGTTTTAATGAGGCACCTGCTGAGCATTATCTAAAACAACATACAAGTCACTTTTTGAAATATTTATCTGCGTGAATCTTTGGCAGCAACAACTAACATGAAGCCAAAACCTCTGAGCTGCATTCCAAAGGTCATACCTTTAGAGCTCAAACAGTCGACCAAACACTGAACAAACCTTATGTCTTTCCAAAAATTACCTATTCAGAAGTTTTGGTTATGGTCAAGAGATATCTAATTAAAATCATACCTCTATAAACTCTAAAATGACTAATATACAGCACCAACTTTTTTTTAGCTGTGTGATGCCTAGAGTTTCCAGAAAAAGTTTGGTCTGCATTCCATAAAACATATCATTTTCAGAATCATCCAATTGTCAGAACTAAAAATCAAGCAATGATTAGGAGGACTTGGTGTAATCAATGGCTGAAGGTACAGGAAGGAATAATATGCTAAGATTTCAATAAACCAGCAGCAAGGCAGACAACATCTGGCCCCACGTTGGGCACAAGATGTGGAAACAAAAGTATGACGACTGCCTTTGCCAGATTCCAAACCCGTTTTGATCTGCGCGCTCCTCACAAACTCGCCTGCTCGTATCTTCCGCGCCTTCTTAACTGTCCTCTTCTCCAAAATTCCAAAGCTTTTAAGCAGACATACCGTAAAAACCGAACAAGCGCCTACTCAAAATTTGAAGATAATCGCGAAAAAATAGGGGATGGGCGCATGTGAGGTCGTCAATTTTACAGACATATATGTACTGTGCATATTTTTTCAGATGCTTCAAATTTTGGGGGTGTGCGCCTAGTGCGGAATGGGCAGATGCACGGTATTCTATGGTAAGCCAGAGGAAAATAATTCATACTCAGGTCGGTGTCTCCACTGTCAATGGCCTTCACAAGTGCATGTTCCTCTTTACCCAGCTCAATCAGTATAGGCACTTGCTCTGAGGCTCTTGGCTCACAGTCCAGAAGCTGTCATAGAAAAATTCACTCATATCAGGTCTGTTTTATTTTGAGATGAAGGAAAGCCACTGCTGCCACCAGAACATAGCCCATATACATAGTTAAAGTGAATACACACACACACACTAAACAGTTGGCTTCAAAAGAAAACATGATATAACTACACCCGTGACAAGTCACACTTCCCTTCTTCTTTGTGCTGAAAGTTAATTCATCCTTTTTTATATGGTATTTATACCCTGGTTGTTGTCACATTCTCACCTAGACCTGCTGCAGTTACTCCAATGAATGAGGGCCATATTGCAATATCTAAGATGCAACAATTTACCTGCCTCAATCTTTTAGTTACTGCAACTACGTACTAACAGTTTGTGCCATTAGGTATCACCACCACACAACTACATAGAAATATAGAGACATTACTTTACAATATTGCACCAGAGATCTGACTAGTAATGCTGGGAGTTTGAGCCTATTTGAGTCATACTTCTGTAGCATGAATTGTGTATTGGCTTGCAGACGCTTTGCAACACTATGCTGAATACTCTCTTCTGCATTCGTCTTTCTCGAAATTCATTGTAACACATGTTCAAGTTAACACATGTTCACAAACCTAAAAGATGCATGCAAAGGCAGCCTAGCAATACCCCTGATAAAACTGGGTAAAGTAAGCTGATTACTAAATAAAAGGAGGTATAGTACTGCCAAAAGACACAAGTGCAGCAAAAAGAGAGGTACATGATTTTGCACCTATCCCTCCACCATATATGTATCTTTTGAAGTTATAAAGTTTCACTCCTGGCCTAACTTGTCCATTAAAGAAGTCTATGAAATGCTACGCAAGGTAGCGAAAGCCAGTATGCCCCAAGTTCTCACCTTCACGGCAAGGTCCCTGCGACCACACTGCACCGCCTTTCTCGCAATTTCAGAGTAGAGTATCCCAGGCGATGACTCCAGCTTCTGCGAGATGGCTCTTGCTACTTCGTCCGTGGGAACGTGCATTTGTGCCACCTGAAATTGCAACTGTTGTTGCCACTGCCATAACCAAGGAACTCCACTAAACTGACTTCGGCTGGCTGTGGATTTTTGAAACTTGCTTTTATGTATTGCCAGTGGGTTTTGGGTAGCAAAGATAGCTGGAGTCATACCAAAAAAAGAAAAAAAAAGATAGCATTGAAAAATATTTTAGACATGCACAGGAAAAAAATTGCGCGACCATCCCAGCTATGCTACTTATTCGATGATAAGATGATGACGATCGATTGACATTGCGCCGATCGTGCGCCATACGGTGATCTGATATTAAAATGACGTTGCATTAAGCTAGAGACAATACGTTTTTGATGAATAAATTATTTTAAGGTTGTGATGTGTTTCCCTGCCAAATTTAGCGGGGAAACTGAATTGGTGCGCAGCTCATGCAACATCAATTTTTCTGCTAAATTTAGCGGGGAACCTGAATTTGATTGTAGGTCCCATGACGTCAGGTCACGTGACATCAATTTTCCCACCAAATTTAGTGAGGAAACTGAGTTTGTGCATAGGTCACATGATGTAAATTTTTCTGCTAAATTTAGCGAGGAAACTGAATTGGTGCATAGGACATGTGACAAATTTTTTCGCTAAATTTCGTGAGGAACCTGAATTCGTCTGTGGGTCCAGTGACGTCAAGTCCCGTGACATCAATTTTCCCACTAAATTTAGTGAGGAAACTGAATGGGTGCATAGGTCACATGATGTAAATTTTTCTGCTAAATTTAGCGAGGAAACTGAATTGGTGCATAGGACATCTGACAAATGTTTCCACTAAATTTCGTGAGGAACCTGAATTCGTCTGTGGGTCCAGTGACGTCAAGTCCCGTGACATCAATTTTCCCACTAAATTTAGTGAGGAAACTGAATGGGTGCACAGGTCACATGATGTAAATTTTTCTGCTAAATTTAGCGAGGAAACTGAATTGGTGCATAGGACATGTGACAAATTCTTCCGCTAAATTTCGTGAGGAACCTGAATTCGCCTGTGGGTCCAGTGACGTCAAGTCCCGTGACATCAATTTTCCCACTAAATTTAGTGAGGAAACTGAATGGGTGCATAGGTCACATGATGTAAATTTTTCTGCTAAATTTAGCGAGGAAACTGAATTGGTGCATAGGACACGTGACAAATTTTTCCACTAAATTTCGTGAGGAACCTGAATTCGTCTGCGGGTCCAGTGACGTCAAGTCCCGTGACATCAATTTTCCCACTAAATTTAGTGAGGAAACTGAATGGGTGCATAGGTCACATGATGTAAATTTTTCTGCTAAATTTAGCGAGGAAACTGAATTGGTGCATAGGACATGTGACAAATTTTTCCACTAAATTTCGTGAGGAACCTGAATTCGTCTGCGGGTCCAGTGACGTCAAGTCCCGTGACATCAATTTTCCCACTAAATTTAGTGAGGAAACTGAATGGGTGCATACGTCACATGATGTAAATTTTTCTGCTAAATTTAGCGAGGAAACTGAATTGGTGCATAAGACATGTGACAAATTCTTCCGCTAAATTTCGTGAGGAACCTGAATTCGCCTGTGGGTCCAGTGACGTCAAGTCCCGTGACATCAATTTTCCCACTAAATTTAGTGAGGAAACTGAATGGGTGCATAGGTCACATGATGTAAATTTTTCTGCTAAATTTAGCGAGGAAACTGAATTGGTGCATAGGACACGTGACAAATTTTTCCACTAAATTTCGTGAGGAACCTGAATTCGTCTGTGGGTCCAGTGACGTCAAGTCCCGTGACATCAATTTTCCCACTAAATTTAGTGAGGAAACTGAATGGGTGCATAGGTCACATGATGTAAATTTTTCTGCTAAATTTAGCGAGGAAACTGAATTGGTGCATAGGACATGTGACAAATTTTTCCACTAAATTTCGTGAGGAACCTGAATTCGTCTGTGGGTCCAGTGACGTCAAGTCCCGTGACATCAATTTTCCCACTAAATTTAGTGAGGAAACTGAATGGGTGCATACGTCACATGATGTAAATTTTTCTGCTAAAATTAGCGAGGAAACTGAATTGGTGCATAGGACATCTGACAAATTTTTCCGCTAAATTTCGTGAGGAACCTGAATTCGTCTGTGGGTCCAGTGACGTCAAGTCCCGTGACATCAATTTTCCCACCAAATTTAGTGAGGAAACTGAATGGGTGCATAGGTCACATGATGTAAATTTTTCTGCTAAATTTAGAGGGGAAACCGAATAGGGGCATAGGTCACGTGACACCAATTTTTTTGTTAAATTTAGCGAGGAAACTGAATTGGTGCATAGGACATGTGACAAATTTTTCCGCTAAATTTCGTGAGGAACCTGAATTCGTCTGTGGGTCCAGTGACGTCAAGTCCCGTGACATCAATAGACCCTTTCCGGAATTCAGTGCCATCTGGTGACTCAAATGGCAGTTTATCTTTTACTATACTAATGGCGGCAATGAACCTGCGGTCTGCAGTATTTTATGGGGCACCGTCACTTTTAAAGGTCAACAGTAAACGAGAATGTGCACTTCACTACAATTATTTTTCAATCTCTTTTAGTGTCGATGGCGAAACAAATGCAGCCAATCGGAACGAAGCGCCAACCCACATAGACGCCTTGATAGAGTTGTGTACATCAAGGGGCTTTGAAGCCGAGTGAGTGCTACTAACAGATTGACTGGGACCGAGTTAGAAATGAATGCTTACGCAGCTCTTGCGTCCAATTCCTGCTTCACGCCGCGCCAACATCTAGAATGTATAAGCCTCGAATCATCTGCTTAGCAGCATCTTAAACTTCTTCCTTTATCAGTAAACAGAGGGCCGCCATTAGTATAGCAGATATGCCGTTTTCAGATGATGATGATAGTGATCAAAGTGGCCAGACTGAATTCCGGAAAGGGTCTATTTTTCCACTAAATTTAGTGAGGAAACTGAATGGGTGCATAGGTCACATGATGTAAATATTTCTGCTAAATTTAGCGGGGAAACCGAATTGGGGCATAGGTCACGTGACACCAATTTTTCTGCTAAATTTAGCGAGAAAACTGAATTGGTGCATAGGACATGTGACAAATTTTTCCGCTAAATTTCGTGAGGAACCTGAATTCGTCTGTGGGTCCAGTGACGTCAAGTCCCGTGACATCAATTTTCCCACTAAATGTAGTGAGGAAACTGAATGGGTGCATAGGTAACATGATGTAAATTTTTCTGCTAAATTTAGCGGGGAAACCGAATTGGGGCATAGGTCACATGACACCAATTTTTCTGCTAAATTTAGCGGTAAACCTGAGTTTGGTCTGTAGGCCCCGTGACGTGAGGTCACATGACATAAATTTTCCCGCCAAATTTAGTGGGGAAACTGAATTGGTGCATGGGTGACGTGACATCAATTTTCCCGCCAAATTTAGTGGGGAAACTGAATTGGTGCATAGGTGACGTGATCTCCTGCCAAATTTAGCGGGGAAACTAAATAGCTGCATAAGCGACGTGACGTCAATTTTTCCACTAAATTTAGCAGGGAAACTTAATTGGTGCATAGGTCATGTGACATACATTTTCCTGCCAAATTTAGTGGGAAAACTGAATTGGTCCATAAGTCACATGACATCAATTTTTCTGCCAAATTTAGCGAGGAAACTGATTTGGTGCATAGGTGACGTGATGTCAATATTTTCGCCAAATTTAGCAGGAAAACTAAGTTGGTGCATAAGTCACGTGGCATCAATTTTCCCACTAAATTTAATGAGGAAACTGAATTGGTGCATAGGTCACATGATGTACATTTTCCGCTAAATTTAGCGGAGAAACTGAATTGGTGCATAGGTCACGTAAAACCAATTTTCCCGCCAAATTTAGCGGGGAAACTGAATTGGTGCATATGTGACGTGACATCAATTTTCCCGCCAAATTTAGCGGGGAAACTGATTTGGTGCATAGGTGAAGTGATGTCAATATTTCCGCCAAATTTAGCGGGAAAACGGAGTTGGTGCATAAATCACGTGACATCAATTTTCCCTCCAAATTTAGCGGGGAAACTGAATCGGTGCAAAGGTCGCGTGACATCAATTTTCCTACCAAATTTAGCCAGGAAACTGAATTGGTCCATAGGTCACATGACGAAAATTTTTCACTAAATTTGGCGGGGAAACTGAGTTGGTGCATATGTGACGTGACATCAATTTTCCCGCCAAATTTAGCGGGGAAACTGATTTGGTGCATAGGTGAAGTGATGTCAATATTTCCGCCAAATTTAGCGGGAAAACGGAGTTGGTGCATAAATCATGTGACATCAATTTTCCTGCCAAATTTAACAAGGAAACTGAATTGGTGCATAGGTCATGTGACATAAATTTTTCTGCCAAATTTAGTGCAAAAACTGAATTGGTGCATAAGACACGAGATGTAAATTTTTCTGCTAAATTTAGCAGGGAAACTGAATTGGCGCATAGGTCACATGTAAATTTTTTTGCTAAATTTAGCAGGGAAACTGAATTGGTGCATAGGTCACTTGACATAAATTTTCTCACCAAATATAGAGGGGAAACTAAATGGGTGCACAGGTCACGCGACATCAATTTTCCCAGCAAATTTAGCGGGGAAACTCAATTGGTGCATAGGTGACGTGACATCAATTTTTCCTCAAAATTAAGCGGAGAACCTGAATTTGTTCACGCTCACGCCATCGAAAAACCGGGGGAACGGCCCACTAACAGCTTATTGCTGTAAAATGTGGGACAGAAAAGGTTGACAGAAGTCGCTGCAAAATTTTGAACTTATTCCAGCCACATAAACTGTGCACGATGGCTTTACCACCCTATAAACATGTGGACACCGAGTTCGCGACAGATATAAAGAAGATATTCACCCCCTTCCCCCATCATCGTGTAAAGGAAGTGGCAAAACGGAATGCATGGTGTGCCACTTTGCAGTGATGCTGCACAGACAAGCTTGCTACCCATTTTGTGTCCCGGCAGCATGAACATCGCTGAACCATCGTCATCTCTCGGAGACGTCCCGTCTCCGAGAGAAAGCCCTGCCAAGCCTAGCGCTCTGGCGAAAGTGGAGCAGTAAGCTCCCATCTTGAGCAGTACCCCAGCTCTGACCCTGCTACTTCGCGTCTACCCGATTCTGCCGAAGCACGTGCCTGTTCTTTTCCCACTCACCTTCTGCACACTCTCTCACCACATGTGCGAGCACACTTGCTCACCACCTTCTAAATAACAAGGTCGTAGTCTCACCAGAGGCCAGCGTGGGGCACAAATTGGACACGAGTGCTGCATCGGTGTTTGGCTGGAACTCATGTTCAATCAGAGGGGATAGGACTTCCAGCTGAACGCAGACGTAGCACTTGTGCGACGCTCTTCTGTTACAGAGCAGGTATGTTACAGGAAGTGTCTAGAAGCTAGATGTACAACACATTCTGCGTTAAAATAACGAGTCTTATTTACAAAATCAACCTGAGGAGCTAGGAATTTCAGGAACTACATTTTCAATGCACTTGCAGCTGCCCAGACAAACACAGACGTTTTCTTATACAATTAATACTATGACTTTCTTGCTTTCCTGTTTTGGACCCAGTGTAAGGTCACTTATCACTTATCACATTCTACAGCACGAGTCAAGGGGATCGATGACTGTTTGAAGAAACCGCATAAATCGGTTTCTGAACATATCGAGCTAAGAATTTGTACAACGGTGGCTGAAGAGTGCGCATCAAGTCTATCAAATGTTCACTGAGCAAGCTTACCAGAGTAAAAAGTTGGAAATCAAGAGCCTGGAATCCCTACCTATGGCTGCCATCTACTAACGAAGGCGTCTGGTTGGCACAACAGCCACCGGATGGCAGCACGTAAGATGGCAGGCACCTAGAGAGCCTAAATTGAAGAGAGGGTCCAAACCATTGGGAGCATTTGCAGTTTAATGGTAGATTCTAGTGCCACTAAATAAGCTACACTTCAGAGTAACGACACTTGGCCATATTGTGTCTTAAAATCATGGTTGCCAGCTATCTGAAGCTTTATCTGAAATCACAGGAAACGTCTTTCTGGCCTCCACAAATGCTTAAACAGTTCGCTACAAAGAGAGTCCATATTACATGAGCTTCCCAACACCGAATCTAAGGCTGAGGAAGTCGCACCTTTGAATCGTGACGGTCGGCAGTTGCGCCTGCTCTGCACAAGCCCCAAAATGGCGGCGCTCACTATAATGTTCAGGGAACGGAGTGCCGATACTCTAAGCGCAGCTCATTTAGTGGCTCTCGTAGATGCCTCCTGTGGAGATTGGTCGCAAGTGCACATGCACTGCATTTTTGTATGGCGAGGAGAAAAGCAGGAGGAAAGGTGGAGACGTTCAACGCTTTCGGCACCTCCTCGCAGCTCATATTGCAAATGTGGCGTATAAATTCCGTGACCCCAATCGAGCGGTTGGAAGCTCTCTGCAAGGTTCTCCATGGCGCTTCCCTCTATCTCGGCAATAGCAGATGACCGTTCTGAGCCAGAAGCGATGAGATCTTTATCTCTTTTTTTGTGCCGATTGTCAATGTATGACTCTTTTATTCATACCAATAAAACATAAAAAAATAAACACGAAATGAAAAAAAAAAAAAAAAAACAGGTGCTGTCTCGTTTTTTTTAACTATTATTTTCAACTACTATGTTGTCATCTGCTTTGCACTCCCTGGTTATTACTGCATCTCTTTTCTTGTATGCAACTTTCCTCCATGCTGTTTTAGGCTTTAACTCCCAACAAGCAAGTGAAGGATGTTCTCTGGTACGGGGAGTGCCAAAGGACAAAAGAGGACCGCCAACATTTTTTAGCAGAGTTTCGGCGGTGATTCTACGCCGGGTGAGGCACCTCAACGTGGGCAAAGACCTCTAAAACATCTCTTGGAGAACAGTGGTGTCGTCACCGAAGCAGACACTGAAAAATGCGGTACTCGGAGCCTTTGCCGCCGACCCCCACCTGTCGACGCAGAGAGCACTCGCAACATCTGTAGGATGCTGTGCCAATTAGGCGCCTTTCGTTAGCGGACGGAGGCCGTAGGCAGAAACTTCAGGTTTTTGATTTCTAACTTGTTACTCAGGTAAGTTTGTTCTGTGAAACTTTGGCACATTCTTCAATCACCTCCGTGAAGAAGTTTAGCTCGACGTGTTAAGAAAATAATTTATGCGGTCTTTTCAAATGCACTTATAACAAAGAACAAAATGGAATCACCACCAAAGGTAAGAAAGAAGTGGAAAAACAAATGATGCTTCAACACAGCCCTAGGTGTCACCTTATAGCAGGCCCAATGCGCCAAGATGCGGCTCGTGCCTTCAGTGTCAGGGATGCGCAGGAATTTGGCTATCTTCAGGGCAAGGTAGTAGTGTTGTCTGAGGATCAGCCGGTCCAAAAGGACTTCCATCGTCAAGCACTGCAACCTGCTAGTGGTTCAGGAAAACCGAGTAACAGCGAGCCAAATATTTCTCCGATTTGTTTTCTTTTAATAGCTACTTGAGTAAAACTTTAATAGCTGGTATTCCACCAAGATGCATGCTCACATAATACCTTTGTAGTTAATACTATATGTGCAACGTCGCCCTCTGCACGAGCTTCTGCTGTTTGAGTTCACTATGAATAGGTGTCAAATGTCACTATAATCTTTGTTCCTCAGAACAAGTATCAGCGCAAGAACAAAATCTTAAGAATGGGTACTTCCTCCATGTTACAAGACATCATCTCCTTAAGGCTGGTTCACACACTCGCAACTGCTTACGACCAAGTGCCTTCAAACTTCTTAAGATCGCTTGCAGTTTCCGTGTATATCCTAGTTTTTTGTACATCATTCCTTCTTTCTTGTCTCAAAGACTTCTGACAATGTTATAACAACCACTTCTCATAAAAAGTATGTATACATTTGATCTTGCAAATACCGCAAAACCTTCGCTCCAGTGGAATGCAGTTCCAGGGTTACCTCATGGGTTGCCAGCGTGCTCTCGTCGTAACAGATCGCAAAACCTCAGTCCTAAGCAAATGCAGGTGTGTAAACAAACCTTTACCAAAGCATGCTTTTTTTTTCTCTTTCGAGCTGGCAATTATAAAGTTGGATACATAAATGATAATGCCCCATTTGAAGCTAAAGCCCCTTAGTCTTGCCATGCCCAAAAGCAACATTGACCTAATGACCTTGGTAACCGCATTGCTGGGGCTTTAAGGTAGAACAGTTCAAAACTGATCAAATATGCACGAGTGAATAGAGTGAACCTAATTAAAGTACCGGAATGCTTATATGTATCGCGACACTTAGCTGTTGAAAGGTTGAGTAGGAAAGGATACTGCACATAGGTGAGGGGCAGGCCGACGGTATGCTCTCTGACCGCATTCAGAACCCGTAACGTCCGGCATGCATTCACAAAGCCATCCGGGTTCATGCTGGGGATGAAGGACTTGCCAAAGCACGCCGCCTGCGTGTGGATACCATGACCAAGGACTCCCTTAGAAACTCAGTTGAAAAAATAATCCCACCAGTTCAGTCCTTAGACTACAAAGAGAAAACAAACAAGGAAAGCAAAAACAAACTTGGCGAAAGCACTAATATTCTGGTTTTCCCAAGCTCTGTCAATGATGCACGCACCCTGAGTAGCTTCTTCTGGGTCGCAGACTGATATTCGTGGGCAGCAGCATCGATGCACTGCTGTATGGCAAGCTCCAGATTATTTTCCTCGATGATGGATCTCAGGTACTCGTCTGCTTTGTAACTCTTTTTCTGGAACACAAGAGAGTTATGCACTGTAAGTCAGACTTATGGACAGCTTCAATCATTCAAGAAAATGTGCAACCACAGAAGCAAGCAGTATTTGTACTACCGCAAAAAAAAAAATAGATGTGAGCAAACAAACCTCAAATTCAACCGATGCTGCCAGAAGTAAAGCCCCAGGGTCCATAGATCCAATCCTGAAGACATCTTTAACAACATCTGGCAGAAGAAATAGGTAATGTACAAGTAGGTTAGATGTTTTAATAGTATAAGATAATTTAATCCTTCAAAATGCAATCCAAATGCAGTTCTGTAAAGTATGAAAAGTCTCTGCAAGACCTTTAGGGTGTAGAGCATGTACCGTAGTTCACTTACGGACCATCTAAAGTGGGTCTTTAGAACCCACTTTAGACGGTCCGCAAAAAGCGGTTTTTCAACATGCTGCGCCGCCATTTTCTACAGAGGTGCGGCTAGGTGGTAAAAGATTAGAGTAAAAACATCAACGGAGGAGCTTATCTCATTCAAACGAGGAAAAAAAAAAAGAAAAACCTCCTTTGGGCAACTGACAGCAGCATTCGCAGACAGTGTCATGACTGTGCTTGCCTAGTTGTACTTGCAGCCGACAGATGTCGAAAGTGTCGAGGACATGCCGGCGCCGAGCTTAGCAGATGATCTTCCGAAAGTTACCACTTTGCCAGTGTGCGTCTCTCTAATGTACAATTCAGAAAGTGCCATAATGTATTCATCTTTCAAACAACAAGCTGAATAGAAAAACAGAAATTTAAATCCATCATGGCTCCTCATTTCCAATAGAGATGATTGGTCAAGGCATTACATACTCTAATAGCTCACGTTGCGTGAACTGTTAGCAGCACATACAACTAGTTGAACATGGTCATGACACCGTCTGCAAATGCCGCCACAGACTGCTCAAAACAGGTTTTTCTTTTTTCATTTTTGAACAAAGTAAGTTCATCCGTGGACACTTCCACTCCAAACTTCCTCTACCGAACCAACGCTCATCCTGTTTGCCTCTCCGTCTTCGTATTCGTCTTTATTGTGCGCTTTCACTACTTTCAACATGCGAACCACACCTCTGTAGTAAATCACAACGCGATATGTAAAGAAACTGATTTTTTCAGACTGTCTAAAGTGGGCTCCAGGAGTTAGTGCACATGATGTTGAACCTTCTGATAGAACGCATAAAGCGAACTACTAAAAGTCCGTTGCTAACTGGAAACCCTCGTACGACCGAAATCGTGGTTAACTCTTTCCATATCACGCCCATAGGCCATTGATCTTTCATGATTGATGGTTTCCATGCGCCGCTAGAATTCTAATTGGGAATGCAAGAACATATGCCATCTCGCAGATAGCCGAAGGACAACAGCTTCGGTTTTGATTTTGACTTGCGCTTTCTCTCAAGCTGGTAAGCTGGTGAGCTATCAGAAATAAATCTCTGCAAGGCGGTGGAACTTATCAAACATGCTGTCCTGCTGGCACTGGAGACTGCTACAAGGAAAGCCTCAATCGTGCAATTTAACGACTTTTGCTGCTCAATCGTTGGATGACGGCAACAGTGACAGCTGTGGATGATGTTGGATCACTTCATTTGAGCTCCTACAGCGATGTTTCGTCTCCGAAGTGCAGAATACCAACAGGTGCCTGTTGGAGAGCGTCGTTCGAGTTTTATAGGCTGTTCTGGGTCAGGGCACACATTTTATGTATGCTGCAAGCCGCAAAAACATCGGCAGAGAAAAAGTAGGGGCAGAGCTATCACAAACCAAGGTTTTGAGCAAACAAAAACAAAAGTATTCTGGACGACATTCACCTCCGCATGCAACAGCGTCTCTGAATAGCACGACGACATGGAAGCACACTAGCCGACGGACAAATAAAAGACGATATCAGCTAGAGCTCTCTAACTTACAGTGGTGCATATGAGGTACTTCGTATATGTAGCATTTTTCAAGCTCATAGTGTGATTTAATATAGACAAAAATGTTTCGACTTTTTGTTTTAATTGTTACACAAGTTCCAAGTTCAGCCTTTTTAAATTTGACAAAATATTTTCAGACATTAGTGCAAACATTTTTTTTCTCTAAAGAGCAGCTTACTGGCTACGTTTTCATGTACCATAATTAGCCATCTGCTATGTACCCCAACATCCCGAGAGATAGCCCACCTCAAGTCGAGAGCAAGTTGGGTGAAAATGAGGTGTGGGCTAACTTTGATGTAAAATAAGAAAGTAAAAGAAAAAGAACACATGCATTATTTTTAGATTATGTTTTTCTGCCAAACATGTTTTTGCAGCGAGTGATAATGGAAGCGAAGATGACTGTACTTCCCAGTCAGCAACGGTCGCTTATATCCCACTATAGTTAACTAGCCGCATTTACGCCGAGGTCATCACTGATTTGAACATTATGATTATTAGGAGCGGGCTATCTCTCTATGTTTAAAAGAAAATAGCAAATCAGGCCAAAAGTAGGGGTAGGTTATCTTTTGGAGGTAGGGCATTTCTCGGTAGTTATTATAAAAAGAAATGCTTTGTGCATCGCTCAAGAATCGCAACTTCTCTCTGTGGTACAGAAAGAGTTAAATAAAAGTCAAGCAATTGGCACTCTGACTGAACAATGTGCAGACTCACTTGGCACTTTCTGCAGCAACTCATGAATAGTGTTGCCAATCAGACGAACACCATCCACTTCTTGAACCAGGTGAATAGGCACATCAACGGGATAAGTGCAGAGGAGTGAAGAAATGGTACGCTGATGTAGGCATCACTCATGATTCATGAAACTTCTCAATCATAAAAATCTATGACTTCCAATATTAAACATTAGAGATTCAGAGAATCATTTCCAAAATAATCAAGCCAAGTATGAGGGGCATTCAAGTTGTAAGGTCCCCTATTTCTTTTCTTTTTTTTTTTTTCTCTAGTGGACAGTTAGAGGCATGGGTAGCACCTTAAAATATGCAGAATATAATTGGGAATGAGAACGAGGCAGAGCAAAACTGTTAGAAGTCGTGAAACGTTCATGGTGCCACTTGGTGTCCCCCTTGTTTGAGACACTAAAAATGTCCACGTTTACCTTCAGAAAGCCCAGCGTGTTATTTGTTCTCTGTACCTAGGCAGGATCGGGCGATTTCGTCTCGTAATAACGGCACAAATGGTGGTCTCACTTCAACAATTACTGCAGTAGATGGGAGATAGATGCCGTTTTTCGATCCCGAAATTGAGTGCCAGTCGCAGCAATGAAAGCACTGCATCTCCCCGCCACCGAAGAAGTTTTGCATTGCCGTCAGTGTGGAGGAGATGGTGGTGGACATATTCGGGGATAGTGGAAGCATCACCCTCACCCACTGCATCCCAAGTGGAACAACAAGAGCACCTCCGTTCTACAAAGACATTATTGAGAAAACATTTTTTACCGCATTGAAAAAAAAACAACCAGAAAAAGTTGCAGCCGTCATCTTCCATCATGACAACGCTCTAGCTCATCGGCTAGGCGTCTTCAAAAATTCTCTCCATGAAAACAACTATGAACTGGTTCCCCAGGCTTCCTACTCCCCTCACCTTGGGCCCAGTGATTATTGGCTATTTCCAACTGTGAAACACTCTGTGGTCGCGTGTTTTCAATGTGATCTGCTGTTGCATGGACAGTATCCTAGTGGTCTCGACAGACCCTCAAGGAAGTCTTCGCAGCAGCCATGCCGTCGTAGCATCGACATTGCAGAAGTGTACAGAACTACATAAAGTTCCAGCTTTTTGTTGCAAGGACTTTTTTTCTAAATAAATTAGGAGACCTTAGACCTTGAATGCCCCCGTAGAGTTATTGAAATGTTCCCCCTGTACACGTGCAGCCTTGAACTCTGCCCTCGTGTGGTGCATACTGTCCTTGCAAATAGATTTCAACCGATCACCTGCAAAAGGGCTCCCAAAAGCTTCCTTTTTTTTACAACTTCAGATTCAATTAGACAGGATTACACCATTCAAAGGCTATTGCATGTTAGAACCTTGGCTCAAGGATATTTGATGAAGTCCCTCTCAAAGCCCAAGACAAGGAGAATCTTGCCCCAGTGGCCCACGACAGCTTTCTGGCCACACCTGAAACAGCAATCATGTCCTTCAACTCGGACCAAGAAGGGGTTGAAGCTTTTATGAAACATACCAGAGAAGCTGTTTTGGACGTGACTTCTCCTTTGTGTCAAGTTCACAAAGTGTGCTCTGAAAAGTAAAGGCTCTCTCAGTTTACAATACCAACACAGTGACCGTTACCAAGTGGAATAAGGATGAGAGAAACAGAAGAAAGGTCTCACGTGAACGGAAGGCCTATCTTCCATTCATTTCATTCCTTCTTTCACCTCAGTGCCAGGGACACTGTCACTATGTTCAGTGTTCACAGACAGGCCAAATTCGAGCCTTGCATTTTACAACCTCAAGCTTTTTCATGCCACAGGGATTGCAACAGCCAACTTGTAGCTATTATGAGAGCAATAGACACTTCTCAAAAGACCATAGAGCAGCAGAGGTGGCCCACATATTTTTGACATCGCTCCCCGTGCAAAGCGTGGGATTGGATCTGAGTTCATGCCGAGCGCCGACACAGCACTCGTGTCCAATACATACTTAAAGCATGGGTCCAAAATATGACAAACTGAGATAATCGACACAGCAGCTACTGGAGGGCATATACTTTTGAGAAGGATCTATTTTAATCTGCCTGTAAATTGTTTTGGTAGGGAATTAGGTTCCAGGAAACAACCTCCGATATCTTAGCAAAAATATACCCTCAAGTCACTGGTTCCAATCCACAGGTGTCCATCATCCAGAAAGAGGGCGATGTTGCGGTAGTCAAATGATACAGCCATTTCTGTCACTGCCTTGAACATTGTCGTAATTGGTGGTGTCTAGAGTGAAAAAAAAAAAAAGAAAAAAAAAAGAAAATGTCCGCTTATTTGGTCACTTAAATAAGCTTTACAAACGTTCATGCTCTCAGTGAAACTCAATAAAAGCCGTAAACACACCATATTGACAGGCCAGAAAAGCATGCCAGCGTAATGTAGTGACAATCACACTCAGCCAGTAACTGGAAGGTGGATACTTAGTTTTATGCAAATTTCAATTTTAAATTTTTTAAGTGTTTGTTGATCTACTTGCACATTTAAAATGCTCTAATTGAGGGTTAAAAAACATAAAGGCCCTAGCAATATTAATGCAGAAGGCAGCAGCAACTGCCGGTAAATGGAAATGCAATGCAATAGTAGTGTATTCCTATGGCCCCCAAAGTTAAAAATACAGAGCCCTTTCAGGTAACACCGAAGGATGATGTACAGTCGGGAGCAAAAGTTTGCGGGGGCACGGGAGTGCGTGCCGAAATGCATCGCCGCGCCGTCCGACGGCGCGCCGCCGCATTAAGGAGACACGGTTTGCGCACGCGCGACCTTCGTGCTCGCAATCATGTCTCTTTCGCTCGTTTCTTTTCGACGCGCTCCTGATAACAGGAGTTAGCGCCAGGGGCGTGCGTTAGCGCTTCGCTGGCTGTCTACTGCGCGTCTGCTTCAGCCGTCTCAGCCACCGCGCTTTGTCACGGAGCTCGCGCGTGTGTGTGTATGTGTGTGTGTGGGGGGGGGGGGGGGGGGGGGGGAGGGGGGGTAGCCAGGCGCCTTGTCACCTAGCGTGGCTGCTGAGGCAGCTGAAGAGGACGCGGGGCATGACAGCCAGCGAAACGGCAACTTGCGCCCCTGGCGCCGACTCCGGTAATCAGGAGTGAGTCGGACAGAAACGAGCGAAAGAGACATGACTGCCAGCACGAAGGGCGCGCATGCGCAAAGCGCAGCTTTTTAATGCGGTGGCGCGCCGTTGCACGGCGCGGCGATGCATTTCGGCACGCGCTCCCGTGCCCCGCAAACTTTTGCTCCCGACTGTACCTCCCTTCCTCTCCCATCAACCAGATGATCCTTCCAACTGGGCCCAAATGAATCATCAAAGCAGCAACATTTTCTCTGTAACAGTAGGCATTTTAATTGTACTGGCATCCTAAGAATTATGAGTTTTGCAGTGCACAAACCTCCTCGATGCACCTTGCACTGCCCCTAGGGTCGAGGACAAAAATCTTGTCGTCTTTGGCAACGACGACTCTTGTGCCCTGTTCGTCTGCGATGATAGTCCAGCTACTGGGTGGTGCCACCATTCCTGGGCAAGCAAGTTACAAATTAGTGTTTGGATATGCCAGTATTTTCTATTCTTAGAAGAGCCCGAGCAACTTCAGATGGAAATGCATGTAGTATGCCTAGCAAAAACACTAAATGTCCAGAAACAATATTTAATTCAAGCAAGTCACGCGGGCCCGTAATGCCACATCACATTTCATTTTATATAAAAAAAAATTATTTGGAATTGTTTAAGAATAGACATGGATGAAAGAAATAGAGACTAAAGAATGCTATCACTCTCCTAACAGTTCGAGACCAAAACCGAGGCAACCTTGTTACAACACAGTTTGCCTCCCTCTTCCTTTCACTCTCAATTATTGGTAAAATGGGCACAGTGAAAACAGCAAGATTTTAGATGATTTTGCAACAGTTTTGTTTCCAAATCAAACCCAGAGTTTCCTCTCTTCAAAGACCGTCCCTGTCAAGTTAGAAATTTCTGGGTTCCACAGGCCCTCTCGGTTCCCTTTACGATATTCTGCGGAAAAGCCGTTCAGAAATGTCTCTTTGTAATAATTCAATAGTCCGTAGGCTTTTCATAACCTGGAAATGCTTTCCTTACTAGATCTTCACTTTCCTAATTGTTCTAATAAGAATTAGAAGCTCCCTGTCCAAAGATGTCAAAAATTAAACCTGCCTGGTACTTCAGGAAGTTGCCATGTTTTGTGGCTAGAAATGCTCTCCACCAGAAAGAAGCTGTACGAGCCAGTGAGAACTCCAACGCCGGTTCTCTGAGATGTAGTGAAAATCTTGCAGTCCAGCACGTTGGTGTCCTTTGGAACCTGGCAGAGACATTATTAAGTAAAGTTCAGTAGTAAAAAAAGGTGAGACCCGTCACTGACTATTGTAAACAACATAATTTTCACAAAGATCCAAGTTTTCTCAAATTCTCGAGAAAAAAAAGTAAATTATTATGTGAATAAATAACCCCATGGTGAGGAATACATAGCTGACCACTCCTAAAAAGAAAAATTGTATGCCGACAAAAAAAAAAATTAAAACTCGCGCTTCGCAAAATGTGTGAAATACTGAGCTCATAAAAATAGTTGTTTACAGTAAATCATTATAGCTTTTGGCCTCACCTGGCCCATTGTGAAGGTCTCCAGGATTTTTCCCAGCAAGTTGTACTCAATGATGACACCGTCTTTTTGGACGCACACCAGACTTTCCGTATTAGACCAACCCATAGCCACAATGATGCCGCTGTCATGCTGCAATATGTAAGACTGCATTTATTACTGCTTACTGATGGAAAAGTTTTCCTTAAGCTACACTGGACACAATGACGTTTGCCTTCTAATCCTTAAGTGAATAAGCACCTGACATGAAGCTGCTGACATGGTGCATACATTTGCATTGATTAGGTATTTAAGCAACCAGGAATGTAAAGTTTAGAAAAAGGTACAAAATTTCCCACACAAAATAAGAAAATAAAAGCAATTAAAAATGTAATTACATTAAAAGTCCCGTCTAGGGTAGGGACAACCAACTACTGTACAAAACACTTTCTGGCATTCCATTTATAAAGTAAATGCACCCACTGCATAGACAAAGTTTTTAGGAATTACCTATTGGATAATTAGTTTGGAAAGTAACTGGATAAATAAATGCATTTTTATCTCTTTATTATGGACACAATATTTTTAAAGACAGTCCCCCCCCCCCCCCCCCCCCCCCCCCAACAAAAAAAGCTTGACGAAGCTTTTGGATCACAGAGTGAATCAGAGTTTTACTACCATCTGTTGTTGGATTCTCCTCTTGAGAAAGTGATAATGTTTAATAAACATGTTTTCTTTGCTATGCAGTTGGCATTCTGATTTCAGTTGCAACAACTTCCGGCTATTGGATTATTTTTGAACCAAACAATGGTTGTTTTTCGTGGTTTTCAGGTCAAATGGGTTCATTGACTTTTCTTTGCTATTGCAGTTTAGGGTGCAGTCCTGGGTCGGCTAACAAACCTGAAGAATTTTCCCTTGCCATATGTGCACCACTTGTGCATAAAAAGCAAGACAGGACACTTCTCCAATCATTTAGAAGGCTCCTTGGACAAGAAAGTATGCTCCAGAGTGTCCGCACAGATCCACACCTTATCATTTTGTAGCTAAATAAGCCGTATCACCTGTGGTCACACTCATCGTCTATTGCAGGGGTGGCCAGGCTGACCCGGCCCAAGAGCCGCAAACAAAACCACGAAACTTCCAAGAGCCGCAGGGGGGAAGGGGGCAAGCTTTTGTACAGAGCAATGAACAAAACTCGAACAACTTTCAATCTATCAGAGTCAAAAGCAGTCCAATTATATGTAAGGTAGGAGTAGCACAAGACTACCAAACCGCAACCTGTCTTTTAATTTAAAACGTGTTCCATTTCTATCTTTTTTTTGTGTGTGTATGTGTGTGTGTGTGGGGGGGAGCCGCAAGGCCGCACTTTAACAAGCGAAGAGCCTCATGCGACTGCGAGCCACAGCTTGGCCACCACTGGTCTATTGTTTGTTTTTGACCTGCACAACTTCTAGTATGGACAATCTTTCCTAGAAAAAGAGGCACCCATATTGACGAGACATGACTGCACAGTCTCCACCAATATGAAAGGCGCACATTAGCAATGGTGGCTGATGGGGGCACAGTGCACATTATGCACAGTTCCACATTGCCCCGAAAAAAACTAGGCAATGCAATCCAACTGAACTGGTGCATACAGGTGAAGCACCTTCCCTCCCTTCAGAGCAACACAGAATTGCACAAAGCGTGAGCAGCGCCCCTCCAAGCCGCGGTCTCGGCCACTCTCTCCAAGTGGGTCTTTCATAATGGTAGAGACTGTAGAGATACTGACGGAAACCACAACGGATAAAATCAATTTTAAAGCAAAATTTTCAAATAGCAAGCAGTTTAGTGAAGCCAAACACATAAAACTAGGTTCATGATAAAAAAAGAAATGAGCTCCTAGGTCACCCTGATATTTCCCAAAGTCTGACCACTTGCTGAGAACAGGTGTATAAGACAGACACTGCTGAGTTTGATTTTCATGATCTTCTTTTCATCCCGTATGATAGCTGGAACAAAAAGGAAATGAATCAAGCACTGCACGTGGACATGCAATCAAGTTTGCACCATAAAACAGATTTATGGCAGACGAATTTAGGGATTAAACTTGCCAAGGTAATGTGCCAAAAAAGAAAAAAAACAAAAAGCATAAATGCCATTGAAAAGAAGAAAAAAAAGGTTTTTTAAACAGATTGGTTGGGACACAAGAGTAAAAAAATAAAATTTACGCAAAAAAAAATAAAAATAAAAAAGGTTTGAGGTACACCTAAGCGCTTCTTACGAGTTGTGAATGCGAGGAAGGCACGCATGCCGCTCTTCGCTTCCTTCTTTCATCTGCGGCGTACGGCGCGCTGACCTTGAGCGTGGAACAGTAGAACCACTGCCTCGCAGACAGGCAGCGCCAACAGGTGAGCGATCGTTCAAACTGAGGAGCAGCGGCCAATGGGAGTCTCGTTGACGCGCACCAGCCAATGGGACCAAAGCCGAAAATTCATCAGCTTTACTTTGCTCCTTTGGGACCAGGGAAACTAGGTGTTGCGTCTAGGCTTTTTGCATAGTTTCATAGCTGGGAGCTGGTTACACTTGGAGAAGGATATAAGGAGCCGTTTTTGCGCTCTGAACTGATGACATCGGCTCGCTCCATGAGACAGTTAATGCTTTCGCGTTAAAAATATTTAGAGCAATATTGACGGCGCGAGATCTATTTTAACTTCTGCGTGCAAAGTCCATGATGTCACGGAATGGTCATACACTCTATCCACCTCAACGAGATGGTCATACACTCTCTCTACCTCAACTTGATGGCCAAGCCGATCCACCTCTCCTCCACAGCCCAAAATGTCGAAGGAGAAAACAAGTGGAAAGGAGGTGACTACCCACTAAATCGCACCTCGCACCGTCAATATTGCTCTAAAAATTACTTTTCTTCACGCAAAAGTCATTTGTTGACACAAATGTCCCAACCAAACCATATAAAAATCCATTTTTTTTCTTTTAATGTTTTAATCTCTATTGCTTTATGCATTAGGGCCTTTAACATATGATAGCTAGAGGTCCCACATAATACTGTCCATCACACAGTGGCCAATAAAAAAATTAGCTTTCACGTTACAGTTAAAAGCTATCCAGAACACTCCTCTGCTGCCCTTCACTTTATATAGGGTCATGCAAAGGGTTCACTGCACTATCCCCAAGTTTCTTATCCTAATTTCTGGGGTGTTTTTCCCCTTTACCTTAGCAAAATGTTGGTAGGCATTGGGAATATTTAGTGTCTTGTTTGTTTCCCTCTTCAACAGAAGGGTTGTTTAAGTTGTGCGACTTGGAATTATGTACTCTAAAATGAAGCCTATACCGGAAAAAAAAAAAAAAAGAAAAAGGCTTGAGGTACACCTATGAGTTGTGAATGCGAAAGCGTGAATGTCGTTCTTGCGCGCGTCCTCATGAAATGGTTGCGCCACGCTAACATCAGCCGTGCCGACGCTCTCCGGAGCAGTGACATGGCCGATTCCTTTCCTGCGTGCTGGTGGTCTGCCTGAGTTAACTGACTCCTTGTAACGGCACGCTGGCGGCGTGGGCACACAGGCCATAGGGTGGTCCTCCTTGAAACTGACATGCAGCAGCCAATGAGAGTCTCGCTCGTTGAAACTATGTCGCAAGCCAGCCAATGGGACCGAAGCCGAAATCCATCAAATTTTGGCTTCACTGCGCTTTATTCGGAGTGGGGAAGCTAGGTGCCTATTGGCTAAGCTTTTCGCGCGGCTTCAAAGCTAGGAGCCGTCAGATCGCGGCTTCACTTGGAGAAAGGAGTTTAGGTGCCATTCGGCGAGGCCTCAAAGCTGATGACATCGGCTCGCTCCATGGGGAAGTTAATGCTTTCGCTTTAAAAAGAAAAGCATACCTATGGGGCCACCATAAGGAGCTGCGGCCACAATAAACTCGGACAGGTTCAGTCCCTGTTCTTGCCATTTCATTGAATACAATTCAAATTTTCTGGAAAAGAATCATCACAACCCTTTAGGCAGATGTTCAAAACTACACATTCAATGAAATTCATTCGACTCTTTCTAGCTTTTTGCTCTCAACTTAGGAACAGGGACAAAATAAGAATTGACAAAAACACAAGGCGCACTAGCAACTGAAATTCTATTAGATAACCACTGACACCCCACCACTTAAAACAAAAAAAAAGGCGTCATTTTTAGCATGTTTATTTTTTCTCTAAAAATAAAAGAATGAAGGCCAAGGAAGGCTCGTCGACACTTATCCGCACTCCTTGTTTTGATCACATAAGCTTTGTTAATTTCGCTGATTGTTTCCTCGCTGTGTCGCTCTAAAATCGCAGTTTTAACTATAAACAGATTGCGCTTGTTTACCGTGCCTACAAAGTGCAGACACATAATATCGTAAATATGTAATATTGAAGAACATATATAACACGGTATAACAAGAACAGCAGTACGGCTAATGAAGCTTATGAGGATTCATCGACTTTTTTTGTGTCTGTTTTAGGCATTTGGTACGGGCCTTGGGTCTATCTGCAACCACCATGATCAAGTAGTGTACTGATTACTAGTGCTATGCAATCAGCCTATACTTGCTGAAATTCTATTCTCAGTTGTCATATGCGCTCAGAAACAAATCAGTAATAAAATTGATGAGACGCAGAATTGAATACCTGTAATAAACGTCTCTGCCTAGCGGACTCCAATCAGCAGTGTAGAGCGCCATTTTAACATCGCCCCTAGAAGAGGTTTCCAGACCAGATTGATCTACGCTCTTAGCTAACCTAGCTAACACAGCAACAACAACAAAAAAATTAATAATCTACAACATTACACATCACTTGATAATTTTTGTAAAAATTATAAAGTAAAAAACTCAAATTATTTTATAAAAGAGTTAAAAGATGTAGACACAAGGCCAGACCAAGCTTGGATCAGACGGGTGCTTTCGGTTTCGTTTTCCTGTAGAGACGGCCGTGTTCAAGCAATATTAGAGACTACTAGCAATCTGGGACCGGGTTTCGCGTACCGCACGAGCCACGAGCCTTTGAAGCATGATTGTTTATGTTTTGCCAGGCGCAGAAGACTACCCAATCAATATTTTGCTACAATGTCACCTATATTTAAAAAAAAAAAAAAAGTTTCAATTAACATATTTCAGATTTTTAGAAGCCACAAAAAATCGGTATCATATTTTTTGTCCATTTGTAGTAATGAGTATGTGCCTTCGATGGTCCACGACTTTATAATAATAATAATAATTGGGTTGTGGGGATATTTATACAGCGTGTAGTTGGTCTGCCATCAAAGTTGCGACACACGCTGTAGATGAGCAATCTAGCCATTGCAGTACAACCGCTAGCCTGGGGTCTTTAACGTGCACCACGCAGTAGTGATACACGACCGCACGCCGGTACGATGCTCATCCAGATCGAAACGGGCAGGGGTGGGGCTCGAGCTCAGGATCCCTGGGTTCTGCAGCGCGAGCTTTCGCTCCACGCGCGTCGAGCTGGGTTTGCGCTTCAGCCCACTCGGCCACCGATCCCCCTCCGCGACTTGGATTATCTTTGGTGGTTGTGTCTGAACCATAGAAAAGGCACGCGACCACGGAATGAGCATTTCTCGATCGGCGGTTTTCGGGCCACAAATTGTTTTGGGTAGTTCATGTCCCCCCAAAAAATATTTACAGGGCTTTTGTCACATGCAGACATAAACTGCGCATCGCGAAACGCCCATTCTCCGCCCAAATGTCGTTCTGGCGGTCCGAACCAGATGCACAAGTTTAATTTGTGAAAGATTTGTTCGACGTCAGTGATGCGACATCTGGGCCATCCTTAAAGGGCCATTTTGATACCCAATCAAGGACCGAGCGAGGAAGGTGAAGATGCTCCCGTTTCCTATGCGTCCTCTGCAGACTCTCTCCTCTCGATATCCATGGCTGTTCATTATATTCAATGCAGCAAAACCCAAATTATGAACCTATGCATGAACTTGGGCTGGTTGGTAGGACAGTGAAATAGTGAAAGGCACCAGAAACTTCACCCCAACTTTTTGTATTTTTAGAGCGCAACTCATAGGCGCCAGTTTCCGGCTTGAGCGGCGTCGGCGTAAGCGCCAGCCCCCCCCCCCCCCCTCCCCTCAGTACCCTTCTCTCCTCCTCCTCCTCAAGAGCTGCGCTCTACTTCAGCATTACAGGGAGTTGTAAACGACGTTCATTTTTCTTGTGGCTTTTGTGTCGCCGACGAAGGCTGTCATAGTGAAAATCTTTCACTCCTTTCTCCTCAACACCTCCAACGCCACTGCCCGGTACCTTTCCCCATGGCAAGGTCACAAAAAGCTGCGACCTGAAGGCAGATATTAGTTCAAGTGTAAGCATAAAGGTCAATTTCAATCACAGAAAGCGAACTCAGCTCACACAAGCGACATCACCTTACCTTGCTTGCCTGACGCAGCAACCACACAGAATTTGTGGTAAATGTTGCTTGCAGACTTCATTAGTAAACTCGGGGGAATGGAGATTCCAATTTCATTGGGAGGGCCAAATGAAATAGTTTGCATTAATGTGGTTGCAAAAAGAAGTTTGATTTCGAGCTGCAGCAGTCTTCAGGAAGTGAGGGAAAACTATACGTACTAAGTCGTGACTTGGGGTTGTTTCAACTGCCTTAAAATAAAATCCGACTCTACGACAGGCCTCGCAACAGCCAATCACTATGATATCCTAAGAAAAGCTACATATAGATAAACATGTTTTAAATAAAACTTTCTGATTAACATGTTACCTAAAGAGTAAAAGCAATTCAGATAAGTCCAATTATTGAACCCTTGGGTAACCAGAGCAGCAAGGCAGCAGTGACTGCCGTGAAGTCCATGGGACTCACCATTCCTCGTCCCAAAAATGGCAGTCATGTGGAGAACTCAATAATTATCAAAAGCACTTTTCACGAAACATGTCAGAAAACAAACATCTTTATGAGTTTTTTGGTATTTACAGTTTTATAGTGTCTAATCCATACTAGAACGTCCCAGTGTTCTGAACGCCACAAGCGCAAAACAAAGGCATCACAACTCTCAGGGAAACAAGAGCATTCTTGCAGTAATTACAGCGTCTTCAATAGCAGCACAGTGTACCAGACAATAGCGCAAAAACCAAAAACGAAGCCCACAATTGTTCGTGTGTGATCACTCCTAGGTCACAGGAGCAAGTCTAAAAATTTAATGACTCGAAAATAGTGCTTGTAACACACATCAGAGAGAACACAACAACTTATAAAATGACATATTTATAATTGTGCATATTCTTGTTTGTTTCTGCCTTTCAAATCAATTACAAATGATATACTCCTTGATGGTAATTACAGTTAAAATTCTATGCTATTTACAAGTTGACTCCGGGGATCACAGTTGGCACCCGTAAAAACCACTCAAGGCACTTTCAGGTATCGTGTAACATCTCTTTCTCTCTCTCTTTAAAACAGCTTTGTCACGCCCATGCCATCCTTCTCGAGCAGAAAAATATTTCAGCGTAAACGCCTTGTTCGAAGGTTTCTCTCTCCAAAAGCTCGTTTTTACAAGGTACCACAAAAGCTCATTTGCTCGCCAAAAAAAAAAACGAAACAAAATACAGGTGCCCTTTCCTTTTTTGCAAGCCACTAGCAGTCATCTGCAGCTAAGAAAAGAGAAGTAATTAAAATATCTAAAACAAGAGGGTGGGATGGGAAACAGACGGTGAAGCTACACACATGCAGAGATAAAAATCTATGTACAGTTTTCTCTCGGCCTGAAGTAAGCTCGATGTGCTCTAGTTCAACTCTCAGTTTAAAAACTTCCTACAGCGTCGGGAGCCACACGAGCAGGGAATCTTGACCTCTTCGATGGGGAACTTATAGTCATACGTCAACTCTTCTCCCTTGAGGATGCTGCAAACAACCAGGCGGCAATAGAGGCAATGTTAGCACCAAGCAAAGTAGGATGACCTAAACACAGCGATGCCATTAGGACGCCGACAACAAAGCTTTCATTATTTCTCTACTTCTTTCCTTGTCTCGTGAATTTCCCAGTTACACCCGAAATCCCCCCATTATGAGAAACAAGCCTTCAGGAGGTACGGTTAGGCATAACAGAAATAAAAGATATCAAATTATGATATGCAGGTCTACTGAGGTGCACAGTTGAGCCCGGTTATATCACACTCTGGTATTTTGAATTGTTGTCTGTATCAAACAGCCCAAACATCCCTCTGAAAATCACATGTAATAATAAAGGAGTGTTGTCCTTTTCTATCCAACTTTCATGGCAGGGACACTCAATATAGCGAACAAAGCCCAGCGGCCGGTTACTTTTCTCGCGATCCGATTGCGCTAGTGGCAAGCACATCGCTTGCATTGTGTGGCTGGCAGACTGCCAAGCCAGCATAAATGCGGAAGATACGGGAAGATACACAGCTAAAGAGCAGAGGCCCTAATCTGGAAACTTGGCGAAAAAGCCGGCGAAAATCCGGTGGCCGTGATTGGCCAACGCCGCACTTGACCTTGGTGCTGGCCAATTAGAGCCGCCGGATTTCTCGCGGACTTTTTCGTCAAGTGTCCAGATTAGGGCCCCAGTTGTGAGAAAGGAGACACAATGAACGGTCAAAAAAAAGTGGAGGATAACAAAAGCAAGGGGAAGGGCACCTGCGTAGGGAGAGCAGGGAGTGCCCGCTATTGGAAGGGTAGCCTGTGCCCTTTCCCCCCCAACACTGCTGATGCTGTGTGACTCCTTAACCCCAAAATAAAATATGCAAAAAAAAAAAAAAAAGAAGAAAAAAAAAAAAAAGAAAAAGTCTTGGGCATGTTGAGAGTGTGTTACAAATGCACTTTAAACACTTTATGTTTGTTTACCTTTTTCTTTTGCTGTTATTGCTTTGCCCCCCCCCCCTCCCCCTTTTTTTCTTTGCCTTTTTTTTTGTTAGAATTTAGTGAGCTTTCTTTTTGCTGCTTGCTTAACTTTTTTTTCTATGGATGAAGAGATTTTTTTTTTTATGCATCTCGCTTTTCCCTTTTTTTCTTTGTTTTTTTTTTATTATTTTCTGTTTCGTCACTTATGCTGTGTGAAGGTTTTGGCCAGGTGCGCGTACAAGCACGGAGGTGTTTGCGGTCTCCGCCAACTACGCTCTACTGTATTTAGCGGCTCTTGGATGCTCTATTTTGTAAGCTCCCATTTGTCACGACCTTCAGTATTAGCAGAAACGCCAGAAAATTTCAACTTGAGCTTAATTTAACACATTTTTGTATATCAAATTATTGATATATCAAACTATTTTATGATCCCTTTTGAATTCAATATATCTGGGTTCGACTATGGTGTAGGCATGGGCGAATAGAGGATTTTGGGTCCGAATCGAATTCGAAGCGAATAGTGATTTTGGTCGAATAATTTCGAATAGAATAGTTCGAATAGTACTAGCAAAAAATACCACAAAATATGTTTAAACTATAGTTTTATATTTGCCCTTATTTGGTATTTGATATACTGTAATTGTTAATTTCAAGTGTATTGAGTTCGGTAGCACGAAACGGTCGGAAGCTTGCGCCACCTGGCCTTAAATCCAAGCCAGAGTAAGTGAAACCCGTTTATATTGAACTTGCAAAAAAAGTCTACCAGTTCGATATAGCGGGTAATTAGATATAAAAGTTTTAATGAACTTGACTCTCAAAAATCCCCTTTCTGCTGAAATATTACACAATGAAGTAGTCTTGCATCTTCTACTGCTTTTTCTTCATTGCATCCGTGATAACGATATTTTTCTACGCTATCGACGGACTCCAAAATTCTTGGGCCGCTGCCTTCTATATTCGCGCATTAGCGCCGAAATATGCCGAGAGCACGGAGCACGTCCAACGGGAGCACCTCCTGCAGAGCGCCGTTTTGCTCTGTAAGTTGGCTTTCCCCTAAAACAGGTGGTGCGCTGGGGGAAGCCAACTAGCAAAGCAAGCTGGCTTTTTTTTCTCTCTCTGGGCGGCCGCGTCAATTTGGAAGAAAAAATAATATTCTCTTTTGCGGAAGGAGCACGGAGCACCGTCTCTCAGCAAAAAATATATTTTATTTTTTTCTGAACAATCAACGCGGCCGCCCAAAGAAAAAAAAAAGTTAGTGTGCTTTGCAAGCTGGCTTTCCCCCAATGCGGCTGCGCGTTGGGGGAAAGCCAGCTTGCAGAGCAAAACGGCGCTCTTGACAGTTCCGATATATCGGTAGCGGCTGCTATTTTTGTTCGATGCAACCATAGTTTTTGTTATATATTATCACTGTAACATTACTGTGCACAACAATTGTTCGATATAAGGAATAATTCGATGTAAACGGGTTCGATATAGTCGGGTTTGACTGTATTTCGAAAGGTCGAATAATTCTATATTGTCGAATAATTCGATATTGTCGAATAATTCGATTTTGTCGAATACTTAAATTCGATTCGAAGCGAATACCGAATAGAACAGAATTCGATTGGCTATTCGTATTAACCGAATATTCGCCCATCCCTACTATGGTGACTAGTAAAGTCAGGGCTTGGGTTTATACCATATCTGCCATGGTGCCTGTTGGCAGTATCAGATGATGCAGAATGGCTCTCCGATGCTAAATCATACCAAGTGTCGTCTGGATATAGACCAAGATAAGCAGACACAGCAGTGTCAATAATGTTACTACTACCTATGTATATTGAGCTGCAAGAACATAACAGTAACTACCCTTTGCTCAAAAGAGCACAATTACTAAATTCAAGAAACCTACAAGGCTTAATTTTTACATCAATAGAAAGTGCATTAAACGCTCTTTCACAACTGCACTAATAATAACATTAGCATTTATCAGGGATGGGCACTATCTCAAATACGTATTTCAAATACTTTGTGTATTTTGTATTTGTATTTAATTACAAATTGGGTAATGTATTTGATGTGTGTATTTAAATACTAAAATGTGGGTATTTCAAATACAATTGCAATTAAACACAATTTTATGGGCAAAAATACACCCTTCAAATTTATTGTCACCGTCCAGAGCAGGAAGAAAGCAATGTTTTGCACCGAATGCAGTGTCTCTCAATCAAGCACAAGCGTTTAGTGACTTTGTGATTACGGTGCTAGTCCAGGGCAAGAATAGTGACAAAATCTATGTTCACAGGCAGACTGGCTAAATAAGTGCCTGTGACAACTTGAGATGTTTTCCAGCCTGATTTCCATCCATATTTTTGCCTGGAACATTCTAAATCTGCAAGTCGTCCAGATTTTCGTAACTGGTGCGAGTAGCAACAATAAAAAATTCTCTAGTTAGTGCTGCGCGTCTTGGTCGTATCAGTTCTTTGTTGGTCTATACCAAAATGTAATCGACAAAAAAAGCTGCTTGAAGCTCTGTACTTTTTTCACCTATTACGTCCAAGCTGATAACATTTTTTTGTGATTATGTCTCTATTACGTTACTACAGCCTCGCACACTAACTCCCGAGTGTGCGATGCAAAATCAAAATGAGATACCCAGAAACCCGTTGCAGGTGCCCTGAAGTCGCTGACGCAAGTTTTGAGGAATGTATTTAGAAAAGTATTTGGAGGAGACCATTTGTATTTGGTTGGTTGAGAACATTTGGTTGTATTTGTACCTTGTACTTAAATGCTTTTTTGGAAATGTAATTAGATTTGTAATTAAATACATTTTTGACAAAGTATTTTGTATTAGTATTTCGATACATATTTGCATGTATCTTGCCCATCCCTGGTATTAATGAAGCAATTTGAATTTTATTGCGCGTAAAGAAGATAGGGCCGGAATCACACCTACGAAAGCACAATGGGCTTTTAAGAAAAAAACAAGAAAACTTGAAAACTCACCTCCTCAATGCAAATATCACAATGTGTTTCTTGTTGTCCACTGTAATCACCTTTGAATAACAATTGGGCTGAAAAGACAAAAGAAGAAAATTAGATAGACACTGAAGCTGGTGAACTTTCAATGATGCAGAAATCAATGACCTAAGGGTCTCTGCAACATTGGCAGGAAGTTACTTTTGCTTCACAATAAAAAAATCTAGCTATGGCATGGTCCCCTAGAACGGTTGTGAAAGCAGGCAGTCCAAAAGCGTGCGAACAGGCCTTTGAAGTAACGAAAAGAAGTCTTACCTCGCAAGAGTGGTTGATGAACCTAGCCGCATTGCCATGCATTGTGGCATCAACAACCTCATGGTCATCAATACGGAACATGTAACAACCGATTCCCTGGAAATAAAGAAACATTGTCAGCACACAGAGCGGGGCAAGCATTTTATGCAACTCGTTACACTTATTTTACGTGTTACTGCTCGCCATATGCGGTACAGCTTTATTATGACGGACCTGGCCGCAACAGACATTTGGATATAAACGACAATTGCAGAAGCCTCGGAGCACATAGAAGTCCACAAGTGCTATTTTGCACATGGTGCCGGACGAGGAGTGTTACCTTGTAATGAGACCACAATTCTGTTGAAAGCTGTTAGTTGCACAAATCAATCCAAAATCACTACCTCCTTTAAGAGTTGATGAGTTTCAGTAAACCAGATTTTGTTGGTAGCCACCACATTTTGCCAGTCTCGCTGCTTACAATAAATTCCACTTGATAATCCACATTCTTTTCCAACCAGTCAAAACATTGGCCACTATTTAAGTCTGTTATAACGAGCTTAGACTAAATATATAAATACTCCCCAGTGCAAAATATCTTTTGACAAAGCTTCGGTAACTTCGAAGTGAGAAAGACAATCAATTTCAGTTCCAGTGACTATAAGCCTCAAATTCATACTTTCTATATGCTCAGTTTTGAGTGTTTCTCTGAAAAAACAGGACCAAAAAATTATAGAAGTACAAAAATAAAGCACTATAAAGCAAGAAGAAGAGTAAAAATGCTCATACTCTCCGTCATGCAAGCATCCTCGACACGCCGAAACATTATTATTGGTGCCAATGAACAAGAGGTTATACCCGGAAAAGAAAGGTGAGAGCTACATAACCAGAAACAAGCTCACCGATCAGTAAGATTCTAGTGTAGGGGTTCTCCAACTCTTACATCTTGAAGAATGCCTCTCTTTACTGAAAGCCTAGAAACTCCTCCCGGGTCTTGGCATTAAAACAATACAGTAAGGCAGAAGCCTACAACTCATGCAAACAATAATGCACGTCCTTGGAACTATTTACCACATAATTATAGATGGTTCAGATCCACTAAGATAAGGCTTAAACTGGGAGAACACTTCACCAAAGGGCAGCCAAGGATATTGAGGAGCTCGTGCGAACCCTGAGGGTTCTTAAGAAAGGGTTCCCAGGAACCCAGTTTGAGAACTTGTGGTCTGGCACTTCTAAGGGACTCCCACCTTGCTCTCGTAGTACTTCTCCCTCTTGTCCGTAAGAGCGGCCCGGATGACCTCCCCGGCGTACTCTATGATCATCTCCCCTCCGTCGATGTTCCGCTTGCAGTAGAGACCCCGCCCGTGAATGCTGGACCTGGGCAAACCGGAAGCAGCAGAGTTACATGCAAGCTTGGCCCGTGCCTCCGGCGTTGCAACGTCGGCGATCAAACAGCCAACACATCAACCGGCCAGAGCGGTTGATGCCCAGCCATTAATGGCTCTGGCCGGTTCATTCGCAGCATCAAAGCGTGACATCATGGCATTTGTCATCTCCTTGTACGATTAACACACACTTCGACGCATTACTGCAAAAGTACACTCACACCGTTCCCTCACTCCTTACACATGAAAAAGGAAGGAAAAATAAAACAAACCGCACTGACTCACAACTCATTTTTATATACGTACTTTGTCTTGTTCATCTACGTCTGGAACTACCGAATTTCCCAAATCACGCACACCCGACTCAGAACTCATTTTTATATACTTTGTCTTCTTCTTCTACGTCTGGAACTACTGAATTTCCTGAAAAACGCGCATTTAACTCCTAGACGCCAAGAATATTTGTTTTTTTTTCAGTCAGGATCAAAGATGGTGTACTAATACAATTTTTATAATTGCTGACGATGAGTTCGGCTTCAATAATTTCCCTAGTTAGTTGATTACTGTGCCTACCTAAAATTGTACAACATGGCAGGTGAACCTCGCACCCACAATCACGGCAGTGTATGCACAGGTGGCCAGAGTTAGCTCTGGTGCTATTGTTTTTGTGTTCTCGGAGCCATTCATTAAGGCATCGTCCAGTCTGCCCTATGTACATTTTCCCGCACAAAAGGGAAAACGAATACACCACTTCCTCTGCACACTCAACTAAGTTTTTCTGATGTTGCTTGGTACAGCTTACCGTTCGGTGGGAATAAGGTCAGTTTACTTCTTTGCACAAGTTGGAAAGCGTATTAGGAGCAGAGAAGACGACGTCGATGTTGAACTTATAGGTGATTTTTTTGATGCTATATAAAAATTCTCTCATAACATTTAAAAAGAAAAATTGATTTATGAAGGTTAAATTAGAGAGGGGGGGGGGGGGGGGGGGCGGCACTGCAATTTGGGTGCTCGCGGAACCCATGAAACCAGCTCGCAGAACCCCTGTATTCCACGGAACCCAGTTTGAGAGCCCCTGGGCGAAACCAATCAAGTGAAGTGAATGTACCGTGACTTGCACTTTTAGTATGTCTGTTTGTGGTTGTACGTGTTCGAGCCTTCGACCGTGCTCTGACCCGAGATGAAAAATCTATACGGTGAGTAGGGAAGCCGTGAAATTCATATTTGTACAATCTTTGTTTCCTTCTACTTCTCTGAATATTAGGGTCGACCAATAATAAAATATTTATTTGTTCGCTTTAAGCTCATCTCGGCACAAATGTGGTGCAATTCTTAGCGAAAATGGCATTTTGGCGCAAGACGTAGCAGACTTTCGTTCATGGCGTAATTTGGCGCAAATGGCGCAGCACTTCCATCACTGAGGTTACGTTAATGACAATTTTTGCATGATACAAGCTTCTTTGTCTGCGAACAAAGCAGGAATGCATCAAGGTGTGCTGTATATGAAAATGTCTTCACGCGCGCTGCCAACTCTCCGGTGTTGTACACGTGCCTCCAAAACTGGAACAAAAGCTCGTTCCTCGTTCCTTGTCAATTTCGCAATGAGTTCCCATTACGATTCCCAGCCACTTGAAAGCAACGCGCTCCTATAACGGTCCTAAGGTTGGAATGTGTCTTTGCGTTAACGTCACATTCGCAGACTTTAACGAAATACTGCGCTCGATAATCTGCAGATGAAAGAAAGCAAGCAGGTGAATATATCCACATAGAATAACTTGTCGAGTCGATACGATCCTGTCTGTTACAGTTCTTTGTTTTCGACTATATCTCGGACACTTCCCATCCCTTGAAGTCGGACGCCGAAACTGAATTTAAATAAAAATGCCAATAATAATAAAAATAAAGGAACGCCATTTTCCCTATTGTTTCCTCATAATGAAAGGAGTTGCTGTTCCACCGGCGCAAGGCAAAACGGCGGCGTTCCCTCCATTCCTTCTAAAAGAAACACGCCTCAGGGACGTTGTTCCTTGGAATGCCGTTCCGTACAACACTAAAACTAAGCAAAAATATTATTTCTTTTAGTTGAAATTTGGTTTTGCAGCCTGCTGTACACCAGGTTGCAGACTGTAGTCTAGAAAACAGGGTAGACTACAGCACACAGACAGCCATACTCATATTCTCCTCAAGAACCATAGTAAAAAAAAAAAATCAAGCTTTTCGCGAAGCATCATTGATTTACTCCTTTATGCGGTTCATTAAGATATATATATGCGGGTAAATTTTAGGTTAGCTCATCATTATTTCATTGGGAGTACATGTTTCAGACGCTAGAAGTCCAGTTTCTTCCCCCAACAACCAAACCTTGTAAGGACTACTTCATGCAGCGTGTGAATAATGTGCAAAAATTTTAGTTCTTTTCGATGTGACGATGAGCACAGGCATGGACACCCCAAGGACGTCAAGCAGAGCAAGTCGTCGCCTAGCGGCTACCCACCTGTAAACGCCGACGGCCTCCTTGGCGGTGTTCTTCAGGTGCCGAAAGCGCATGGCCATGGGCAGGTCGAGGCTGGTCAGGCGTCTCGAAGACTTGTGCAGCACCTCCACTTCCTCCCCGCTCTCGCTGGGGTCGTAGCGGGGTGGGCAGCGGTGGGCAGACGCCAGAAACTTGAACATGTCATGGTCCCCGCGGCTCTCAAACTGCTCCAGCCTCGCGCAGCCCGAAGGGTTCTCTGCCAGCTGTTTGGGAGGGTGCGTGAAACGGGAACTCTTCGACTTCAAAGTTTCCTATATTTTCGCTCACCACGGCCTCAGGTTTTAAACATCATGATTAACTATCACCAGCTCAACACACACACTGTCTTTTCAATATTTATACCAAAGATTGCAAACACGGCGAACTCCTGTTCTACGGCGCGATAAGTATGCGGGAATTTGCTATGAACTCCCGACATGAGTAAGGCAGTAGAATGTGGACGCGGCACATTCGCGCTTCACAGTACGATGTTCACGTAAGAACCTGCTACGAACTCAGATGTCATTGGAACTGATATCGCAAGTGCAATAGGCAGACAAAAAAAAAAAAAAAATTATGAGCCATTCCACTTTGTGAAGGTGAATGACCAGCAAATTTGTTTAGCACACGACACAGACGTGACACAGAATTTTGAACAAAGGTGGAGACACAATTATTGTCTTGATCGGTAATCACCGTGACGAAAGGTATGCGCACACACATGTCGAGGACTATCGCTGCCCCGAGGAGCTGGAGGAAACTAGACGTGCGCGACGAGACCGCCACCCAGCGGAAGAAAAGGGAACTAGGCATGCAAGAGCTTGGAACGACGACAAAGAGAGGGCAGTGCAAGTTTTCACCGAGTTTTTGTCTACGCACACAAAAAAATCTATGGAACCCTAGCCATAAACAGCTTCACTGCAAAATGCGGGAATGAGTTAAGAATTTTCATGTCACGGGGACGGGTACCCTGCAGATTCCAGAAGCTGCAGATTTGCGTGCCACGGTGCGATAAGCCTGAGAAAACCCACAGCGAAAATGCTTGTCACATACCAATACCAGAAATCGCGAGGGTGATTTGATTAAAAAAACTGGATTGGTGATTACTTGGGGGCTGGAGTCTATACGAGACTTTACGATATACGTGATTTAACGTGTGCGGTATTTCGAATGCGAGACACGCGGCCAAACTCAGCGTCACTGTGTAAAAAAAAGAAAAAAAGAAAAAAGGTAGGTACACTATGAATTGATGTTTCAGCACTTCTGACAAAGCCACCTATGCATGTTCTATTTTTGGAGATAAGACACCTACACGCTGTTGACAGGGCAACATGGGTACGGTGGTTTCCTAACATTGGTTCAGAATTACTTAAACGAACACGCCGTAAACGACTGTGGCCAGTAAAGAAGAAGACTCCAAAAAATATAGCTTAAAAAAAAAGCTTTCTCAGCTAGTTTTGGCACAACATTTGCGCTTGTGAGCAGGATGGCGCAGCGAAAATGGATTGGCACACATGGCGCAATTGGCGCAGTGCTTCCGCCCTTTCATCACAAGATGGAAGTACAGTTGAACCTCGATGTAACGAAGTCGGTAAAATTCGCAATTTACTTCGTTACATTGAAATTTCGCTAAATCAAAATTTGACTTTAGCATGCGAAAAAAAAAAAAAAATTCCGAAACATTTTACGGGTATGAAAACTCACCGAAAATGACATTTATTTAGGGGCAAAGTAGTCCGCAAGTTTTGCTTGCGCCTTGTCCGACAGTAGCAGCGGCGTCGGCGGCGTCATACGGCGTTCGAGCGCCCAGAGCGCTTGCACGGCATCTTGCTGCCCATGCGACGCCGTGTACCTCCTCAGTACACCATTGCGTCAAGCACTTCCCGAGTGCTTGTGATCTCGGCAGTTTCTTCAGGATGGCGTCCAAAACGTTTGCTTTCTCATCCAAAAAAAGAACTTTACGTTTCCTTATGGCAGCAAGCACGTGAGTGAACCGCCTGGTTAAAAAATAAAGCTGTTTAGTTTAGGCGGTGCCAATGTTTCCAACCTACACAGCACTCTTGCCCGCACAGTTTACTTGCCCCCTTGCGCCCACAGTGTGCTTGCGCCTTTGCTTTACATCACGCTCGCAAGACGATAATCTGTCTTTTCGGTCTTCTCCTAGATGGCACTGCCCGTGCGGTCGCGCGGTCGCGCCATCACGTCGCTCCCCCGCCGAAGTGGGCTCCCGCGCTACCCGCGGTACAGTGGACTATGATGATCAGTGAATGTCAGTGGTGATGCTGTTATGTCGTGTTAACTTTTTGCTCGGCATTTTCTGGCCAGCCTCGCGGAATCCGCTTTGCCGCATGCCTCGCCGGCGCTACCGGCGCCGCATCCTCGGGCAGCCTAGGAACGTTGGAAGGCCTGTCCCCGTGAAGTAACGTATCAAGCGCTCGCGTTTGCGCATAATTTTTTTTTTTTTTTTTACAATTTTTTTGCGAAGTTGTTTTATAGAGTTGATTTATTTATTGCCTTCTATGGCAATGGCGCTTCGCTATATTGAAATAGCAGCAAAATGGACTTCGTTATATAGGGACTAAAAATACATGGGGTCTATGGGCAAGAAATTATGAAAAATAAAATACTTCGTTAAATCGAGGATTTCGTTACATTGAAGTTCGTTATATCGAGGTTCGACTGTAGTACGACTGTTTCGGCACATTTCCTTTGGGACGAAGCGATACACTGAGATTCTTTGCGACAGTCATATATCTGCCAAGAAATAGAGAAATATGTGACTCTGCTCGCCTGGTTTTGACTCTGTTTGTTGTTAACCCAAGCAGGACCCTATTGTGTGAGAGCTCAATAAAATCTAAGCTCTTTCAAGAGCAACACGCTTGCGTCCTCGGCTTTCCCAGCATTGCACACAACTGAGGTGGAGTGCTATATAAGTCTGCACAAACCACTAAAAACAAAACGGTGGATAATCGTCCTGTGCAAATGTGCTATCGTCGTTCGAGATCTCGTCTAATTGTAATTTGTTGGCGAAAAAAAAAAAAAGCTACTGTACGGCTACTTCACTTTATCCGATATCCACAGTGATACTACGAAAAAGTATTATGAAATATAGTATTCAAAAGTATTTACACTTTACTTTCAAAGAACACTGCATTTATAGAATCTTCCTTCAAGCGCAGTGAGCGACACTGTTAGCACAAAGAAGGTAGTCTTTTCTTAAAAATGAAAATGCTGTAATTTGAACTACTGCATCACGAAAGGTGCTCAGCTGCAGCACTAACCTAAGTGGTAAAGTTCGGTGCCTGCCAATCCCCTTGCGAAGTAAAACACACACACAAAAAAAAGACACTTTCACGCTAACAGTGTCGCGTAGTACACACTGCACACCAGTGTACTCATTATTTTACATGAAGTCAATGACTTCTCAGTTAGGTACTGTGTACTAAACACTGATGAAAACTATACCTTAACAGAGTTCCTCTTGTGAAACTTGAAGCAGTAGTTGACACAGTTGTCTGCACCCCTGAGTTGCTCCGTGAGATACACCACCGTCTTGTGAGTGAGGCCCATCATGGAAAAGCCATCCACATCTGCAAGACAGGTCACACCGTCCAGGCATTCTTACAAAAGTTGGCAGAAGAAACAAGAGAACTCCTAGTTACCCTAGGTGCAGGTCAACAACCAAATCATTCTGAGTTGTAAAAGGATGCCATAAAATTTACAGGCTTCCAAAATACTTGCAGCAAATACCATTTCCTACAATTTACACAGACAAAAATGTCAAGACAGGTTAGTAGATGGTCAACAGGTTGCCAGGAACAAAAAAACAGCAAGATACGAGAGCTGTATAGTCAAAATATGTTGCAGCAATTTTGTCTACAAGACAGTCCTTCTCACGAGCCCTTCCGAAAGCGATTAACATTTTATACCCGCCGTAGTCACCCTTAGAGCGATTATGAACATTCCAAGGTCACCGGCATAGCAGAATGGAGGAAGAAATTAGTGCCGGAGACGGAAATAAAAGGCGAACACTGTCAACGCACCATCTGCTGTTAGGGGTTGGAGGTTGGCAGCTGCACGGGCATCCTGGAGCTTTTCAAACACGTAACGCCACGCCTCTGGAAAAGATGTGAGCAGCTTTTGAAGAAACAACCACATCTTACTCTTGGACGCACTTTAAACATGACAACTGCAAAGCTGCAGGGACAGCACTCAAATTACGTCACACCAATGTGTTACACCCAAATGTCTGTAAACCTGCTTACACTGAAAATGAATGGCAAATAGTGCTCCTAGATACAACATCTCAGTCTCGTCTGAAGGTTTTCGAGCACCCATCAAGAACCTGAAGTATCGTGGCCTCCGCTTTGAGTAGGTTCTGTGTTTTCAGTATGCAGTCACCAACCGATTTTCCGGACTTCGCTGTGACCAAAGAAACATCCGTATAATAGAGCAGTTCGAAAACTCAGTGGATTGGAAAACTTGCCTTTATTACGTCTAAGCAGGCTTAAAACAGCCATCGATAGTGCTTTGCTTCAGGTTACGCCTCCGCTTGCATTTAGCCACTTTCTATTAGCATGAGAATCGCTGCCCAATTTTCTAGCCTTATGGCCGAGTACTTTCCACACCTCTTAGCAACAATTTGCGGCGGCAGAAGAACAGATTGGGCCATAACGTCCAAGCTAGCGTAGTCCGAAAACACGATTCACCAAGACGAGATGGGAGGCACAAGTTCATGACTGCAGAATGGCGAATGGTGAAAACAACAATAATAATAACTCATAGCAAAAAAAAAAAAAAAAAAAAAAAATGTAGCATAGCGCCACCTAGTGGTAGGACTTAGCAGTACTCAAGTAGCACTGCCAAAAAAAAAAAGCCAATTCATGTGCAGACAACATAGGATCTGAAATGCCAGCTGCTTGGTGGTGTTTCCAGCTGATCGCTTGTGACGGTTTTGTCTGAAAAATCAAGCTTTCAGACTTCAAGCTGTACGAAACATTGGTCGTGAATATGCACTATATGCATCGGGTAGGTCACGGTTCCTTTTTTTGGTCCGATATATTCAACAAGTCAGAATTATCGGCGTCCGAAAAATCTGTCGACGACTGTGTACCGATAAACTCTAAAAACAAACCCCCAGTTGGTTTTATCAAAATCGGGGAGAACCAACAAATCACAAATTGGAGCTGTCCTCGAAAAAGAAAAAACAAGCTTCGTAGGAAGAAATCTTTACCCACAGCTTTGCTTACGCCGACCAGGAACACAACCCACACCAAACTCTCGGCAAGGCCTCTGCTTTCTTCAAGAACCGCCACTCTCGTTTCCTTATCGTAACAGTTCCAGAACATTTTCCAAACCTTCGGGTCACCCACATGTTTCCCAGAAGTCCGGGAATCCCATGCCCGTGCCCCATTTTCTTCAACGTAAGCCCTGACAAATGCCAATATCTGGTCTGACACCAAAAACAGAAGTTGTATCTGTAGAAAAAGGAAATTAACCCAGAAAAACAATAACGCCTTCATTCCAAGAAATATAAACCATGCAAATATGAAACCCTATCAAAATCGGTATGCAGGGATGGACAGCGTAGGTTATTCAAATTTAACTGCTCGACGGGCACTCGAAGAACTGTGAAGCCAGAAGGAACGTCGCGTCCCACTGCCCAGATTTGCCACTCGTGTTTAGAGTGCAACGTTTCATCTGCCTACATGGACAAGCTTCGCAGCGACCTTTCTAAATGTGCGACTCCTTCATTTTATCGTACCAAGTAGTGTTTTATTGTAGACCGTACGGAGAACATTATAACTACCACTTTACTCAATGAGGATGTAGTAATTGCATTTATTGGTGGCAAAAAGTACCGGCTCAACCCCGAAATCTAAATGCTACGAGACTGTCTACAAATAGTAATAGCTAGCAAGTTCTACATGACTGCTTAGGAGTACATTGAAATCTTGTTACAACGAATGCCACTTTACAAAAATTTCGAAGATCCCCTTCCAAATGCCTGTACTAGCAATGTAGAAATACTTCAATACTACGAATTTCGAAATAACAAACACTTCATAATAACATACATAATTTATGTGCTCTCATATATGAGCAACACCTCACTACTACGAATTGATAGTGCGAAATTCGGCCACTTCGTGGCATGGGCGCCTCCAACTGCCATCTATCATCGTTGGACACTGGGTATTCATCCATCCGGTTTGACTACATAGCGTATACCCGGCTAGGGTTATTTTTAGATTGCTGCATCCGTTGCATCACCATGCTGCTGCTGTTTTCTTTGTGTCTCAAAGTGAACCCAATCCGAGTTTTGCAAGCGGCAAGAAGAAACGGAAGCAATTTTTGCTACAAGGTTGACATTCTTCGCAAAGTAGATGGCGGCAAGAAGCAAGTCTAGGTTCCCCAAGAACGTGGCATCGCCCCGTCGACTGTCGTAACGATACTGAAAGATTGCGAAAAGATCACTGAATCGGATCACCGACGGTAATGAACCGTTCGTACTGCAGCGCTTGTCTTGCACCTGCTGAAGGGTGATGACAGATTTCTTCAAATAAATGTACAGTGAGAATTTGCATTTTGCATTGCTCTCAGCATGGATACATTCGCTGATGTCCTCATTGCAGAGGTAGGTAAATCGGCAAGCTTTTTCATTATTACGATATTTCAAAATAACGAATTACAATTGGCAGTCCCGTGATATTCATTATACCGAGATTCCATCGTATCACTCAATGCTATAAATGGAAAGCTGGCAAGTTGCCAAAGAGAGCCCTCATCATTTAACGGGCAAGATGCAAAGCGAGTCTACAACAATTCTGGATGTTCTTTCATAAATAAAATTCTTTGAAAATTAACGTTCTTCAAAATGTCCACGTCCCCCGTTCTGTAACTCTAAACAGTCTGACGTACCGTGGACGTCGTGTGAGGAGTGAAGAAACCCGTCCTCGCTGCTGATCTCGTAGACAACGTAGGGCCGGTCGAAGGGGGCCAACCTGTCCCGAGAGTCCCGTGGCAGCGGCAAGTTGACCGTGCTGTGGACGGGCTCCTTGGCCTCCGGTGCGGGCGGCGGAGGCGGGGGCACGGGGTCTGCATCCGCGTCGGCAGGCCAGCCATCTTGCAGGATGCGCTGCGCCGCCTTCTGGAGCAAGGCGAAGATGGACTCGGCCCCCAGGGACCCAGAGTCCCCGCGGGGGCTCGCCTGGGGGCTAGGGCTGAATGGGGGCTGGGGGGGCGGCAGCAAGTCGGGTGAAACGCGCCCGGGCCCACCGAACAGGTCCTCCGCCGTTGAGGAGTCCGGCTCTGGGTAGAGGTCCGGAGAGGTCCTGCTCCTCGGCGGAAGAGAGGGCACCGGGGGAGCCGGGGGCAGCACCGCGGTGGAGCTCACGGCTGGCACGGGGCCCGCCTCGGGCGGATCTCCGGCTGCGACTGCGTGGGGGACATGCTCCGGCAGGACCACGCACTTGGTGCACTGCTGCTGGGACACGAACGAGGAGCGGCTCTGCGTGACCACTGACTTGCCGCCGCCCCTCGATGATTGGACGACCCTGTTGCGCACCACCACCGATTTGGTGCACTGCTTCTGGGCCACCACAGTCTTCTTGCGCTGGTCCGCGACGCAACACGACGTCGTCCGCTGCGTCGACAGCGCTGGATGCGGAGGAGCCGGGCCAGTGTTGCTGGGGACGCCGTTCACCACAGTGGAGCTGGTCATGCTTGCCATTAGGCTGCCGGTGGCGATGCCAGGCCCCACCATGCTGGGGTTGGCCACCAGGCCAGAGCCGGCCACCAGAGGCACCTGGCCGCACACTCCCGCCGGGGGCTGGAGGGCCAGTGGCATCACGGGGGCCTGGCCTCCCAGGCCCCCGATGAAGGCCAGGGGGGTGGTGGCGGGCTGCATGAAGGGCGCTGCCACCAGGGGTAGCGACCCCAGGTAGGCCACCTGCGCCCCCGCCACGCTCAAGGTGGAGACGCAGTTTTCGAGGCGGTAATGATGTCGAGGTATGATGATGGTTCCACCGGGCACCTCGTACACCTCGAATTTGTCGCAGCTCACGCTGGTCATGTTGATGGTCGACGGGTATTGGTTGATCACGGGGATGTTGTAGGCGTAGGGAGAGTAGCTCACCAGCCGGCTCAGGTCCAATGGGGCGGGCTGCGCCACGGGTGGCAGTCCCATGCAGGGGGGAGCTGCCTGCACCACTTGTTGCTGCTGCGGCTGCTGCATTTGACAAGCCCTCACCCTCTGGCAACTCTGTGCACCGGCCACTTTGGGAAGTATTGTCTTGGGGGACGCTGTCGGCCGAGACCGGGCGCGGCTCGGCGTCGCTGCCGTTGCCACTTTCCCCACCGTCCTTCCCGCCGCCCTCCCTTCACACGTGCAGCCACAGCTACTCTGCGGCTGCTTTACAGGTTTCGTACACTTTGGGCTCTGGTTCACACCAACCGCACTGTAGTTTGCACCCCGCGACGCCGGTGGTGGGGGTGCCGTCGCTCCCACACGAGCTTCGGCTGACACTTTGGCACAGTCCCGCCTCTGCTCCTCAGAGAGGGAAGAGGCGTCGACGGCTTTCGCAGAGTCCGCCGCGCCGTTCTGCCGCGTCTGCAGGGGCTGCGCCACCGACGATAGCCGGTCGGGGACCGGGGGCACCCCGTAGTCCCCGCCGCCACCCGCACCGTCGGCGCCAGAGCCACCACAGCCCTTCGCCGGGTCGCACGATCGCGAGATGTTCTCGAGCAGCTCTGCGAAGTCCAGGTGGCTGTCGTTGCCTTGCACGCACTTGGCCAGCTCGTCCAGGATCTTGGCATCCAGGTCGTCCAGGTCGGGACTTGACTGCGAGGGGGCGTCTGTGCCGAAGGCGTCGCTCGAGGACACCGCACCCACCCTGCTACTATCACAGCTCGCCGAGGCGATATCACACGGGGGACCCTCCCTCGGGGGAGAGTAGGGTGGCGGGGCGTAGGGCTCGTCCGCGTGTGCCGTCGTCACGTTGACGCCCCAGTCGTCCTCCTGGGGCGGTGGCCGGGGTGGCCGCACCTCATACGTCCGACACGTGTACACCACTCGCTGCCGGGGGTTCTGCGTGCTCCAGAACAGCCGGCGGCACCTGCGCACGAGACAGCGTGGATGTGAGGCCCGGTTCTGACGAGTGAAGTTTGGTCCGTGTGCATACGCTGTGTGACACAGTTAGCAACATTAGTGCTTTTTTGCACTGTAATTGTGCTAAGTGCTAAGAATGCCGAATTACCTAGGTAGTTGTCCCAGATGAGCATATTCCACTTGTAGTTTCAATGAGTCTTTCATTTGCGAGAGAAGAACAGAAAACAATCCGATGATTGCTTCTTGGTGCGAGGTATTCTTACGAGCTTGGTAGGCTGAGTACGATAGTCATGAGGAAACTGTCGATCATCGAAATGAGATCAACCAGGGTGTCTAGCAGATTATTATTTTGAAATTCCCCGACTTTTCCCGGTTTTCCCTGACAATTTCAGGTGAAATTCCCTGACCACTGTAGAGTCGGTTAAACATATAAGACCATTACAACACAATGTATTGAGCATTGAGCACTGTAAGGTTCATTTTGCACGGGCTTAGTCCAACTTGCATATTCCGAAATATTTGGCTTCGTCTGGTCTGGATTAAACGAGCACTTTCTTGCTGCCGACATTGTCAGTGAAGATGTGCCCATGTTAGTTTTACCCGAAAAACCAAAACAAAAGTTGAAACATGTTACCAACTGAATAATGAAACCGTAACAAAACAGCAAACAGTTAAATATCTTGGCGTCACTCTGTCAGCTGACTGCACCTGGAACGCACACATTAACGACGTTGTTATGAGGGCTGGCAGAGCGCTTGAATTTTTAAAACGAAATTTAAGAAAATCAACTAAATCTATCAAAGAGCTCGCCTATCTATCTTATGTGCGCCCAGTGCTAGAGTACGCCTGCACCGTTTGGGATCCTTCTCAGCAAAACCACATTGTTGCTTTAGAAAGAATTCAGAGTTGTGCCGCTCGTTTCGTTTTGGTGCGGTACGGCCGCTTTGAGAGTGTAACCGACATGATAAAAGAACTGGGATGGTCTACATTGGCATTAAGACGAAGAAATTTGCGCTTGAAGTTTTTATACAACATTTATAACAATAAAACTGGCATTAATAGCTCATTTTACTTATTACCACCAAATTATATCTCAAAAAGAAAAGACCACATTCATAAAATTAGAGAATACCGCACCAGGACGGAATTGGGCAAAAATTCTTTTTTTGTTAAAACAATTAAGGAGTGGAATGCCTTACCCAGTGCGATTGTGTGTGCCGCGAATTCAGAAATGTTTTTTCAGAGTTTATTCGCCCCCTGCGATAATGCCTGATGGCGCTGCAGGACAATGATGAATAAAGAATAAAGAATAAAGAGACCACTTCCGGAAACACTGTGAAAACACGAAGGTCAACCATACACGTCAATAACCGAATGGCAGCATGGCCGCCAGATGCACACTTTCGGATACTTTCAGCTTAAGGCTTGGATTGGGTTCTGCGACTTTTCCATTTTTTACTAAAGCTAGTAGCTCTAACTGGATCTAGCCTAGAGTCGCATCCTCAATCCAATCCAAGCCTTGGACTGGAGTTGTCGGCTGTTTTCTTTGCATCGGGTAGCACATTCTACGTTGGGTGAGCACAGCCCGCGCTCCGCTCTAAGCGGAATTTACTGCCTATTTTTCTGCCCTCAAGTCCTTGCTCAGGGCACTCGATGGCATTTCGGGCTCATTTTCCCTGACTGAGCTCGCTTTTTGACAATATCCCTGACAATTCCCTAAATTTTCCCGGTAATTAAAATTTCCCTGACAGTTCCCAGTTTTCCAGGTCGCTAGACACCCTGTCAACATACATCAAGATTTTAAGATGCCACTATATATGCGAAGTGTGTGTATGCTGTGGAGAATAATGAATGTTAATCACAAAATGGCGGCCATCGTTTCATTTGATGATTGGCAAGGCCACCATTTCATTTATGATTGGCAATGTCACAGCTGCAATTATTAGGCAAAACTGTGGCTTGAAGCTTGCAGTCCAATATCAACTTGCTTGACTTTTTTTTTTTTTTTGTGAGTCAGAATTTAGAATTTTTGACGCACATTTTAGACATTAAAGAGCAGGTGATTATATCAAAATAATCTTCATACATAACAAACCAAAACATATATGATATCACTCCTCATGAGCAATGTTAGCCATTTAAAGATTAACAAAAAATAAATTGCTGTACTACTACTCTTTGCTTGAGGATCGAACAGTGCCTTCAAAGAAACATTAATGCTGTCATCAGTTTCAGTAAGGTCAACATTGCATAAGATAATTCCAATATGACTTCCAAACGTTTTTGCCCCTTCAGAGTGATCAGAAAATTATACTAAAATTAACCCTTCAATAAATATGAATTCTGCCACTGCTACACCAGCCTTTAACAGAGTAACCTCGGCTCACATTTCATCCGTATGTAGGACATCCTGCATATAGACATGCACAATATTGCTCCAGGTGCATTTTCAGAGAGCAGCTAATGTCAAGCACTCTGGAAAACCATGGCAACATAACTTTGAAGAGTTCAAGTAGAAACAATCAAGCTGTTAAAGACACAGCTCACCTGTAGTTGATGGGAACAAGGACATTCTCCAAGTCAGATGCTTCGGTGAGATGTCCCAGGTTTTCAATCGTCATTGATCCTGAAAACAAATTATTATTTTGTTGCGTCCAATTCTCATTAAAAAGTAAATGAAGAATTCAAGAGAGCACAAGCGAGTTCGACGTGTCGACAACTGAAAGTTTCTATGTGGTCAATAGACAAACCACATGCCCACCAATCATTCACCCCTGTGCACATCCAAAATCAGTACATTTTAACTTAAGGGGGAACACTGGTCTTTGAGCTTTTTTTCTTATTCTATGACCAAACGCATTGATACTGCACAAGCTTGCTCAGCTTTTTGTGCTGATTTCATATATCTGGTCACTTTCTCAGTAAGTAGAATTGTCCTCAAGGTAATTAAAACTTGCCTGCCTTTGTTTAGAGGAATGATAGGAAAAAAACTGCTCAACAAAATATTTTTTTTAACACATGGCTAGATACTACAAAGTGTAGAGCATACAATGTTGGAAGTACTTTTTAAGATAAACCCACTATTAATGATTTAGCACACATTAAAGTTCAGTGCTCAATGCATGGCTAACAAGTAATAAAACAAAAAATCAAATAGAAAAATTTCTAAACTTATATTAGAAAATCTGCTCTCAACATTGTATGCTTCACACATTTAGCTACACATTTCAGGAAAGGTTATATTTCTGTCTGCTCTGAATGCTGAGATATCCCTCGTGCAAATTTTCAACAAGTCCAAAAATTGTGCCTTGTGAAAACAATGTTTCAGGGTCAACTTCAATGCACATTCAGCCCAGATAGACATTATTAATCGATTTATAGCCCAAATATTCATCCACGAAATTAGAAGCCTGGTAAATTCAGAAGAACAACAGCCATCGCCATTTTCAAAAGAATTTAGTTTTAGGACGTTTTTGGCTCCGAAGACCCATGTCCCCCCTTAACATCCAGCCATCCATGGCTCTCTATACAAAAAACATTGCAAATAATGAGGTCAAGAAAACAATTATCTTCAAAGATGTCAGGGATGAGTGACGAGGTGTCGACGAACTGAGAAATAGAATTTCAATGCGGCCAAACTTGTGCCCAAAATGGAAGCACAGTAACAGACATCAAGGGCGTCAATGTTGGTGCTGCAGAAGAATCGAACGCTAGCGCAAGACCGTTTGCATGCTGCAGGCTACAGCTTCATTTAAACTGGCTCCGTGCTCGGGACTAGCTGACATACCAAACAGCATGTCTACTAGATAAGTACAGTCGTCGACCGGTTTTTCAGACGCCGATAACTTGGACTTGTTCAATATTGCAGGCCTAAAGGAGGAACCATGACCTACCCAATGGAAATAGTGCATATTCACGACCGATGTATCAGACAGCTTAAGTCAGAAAGTTAGATTTTTCGAACAGAATCGTCGCGAGCGATCAGCGGGAAACACCATCGAGAAGCCGTCACTTTAGATTTTATGTTGGCTGCACATGGATTGGTTTGGCAGCGCAACTTGAGTACTGCTAGGTCCTACTGCTAGGTGACGCTATGCTACGGCTCTTTTTTGTTCTCTAGCTACACGTCATTATCATCATTGTTGCCATTTTGCCTTGTTTACTCGCCATTCTGCAGTCATGGACTCGTGCCTATCTCGTCTCGGTGAGTAATATTTTTGAACTATGTTGGCCTGGACATTGTGGCCCCGCCTGTTCTTCCGCTGCCGCGAAGTGTCGCTAAGAAGCGCGGAAAGTACTCGACCATAACGCTAGAAAAGAAGGCAGCGATTTTCAAGCTAATAGAAGGTGGCCAAACACAAGCAGCAGTGTAACCTGAAGCAAGGCACAATTGACATTTTTTTAAGCCCGCTTAGACGTAATAAAGGCATGTTTTTTAATCTGCTGATTTTTTGGACTGCTTTACTATTTGGACTTTTTTTTGTCTATTGTGAAGTTAAAAATCGGTCAGCAACTGTAGACACGATATATCGCCACTATTTCAATGTTAACTTTGACTGATTTAAATACTGATAACATGCTACCTCAGAAGTTGGGGTCTTTACAAACTCCCCAAAGACACAAGCCTAGTTTCAAGCTTTGGTTTTACACAAGCTTTGAAACATAATGCGAGCCCCAACACGGGTAGTCAGCATGTGGAAGGGGGGGGAAGAAAGTGCCATAGCACCCGTTGACTCAAGCACAAGCTTTTAATAATTATGTCTAAATAAAGAATAAATTGGCAAGTGTTTACTAGAGCTACATATGTAAATAACAAAGATCATGCCAACCAACTGTGGCTAATTTTGCACATTTTGAAAAGCCTGAATCTATTGTCCTCAATCATAGTGATCACAAGATTACTTATTATGCCTAATGTTACCAGAACTTTAGCTAATTGTGAGAAGAGGGTTTGCTCTATGCCCTCCTGCATTAGTGGAAGCAAGATGCCATCACCAAGTACATATTCTATCTGTATCTGTACAAGTGACCAGGCATACAAAACAAGGTAAATTTCTGGGTATAGCATCTCTGATTTTAGGCATGTGCGTACTAGTAGATTTCGAGTTCGAAGCGAATTCAAAGCGAATAGTGGTCTTGGCCAAATATTTCCGAATGAAACATTGAATAGTTTCTCCAAGCCTTCCACTACTGTGCACCGTGCTTAAACGAAAATGCAGCTCAACTTGTGAAAGTTGTTCCCAGCCTTTCACTAGTCCACTTCCAAGCTCGGTTATTTTAATTTAACTGTATCTATAAACTGTGGCATGTAAACGACAAATTTGTTGCAGCTGTCTCAATCCAGGGGTTTTATAAATCTGCTTGCTATATACAAACCTTTTTCCAATTTCAAATTTGACCAAAAAAAGCATGAATGTGGGTTTTCAAGACATCGCCAAGTGACATGTGCTTTCGCTTAATTGCGGCTGGTAAGGCCCGTTCAGTGCACTTCTCACCGAGCACCTGTGCACTCTGGGGAAGCAATACCTGCAGATCAAGAGAGCTCCGTGGGTATTGCCCCGTACTTGGTGAAAAGCGCGTTTGAGGGAGCTCACCCTCTGCAATCAACACCTTGAAAAGTATAAATATTCCAGTCAGTAGCAGTCCCAGACATTGGTCTTAGGGGGGGGGAGGGAATTCCAGATATAGATATATTGGTTCCAGGGGAGGGGCAATAATCCAGGCAGACCATGAGAGACGAAAACGTGGCAGACGGTGCCGAAAGGCAGTTTTATGGGACAGGCTTGGGGTGGGAGGGTAGTAGGCATTTGGTTGGCGGGGGGGGGGGGGGGGGGTCTGCTAAGACGTGACATTGCAGCCGAAATGGTGCTCAGATCTATTTTGTTGACTCAGTAATTGCACCAAAATTCAAATAACTGCTATGTCACCCCCCTTCCCCCTCCATTTCTTCCTAAATCCACCCATGAAGGCACCCAGGCGATTATGCCGGCCATGGCCGCCGTGTCCACATGGTGCTGCCTAATCAAAAAATCCCCTCAAAGTGATGGCTGACATTCACCTCTGAAGAAAGATGACAAAATTAAGAAATCCGTGAGGTGCGGCTGGTGTACATCGTTGAAGTCAACTGGCCCCTTCTGGTAAACAAGAGCGCTCCTACACATATATGGTGTCAGTTGAACATGAAGGAAGGTTACATACAGAGACACAGAAAAGGCAAATGCACTGCTGGACTAGCAACTGTTCAATTAAGATAATCCTTTTCCTTACCTATATTGTATTTCACTCACTCTCTTTCGTTATCTGTATTATGTTTTACTTAACTGATGGACATCTTCCACCTCTTCTACACTTATAATCAAAGACTGCACTATTAAAGGGCAACTCCCATCAATTCCAAAAGTTCTGGGATTACGGGTGATTATCATGTTAAATATACCCATAAATGGGTCTATGTCATTTGTTTTCCGAAAAGTTAAATAGTTTGCTTGCAAACCTCGTTTAAACGAAAATCACAAAGTGAAACCGAAACCTTGCCCATGGCAGGCAACATTGGTCCTGCTTGCCAATTACTGGACATCCCAGGGTATGGAATGAATGAATGAACTTGGAGTTTTCTGGCGCAGCAGCAACATAGGGCCAGGGTATGGAGATGTCGGCTATGTCATCAACGAAAGTGGCAGACGGCGTGACGGCGTTGTTGACCCGGCACAGTTGCACATCGGCAGTGTCGCGTGTCGTCTGCTCTGCTCCTTTTCCGCCCCCCACTCTCTTTTGTAGCGTAAGCTACACTGGCCGAGGTTGAGCAGCTTCGTGTGGCTCCTGGAGTTTCGTGCTGCGCATGCGCGAGGAGCAGTGACAAAACGGGCAGGACTGGTATGGCACCTAGGTCAGTCCCCGATGCACGCGCCGCGCGCATGCACCCGCTCGAGATCATGGCTCGCGCTGTCCGATTGTTGTGGGCGGCAGCTTGGTTGCTTGATACATGACAACACGGCACACACCAGGCCAAACCAACGACGGGCACCTGGCACGCCCCAGCAGAGGACGGAGGATTATTTTGGACCACCTGGGGATCTTTTGACGTGCAACCGAAAGCTCGGTTACATGGCGCCTCCTCCGCAATAAGAAGAGCGGAGAAGCTTAACTTATCGGGTCCCGAAGTAGCCACATACAGTGAAACCCGTTTATAACGAACAGCAGGAAACGCTATGATCAGTTCGATATAGCAAAACCCATTTACAAAACCCAGCTACGACTTTCCCGACGATTAAATATTGATCTTTAAATCGCAGCAGCCACCCAGATCCAGCGGTGAAGCTCTTAACGTTCAGGAGGGATGCAAAATTTCTAGCCTTGCTTTGCAACATCGGTCCGGAGAGCGGCAAGTTCCACGCACGAATGTCCAAAAACCATTGGTACAGCGCTTTTCCCACCTTGTCGTACGCCGGCTTGTGGATGCGCCTGCTCTCCGCGTTTGGCCGTTCACGGGCCTTGTCTCGGATGGCAGACTTGTTTTTAAGAATTGTACTCAGCGTACTTCTCGGGATCTTGTAGGCAGCGGCAACGTCTGATTTCTTTTCGCCGTGCTCCACACAACTGCTGATGTCGACCTTGTTGGAAAGTGGCAGAGCCTGCCACTGCTTCGTCGTCATTTCGGGCGCGGACTAGCTGGCCCGCACAGTGAACAGAAAGTGCAATGGGGACAAAAAAGTTGACAACAAACGACGACTAAATTAACGAGAAGAAAGGAGGGAGGGAGAGAGCTTTGCCTGTGGTTGACGCTTTCAACGGCACGTGACAACGCTATGGAATCTGAAATGCGATAGGTTTATTGCCTCTTGGGGCGTGGCGTGTCAAGCCCCAAGTGAACGCGCAAGGTGAGGAGGGTCAAACTAGAGTGACTTCAAGTTCTCTTCGGCGGGACATGAAGGCCCCCTAGGTCAAACTAAAGTGACTTTAGGTGAAACAGGGCGCAAAGAGAGAGGAGGCGAGAACTTCTCTTTCTTTCTCATATCTTCGCTTCCGCCTTGTAACAACGCGCTAGAAAGATATTTTTTTTAGCTTATCTCCGTTTTTTAATTGCTTTTCTTTGTAAGCAACCGCTTTGCACTTAAAAGATTTTTTTTTCTGTGTTTCTTCGGAATCGCTTTTCTTCGCTTATTTTTGTTTGCAGCTCGAGCTTTTGGAATTTTTGTTTCTTTCCTACACTTTTTCGGGCGAAGGCATTGGCTGAAAGACGATTGTTTGCGCATTTCTGGAAACCTTCCCAGGGGAAAAAAGTTTGATATAGCCAATATGTTGCTCGTTATAAAAAGTACTTTTTACATACATTTTGATTTAAATTTTTCGTGAGTTCGATATCGACAATAATTCGCTGTATGTGGGTTCGTTCTAAACGGGTTTTACTGTAATGCGTATACTGTGTGTGTGTCATTAAGCAGCAGTAAGCATGATGATCAAGCTAATCCTAGACAACCAGGAAAGCTAAGAATAACCAGCTGAACCTAAGCTTACGCTACGTATATCCTGGCATAGCTGAGTTAAACCACTGTTAGGTTTTTTTCTCTCTCGCCCTTGCACTCCACACCTCGAAAAGCAAGAATCAAACAAAAGAATTCTTCCAGTTGTTGACGTTCCACGCAGTGTTGGCTTTGCCCACACAGCAGCGTTGACTGCGCCGCTCCGAGCATCGCCCGCCAGATTGGGCGTATTTTGGTGACCATGGAGCTGCTTTGACTTTGTTGGCCGGTTTAATGAACTTTTAGGTGGAATTGTGTAGTAATATTTTACGTGTAAGCTTTTCAGATGATACGACATACCACTGCATTGTTTTCTCAACATCAAAATTCTAATGGAGTTGCCCATTAAATTTTGATATCGAGCCATCTTGTTCCTCGTCTTTCACCTCTCCACCATGGGTGCGGCTCTTCTCAGGTACGTAATTACCTTGTGGTGTAGCACCCCCAATGGAAGGCACACTCGCACAATTGTCTGCCTTCGTGTCAATAACAAGAACCTCCAGGATGTTGTTGCCTTGTTGCGATTTCTTGCCAGGATGTTTAGGCTATAAAACTCTGGTGCACACTGACACACAGGACGATGGGTTGGTAGGTGTCCTGCTGCTGTAATTGCCTTCACAGAAGCTGCATGTTCCCTCGTCCAGTCCTTGATGCACCTTCCAGTCTGTCCAATGTAACATTGACAACATGACAATGGGATCTGGTATACAACCTCCTTCTCACATGTTGTAGCTTGATCTTTCCTCACTTATCTCCCTGTTCAGCTTCCGGCACATGAAATAGGCCTTGTTGGGCGCAGAGCATATCACCTGAACACCCTACCGGCCAGCAATCTTTTTTAGTGGTGTTTGAGACTTCTTTGTTATCGCCTCATTTCCCTCAGGTTGGCACTTGATTTTCTTGCAGGTGCTATGAGGCTCCCTTGGGCCGCTGCGTGTGTTTCAACGACCGGCGACCCCATGGCGCTGTGCGTCCGCGAGGCAGCGGCTCCACCGCTCCATGCCCAAGGTTAGCGCGCGCGCTCGACCGTCAACGAAAGAAGAGAGCGGAAGAGCGGCCGTGCATGTTTTCGCATTCACAACTCATAAGAAGTGCTTAGGTGTACCTCGGGCCCTTTTCAAGGACGGAAGTAAGCGCTGTGGTGGCAACTCCTCGTTTAACATCCTTCAATTGTTGGACCCCAAAAGGAAGAAATCCTTTGCAAGACCTTGCTTGATACCTCCAGCCCATGTGTCCTGGTGTGAACTCTAAGGATAGATCCAGGAATTTCATGCATTTGTTCACGGGGAGTTTATAAGTGAAGGCAAGATCCAAGCAGCTTTGTTTGAAACATTTCATGATTACAGCTTTGCACCCGTTTATTGGTTCATTTACTTTAGTGTTAGATAATATCAGAAAATCGTCCACATATCTGAAGATAGCCTTAACTCTGGGATCTTCTAAAGGGTCTTGGATGGCAGATCCGCATGATGTGAGGTAAAATAGATAAAGAAAAAGATTATCTTAATTAAACAGTTGCTAGTCCAGCTGTGTGTTTGCCTTTTCTGTCTCTCTGTATGTAACCTTCCTTCATGCTCAGCTGGCACCACATACAAATAATGAACCACTAGTTCAGCTTCAAGTTAAGACTGCCACTTACTGCAGTTCATCTCAAAGCAACGCCAGAGTACAGTGTCTCTGACACTGCACTCTGGCTTGTACATAGACAAGCTAACACATGGGTAAGCATCTATGATGTGGCGAAAGTGAAGCAAACATTTCTGCACGCCTTCTTGCGAGTTGCATGGCAGGGTCGCTATCTAGACCGAGATTCACTTGTTCAGCACAGTGCCAGCCAAGCAGCCAGGGTGTCGAACCGAACCCGAAACGAAAACCGGAACCAAACCATTATTTTTTACCAAACTGGAACAAAACCAGAATCGAAATCAAAGCGTTTAATACTCAACCGTAATCTCATGTGGTGGTTACCGGTTCACGGGAAAACAGCTTGGGATAAGTAAAATGTGGGCCGGGGTGCACCTTATTGCAGGTGGCGGCGAGAAATCATTTAAATATTCGCGACGGTGGCGTTAGCAGCAGTTCTGACTGAACGAACGGCGGTGATGTGGAGAGAGCTCAAATGAGAATGAAACAAGCCTAAATTTTTTACGTTTATGTGCTGCACGAATTGGTGTCGGCGAATTGGTGCGGTGGCATACACTTCTATACTTTGTTTCACCTTATGACTAACTGCAAAGGATACTACGAGCCACCGGAGCTAATCTAGAGCTCGGAAAGCGTCACGTGCCTTTCCAGTTGGGTGGTGCAATCTGGAGATCGCGAAGTCACATGACAAGCTACACGCTATGGATTGGCGCAGGTAGCTCGTAGCGTTCATCATGGTGTGTCATAAGGTGAAACGGAGTATATCTGGCTATGCCAGGAGGCTAAAGAACTATTCTTTCTGTGTGTCTGTCTGTGTGTCATTTTTTTTTCTTACTGTTAAGCAAAATTTTTTATGGAAAGAAAAAGCAAACATAAACATCAAAATAAAAATAGAAAGTCGATGGCGGACGCGTGTTTGTTCCGCGGTGGCAAAATCTGGAGGCGCCGAGGGATTGAAGACGCGACGAAAACTAAGATGCCCATCGCTGGAACACCAATCGCTCAGTGAAACCCAAAACGCTGCTTGAAAAGAACTTTTGTGTGTATTTTTCAAAAACAAAAAGTTGCCTGTATTTTTTTTGTCTTCTTTCTTGTTCTTTTTAGACCGCCCTTCACTGCATGCCTCCTCTTAAACTCAGTCGTTCGAGCAAAGCGTTGGCGCGTGCAGGGTCGGCAGTTTCCGAGTATGGTGTGTGCTACCGTCACAGTGTCACCGTGTGTGCCGGCTGATTGACTTCACACTCTACTTTAGTACCATTTCTGAGCATTTGCATCACCACTTAAATTGCGCAGAACAAAGTTTGCAATAAAAAGTCACGATCACAAGACAAAATTAAACATATATTTGTCTTGCTGTTCTCAATTCCGCAGCATGGCTTGTAGCAACTTTTTTTTCTTTCTTTATTGTAGATGATGTTGTGTTGAACACAATTTTTTAACGACACGGAGCTGTGGACTTTTCCTTTGAAGAACCGGTTTCCGCTTGGAAGAACTGGCAACCAAACCATTATTTCTAATTTAACACTGTACCGGAACCAAACCGGAATAATGACTGGCTCGATTCCCTGGAGTCAGGTAAACTATGTGACTGCACATTCCCAATGCCACTCAGTTTACTTTCACCTTCAGTTAAAGGCACTGACACCCTGCTTCATGCAAAACGCAAAAAGATTATGTTTCTGCAAATATGTGATGCAACCCAGCTACTACCTTCTGTCTGCTATAGAAGAGTGAGAAAGGAGGCCTGACCTGTGATGACGCTGATCCCCTTGGCTATCTTCTCCTGCCAGGCCTTCTGCCACTTACTGTTCACATCCTGCTGGCTGATGTAGACTGCGTGGCACACAGCAAACTTGTCTCCCTCTACCACCTGGAGACAGAAAGGCACATTACACACACTGCCTGTAAACAAGGGCCTGCTCTCTACCACAAAGAGACACAGAAGTTGACAGATAAAACCCCCTTAAAGGAAAGCAAGCCACCGAAGCGGCAATTATATAAGCGGGTTCCACTCTACTGTAAAATTCCCTAAGGATGCCCTCCCCCGATAGATCACCCATCCCGTTTTTCTGGCCAAATATCCGTAGAATAAAAATTCTTAAACATCGCCCACCTATGATCCTCGACGCCCAGCGACATCTGCTGGGAGTCGCATCAACTGCGCAATCTTTGGTACGGGTATGTCTGACAAGCATGCTAATAGTGGATTCCCGCATTTTTGTCTGCAATCTGCCCGTGCGATGTCGATTCCCGTAACACTCGAGTTGTTCCCGTGTGTATATTACATTGTGAAATACGATTCTGCAGTATCCGCGATCTGAGGTATCTGTTCCCACGAGAGGCAAGTTCTCGGCGGGTTTCTGCGGGCCCTTCGCACTGTTAAACGCGAATCTGCGATGTCTGCAACCTCGTTTGTTTGGTGCCACGGAAGTTTGTAGCAAATTCCCACGTGTTGATCGCATCATGAAATGCAAATTTGCTGCGTCCGCGATTTTCGGTATCAGTTCCAGTGTCATGTGGTTTGTAGCTGGTGCCCAGGTGTTTATCATAGACTTTTGATAAAGCTTCGCTGTGGCATCCCGAAAGAAAGACCACCCCACGTTTTTTGCCCTTTATCTCTTCATTTTGGGTGGGTGTTCCTACAGAATTTTTTGGTAGTCAAAACCGAAGCGGTAAGTTCATAGAAAATATAAAATGAGAACCTGCTTGTTTGAAAATTCAGGAAATATTAAGAAAACCAAGTAATTTTTCTGGAGTTTCTCAGCATGTTAACTCTAACTAGCTTAAAATTCGAAATTTTCTCATTTTTCCATTTCAACACACAAACACCTAAAATTTTATTTTTTGCCCCATTTTTTTTGTTTCGAAACTCTAAAATGAATGTTTTTGCAAACTATAAAATTGCACCACAAGCAGAAACACATGAGTGACACAAAAGCCCAAACAGCTCGCCCCGTGAACACTACGCATATAAAAACAAACCGTGCGACCCAACAATGATGCACTCGCTATCTAGCGGAGGACAGAGGGCGGGCAACGGGCCGTGTGCCGTACCTCTCTGTTGATGTTTCCCTGATGCAGAGAGCAGAAGACCCTCCGGTCTGCCTGGAACACCGCCTGTGCGGCCCGGGCGCAGCCAAAGTGGAAGTTGGCCGGGCAGCCCCTGACGCAGCAGCCCACCGTGGCACCCACGTTGCCACATAGCTCGCACCGCTGGGCACGCAGGGAGAGGAACGTCGGAAGGCGACACGGGAAAGGTGCCGAAACACCAGTCACGGGCCGCAGTCTTTGTGGCTGGTGCCAGACTCATCTCTCTTTGTGGAAAGCACGAAAGGGCGGTAAATAAGCCAATTTCAAAATGCCACCAAGAAGTGTGTTTTGCAGAGTAGCGGCTCTTCCTTACGAGAGACGCAACCGGGCGTTGCACAACTCGTTGCTCCGCTGGCTGCTTCTTAAACTCGCCACCGCCACTCGGTTGCCCAAACGTAAATCTATCGCGGGTAACTCCGCAATAAATTGGACACCGAACCAGCTGGTAAGTGTTCCCTGAGCGGGGTAGCAGACGGGGAGTTAAACTGTTGTTGGATAATTCGACTGGCGACCATGGGAATGGCGCTAGAACTGACATAAAGCGGGTCATCTTACGGTGGCGTCAGGTCTGTGGAGCACCGTGCACGTCCCCAAATGTATTCCCCACAACAACCGTCGCTGCTAGCCTCCTTACGACGACAATGTGGGATCTGCGATGCTTCTCGAAAGCCACTTCTACTCCGCGGTGCCGGCTACCAAGCAGGGTCCTCACCAAGCAGCGTCCCCTCCAGATGGCCGAGTGAACACGATGCAAGGAACCGTCCACGTGCTCAAACACTTCGGCAGACCAGAGGGCGCAGTTGACGTGCACCCAGTCGTCCTGCCCGGCGTAGATCAGGCGTCCGGACTTCTGTAACGAGACGGAGAGGTTTATGTTGCAGGACCTATCACGCATAATTCAAAAAAGTCCGAACCACCTAAGCACTTCTTATGAGTTGTGAATGCGAAAGCATGAATGTCGTTTTTCCGCTCCTCTTCATCGCGTGCCGTCGCCTTCCTTTTAGGGGCGAAGCTCCTTAGGGGCTAGCCACGTCCATATGTCCGTCCGATATCCGGCGTCGGGGGCTCGTGCTCCTGCTCGTGAGCTCACGCGCTCACGTGCGCCCATGCTCGTGTAGGGAAAAAAAAACAACTGCATCTCCACAAGGTGAATGATGTTGATTAGGGTGAAGCTCTGGTTGTGCTTGTCTGCGTAGACGGTGAGCCGCAGCATGCCGAGCCTTTCGTTCGTTTTCATCCATGTCAGAAAGAGAATGTGTGGTATGGAACGTGGTTATATAAGCATTTGAGCATTTGACCGCAGCGTGACATGGATGAAAACGAACGAAAGGCTCGGTATGCTGCGGCTCAGCGTCTACGCAGACAAGCACCACCAGAGCTTCGCCCCAATCAACATCATTCATCACGTGGAAATGCGATTTTTTTTTTGTAGGGGGGGGGTGGTACGCCCAGATGCTCAGAGACCCCACCATCGGCGGGCGAAACAAGTGCACTCAGCGGAAGGAGGGGAAAGCCTCTCAGGCAGTCGTAGCCGCCTGACGGGTGTCCGACGCACTACACACCTCACCCCAGCAGCTCAGCCCCGGCACCGCGCGCCCGGGCGAAGGTCAGGCCCACATTGCTGCACCTCTTACCAGGCCCGCACCGCCACACAAGAGTCAATGGGAGCCTCGTTCCATGATGACGCGCGCCAGCAAAGGGGAGCCTGTGCCTCAAATTTCGTTCACAGACGACATTCAGACAGGGGAAGGAGTCGTCTGGTGCGTCTTCAAAGCTCATGACGTAGGTTCACTCCACAAGACCAGTTAATGCTTTCGCATTAAAAAACGTTACCCCTTTTGTGTGCTTCGTTTACACTCACCCTCCCCAAAATGCCAGCGATACTGATGTTTGCTAGTCCAATAAACTGCTTACTTTCAATGCATCCTGGCCACCTGAACATTTAGAGAACCTCCGGAATATGAGACGGGCATCTCGATGACCTGGTATTTATCTGCCGATTGTAGACCATGCATTTGGGTCTAGCGCACGGCAGCAAGGGAGCTTAGCCAGGCAGAGTCAATGGGCAGAATAGACAAGGCAGATACACCAAAAAGAGAACCGCCACAGACAATCAACTTCCCAGCGAATAAGTGCACTGCAGGGACGGCAGCTTCAGCAGGCAAAAATTGCTGGAAATGAGATACTATTTGTCCTTTCGCAAAGCTTAGGACAACAAATGTGTTCGGAAAGTATATTACTAGAATCAGAGTTGCTCATTTGCAGTGTCGCAGCACTACTCTCAACTGCTTTCTGAACCATGTGCGAAAAAAAAAAAAAAAAGAAACATTAAAGCAGAAAAAGCACAGAAGTAAGAAAGTGTCCCAAAAGGGCTCTTCTCATGCTGTACCATAGCACACTGAATACTTGAAACTTAAAAGAAGGCAATGGTAACAAAATGCCCAAGAGGTAACCGATCAAAGGTTGTCCACAGACAACAGCCATAACGATTCATAGATGCAAGGCAGACGCAAGATAAAGAAACCAAGATGACACCATCAAGAATGACGGAAAATGCCTTTCTGATAATATCCTCCACAACCTTTGTTTATTTTTTTTTTTCTCTCTCTCTCTCTCTACATTTCTGCTTAGAGGTGTGTGCCTCCATTCCATCATAGGCAGATGAACACCTCATTAACGTCCAGAGAATCCTGCTCTCCACAGAGTACACTGGACGCAAAGAGGAACATACCGTGCAAGTGTCATCACCCGGCTGGCCACAGAGTACGCAGCGCCGGCTGTCAGCCAGGGAACCTTGCTCTGAAATAGGACCAACCATCAGAACTACAACGAGCGACCAAAATATTTACATAACAGGAAAGAAACATATATATGCTTCTTTATCCTTCAAAGTTAAAGGGTTGAGAACCACAGCTTCAATATGGCAGAAGAAGACAAATACCAAACATTCTGAAACATAATAATTGTCTCTCACTTTCTCTCTAATCTCTCAACTTCTACAGAATAAGATTATGGAAGGATTATAGGATTATTCGTAGTGGCTACTCGGGGGTTGCCAGTATGAATATCTTTGATATATCCGATATTTGTTATATTGTCGAACCTTGACATAACAAACTTCGGTGTAACGAAATCCTAGACTTAATGTAGTAGTTCCCTTTTCATAACTTCTTGTCCGTAGAACGCAACATATTTTTTAGTCTCAATATAACGAAGCCTGTTTTGCTGCTATTTCAATATAACAAAGTGCCATTGCCATAAAAAGCAATAAATAAATAAGCCCTCAAAGACTACTTCGCAATAAAATTGCGGTTTAAAAACAAACAAAAACAATCCTGAGCGGACGCGAGCGCTTGAGAGGTTACTTCATGGGGACGGGCCTCCAACATGCCCAGGCTGTCCGAGCATGTGGTGCTCGTAGCGCTGGCGAGGCATGCGGCAAAGCTCATCTCGTGGGGCTAACCAGAAAATGCTGGGCAAAAAGTTACCATGGCATAACAGCTGCACCATTGACATTCATTGATTATTAGCGTCACACTGTGGCATGGGTAACGCGAGGACCAGTGTTGGTGGAAGCAATGTAGTAGCGTCGCCAGCGCGGCGGCGCGGGTCGCATGGGCAGTGCCAATTGGGAGAAGACCGGGAAGACACAATATCGTCTTGAGAGAATGCCCCCTTGCACCGCAAGGGGCCACAAGCGCTGTGTAGGTTGCAAATTAAGTTCACTCACGTGCTTGCTGCCATCATGGGAAAATGCGAAGTTCTTTGTCTAGATGAGAAAGCGAATGTTCTTTCTTTCACCATTTCCGAATGGAACCAGATGCCATCATCTATAGTTATTATTAACGACTCTACTGCGTTCCTAAGTGCTCTTCAAACCCATTTTATGTGAGTGCTATTTTGCTGTTTTATATTATGTATAACTTTTACTACACTTCTTTCTTTGTATTATTCTCTACTCATGCGTTTTTCTGCTGCTTCATGTTAATAAACTGCCCCCCGCCCCCTATGTAATGTCCTAACTGGGCCTTTAAGGTGAAATAAATGAAATGAAATGAAAATCCATCTCCAAAGGTGAACGGGAGAGAGATGTCGCGGCTCGCTTTGGTACACCACAGAGTTCCCTTTAGAAAATTCTGAAGGCAAAGGATTCCATTCTTGGCTCCCAAAGAGTGGCACAAGCAGCCAACGGAAGCGACTGAAAGCTGCCACTTATCAAAACGTGGATAAGGCAGTCTTCATTTGGTTATAAACACTAGTGCTCAAAACATCCCATTGAGCAGGGCTGTCTTGCAGCAAAAGGCCAGGGACTTTGGAAGTCTTCTGGATGAAAACAAGTTCAAGGCGAGCAGTGGATGGCTGCACAGGTTCAAGGCCTGGCACGCAATTGTCTTAAAGATGACAGGTCGGGAATCGACGCCAGTCGGTGTGCCCGAAGCGGTTGCTTGGGTTGGAAAAGAACTGCCAGGAATCATGACGGGCTACAAGCCAGTTAACATTTACAGTGCAGATCAGACTAGATTGTTTAATCAGATGCTCCCAAACAGGACACTAGCCCTAAAAGGGGATTGATGCCACGGAGGAAAACAGAGCAAGCTGCGGGTCATGATTCTTCTCTGCGCGCATATGGATGCGAGTGACAAGCGGATGCCATTCATAATTGTAAAAAAGCAAGAAGCCGTGATGCTTCAAAAATGCTAGGGACCTCGAAATCGAATACACGTCCAACACGAATGCGTAGATGACCCATGACATCATTTGCAGATGGCTCAATGACTTCGACAAAGCGATGAAGAATGACGTCCGCAGAGTGTGTCTACTGATGGAAAACTGTTCCATGCACCACATACCAGACCTGGAGCAAACAAACGTGGAGCTGCAATTCTTCCCGCCAAACTGTACGTCCTTGATTCAGCCACTCGACCAGGGCATCAACAGTGTGAAGTGCGCGTATCGTTGGCGGCTGATCGATACGCTTCTGCTTAACCTTCGCTCGAAACGTTCAACAAACGTGGACATCTTTCAAGCACTGGAAATGCTCTCCGCATCTTAGAAAGTCACAACGAATGAAACCATCCACAAACGTTTCCTGGAAGCTGGGTTTGAAACACCTGCAGCATCAACAGCCAGTGCTCTCGGGGAAGCGAGTAGAAGTGCTCCCACAGTTTCGTCCGCTCCGAGTGAAGATGAGACGAACCAAAATGCTCTTCTGGGAGCACGGCAGACCCTCCGTGGCAAAGGTGTCCCTGACGATGTCACTCCGGAGGACTAGCTCTACGGGGACTCGTGCGTCGTTGTGACGGAAGAGGTTACCGACACTTTCATCGTGCAAGATGCAATCAGGAACTCGACGGAGGATGACGACGATTCTGAGGCCGACACCGAAAAAACTTGAGAGATCTTGAACACTCGGGAAGGGCTTGACACAGTTGATGTACTGAGGCAGCACACAGGATCGCACGGGCAGCAAGATGCTATGCAAGCACTCTGGGCGCTCAAACGCCGTATGACCCTGCTTCTACCGTCGAACCGGGTGTAAGCAAAAGTCGCTGACTATTTTACCCACAAATAAATGTCATTTTTGGCGAGTTTTCACACTTGTAAAACGCTCCAGAAAATGTCTTTTGCATACTGAAGTCGAATTTTGATTCAGCAATATTTCATTGTAACGAAGTAAATTGTAAATTTTACCGACTTTGTTACATCAAGGTTTGACTGTATCTGGGACCCTATACATATAAGGTAACCAAATGCGTTCACAGAAAAGTTTCTGCTATGATCTCGCACTTCTCACCTGCACAAAACTAAGTGTGCTTCGACGTGCAATTGACAAAAAACATGTGGACAACTCTCAAGGGTCACCGTGCAGGGCATTTGCGGTTGTCTAATCCCAGTCTGATGCAAGTGTTACTGCACTGAGCTCGACGATAAAAAGATTAGGGCGCAAAAGTAACAAATTCCATTCTATGCAACTGCCCAACTAAAGAAAGCATTCACGCTCGAACAACAAAAAGAGGGAAATTTGCCACAATTTCTATTAGGCTTTAGGGTCGGCCCTGATTTTTGCACGAATGCCTGGTTGCTGCCGACTCACCGCATCCCCTCAGAACTCCCGGCTGGTCAACGGGAGGCGAGTCCTCTTTGGGCAGGTACTGGGCATAGACGTGGTCCGCGTGAGGAGGCAGCACGGCATCTGGCAGCAGGCCGCACGGCATGTCGCTCGGCTCGTGGGGAGGCGTCGGGGGAAGCGGGGACGGACGCAGCCCCGGAAACGCCTCTTCCAAAAGCTGGAAAGACAGAAAAAATGAGGAGGACGCCTCGGTAGAAGCCAAGATGAGTTACTACGGTGCGCTGCAACATTAAATGGTGCTGGACGACCACAAACAAACGCAAGGAGCCCCGCTTGTTTACTCTTTCCACTAGTTCATTGTTATCTACAGTTGCATACAGGATGTGAATGGCAGAAAAAAGCTTCCAATATTCAATAATGTGTTGGCATCTCGTAACCCTAGAGGATGCGTGCACAACCAAAGCCCAGCAAAAGACAATGAGCACAGGCTGGAGGCTGCACGTTCCAAAAAAATGTCCTGTCACTCTCATATCGTCAGTGACCATAGCATCGTTTTTATTTTGCACAATGTTTAGTATGGTACTAACCCTCTGCAATGAGAGGGTCACCCAGAAAAATAAACTTCGGGACGCCTAGCATCAGATTCGGTTGTCTCAGATTAAGCCATTTGAGAAACTGGCAGATGAACATTGTTATTGATGGAAAGGTGAACAACGATAATAATCCCTGGAGAAGGGGAACAAGGCAGACAAAGGAAAAAACACGGCTCCAAAGACAGCTAAATGACTGATGCACGACTGCAAAAATATATTTGGTCCTAGTAGCGAACCAGGGAACTTTCCCTGGTTCGATACCAGGATTAGGCATATTTTTTCAGTCGCGCACCAGACACCTAGCTGTGTTTGGAGATTTGTGTAAGTGTAGACCGCATATAACATATGTCTCGGGAGTCGCGAAAATCCACACTATAAGCGGTACCGCACTATAACCAAAACATCAATTTTTCAGGCCAAAATACATGCCATCAGACAACTTACCTTTGTAAAAGAATTTATTTTATGTTAAATGAAAAATAAAGCTTAGTTTGAGGAAAGTCCTTATTTCATCAGACTAGTACAGTTCTGTCTCAAGTGTGTCACACATTTTGAAAGAAATGAGCGGCTTTTGCCTGGCGCAGCCTTGGCGTCGCGGGTTGCGGACGGACGTTGCGAGCGTTCAGGATTGCTAACCCTAATCACTTTTCTCCGGAGATAAAAACGCGTGAAAATTCGCATTCTTCATACGGTACGCGCCAGTAATACCTTGAACTTGAGCACACGCATGAAATGCACCAAATAAGAAATCCGGGCGATGTTCGAGGACACAAATGCTTAGAAAGCACCATTGTAGTCGAAGTAAACAAACACGACGACACGGGCGTTTCTGCCGTCTTGAGAGCGCCGCCACGACATCGCCGCACGAGTAGGTGGATCTTCCCTTCTAGTACGTGCTTGGTTATCATAGCCACACGACGTAAATTCACAGTCAAGGATAGCGCTTTTACGCAGAACGATCACAACCGACGCCATGTTTGCGGCCGGCCTGCGACGGCGCGACCGGTATGCAACGCGTGCGAACACTTCTCCTCGACCTGCGATTGGTCTGTCGTTGCGGTTGTTTGTTTCTTTGTTTCCAATGCAGCGGAGGGACGCACGCACGTGAACGACTCGTGCGTGCGTCCCTTCGTCGCTATGACAACTGAAGCGTCTCTCTTCGCTTCTCCCCGCGTTTTCTAGCAACCTCCTTGCTCCGCGAGTACAGCTTGCGGCTCGCACCGCCAGCGCCGTTATCTAGTGTCGCACAGGGAAGCGAGCTCGCTGCTCCGGTCGTCGGCGCGGTCGGCGGGCTGTGCCAAAAACCGCACTATAACCGGTATTTCCCTTCGTGCGCCTGCATTTTAAGCGGTATGTAATTACATGGAGTTCTATGGGAGGTGAACCGGTGGTTTAAAAAAACCGCGTTATACCCGGTCCTGCACTATAAGCGGTTACGTTGTAAGTGGTCTATACTATGTCCCTTTTCCCCCTTGTTTATCTTTTCCAGCGACTATTATTGTTATCCTTGTCCAGCTCGCTGAACCTTTGCATTAACTGAATTAACATCACTAACCTTAAAATGCAGGCTGTTCACCCTATTTGGTGATAGAGTGGTGGCAACTGTTAAAACCTGTTTACTCTACTAACATCTAACTCCTGGTTAGCTCAGTTGGTAGAACATTCCAGTGTTTTCATGGGATTATTCTTCAAGGATTTCTATGAACTTTATACCGTTGAATTCAGAAAGCAATGAACCGCAGGGTGATGCTATTTTTGTATGACAGTATGGGCCCGAAACTTTTTTATTAGTGATAATGTGACCTCGTTAATCTTTGTAAATAGTGTACTTCACCTAATTAGATTAGTTATATACAATGATCTATCTTTACAAAAATATCAATAGCATCATCTTGCATGGCAGGTCTTCAGCTACGAATCTATATCACTTATGCAAAAAAATTCTTATTAGAAAGTTCCTTAATGAGTCGTAAGAAATGACCTAATTAGGCTTCATTATTTTCTTTGTAACTCAAAAAGTAATTGAGATATCGCAGAACTAATTGAATATTTGAAAAGAAGCCAGAACGTATATATACGCACTGATTTTCATTATAATCCATTAATAAACAAAAAAGTCGAGTTTAGAACCAGTGTCTTGCCTTAAAAGAAAACTTGAAAAAATTTTAGGCGAAGGCGGAATTCAAATTGAGGACCCTTCGGTTGCAAGCCAGGCACGCTACCGACTGGGCCCTGCAGACATGCTTGCATGGCTTGGGAACAAGCGGGGGCTTATAGGTTTAGCTATTGCGTTCCATTCTTAAAGGCAAAGCTCAAGCGTCCTCCTGTAATTTTTTACCAGTGATCTATTAGTTCGAGACATCCACTAGCACAAAGTTCGGTACTGTAAACTGTAAGCTACCACTCCATGCAGAAAAACATACATATAACCGAATAAATCGTAACTTTGCTGGCAGTTACAATATCCAATTTCAAGTCGATTCACATTCCCCCAACATACCTTTGCTAAGAGTTCTCGCACCATTTGCACTGACACCCTGCTCGCGATCGCAGCCTGCAGGATGTCTTCACAAAACTCCTTCTGCAATAAAACAAAACAAGCGACACCTGTTGTCGAGGCCCTTTGTAACGCGTGCGGACACAATTGTACTAGGGCGAGTCGTCTTCTGTAGAATCAAAGCATGGTTTTCGCCAACTCACCACTGCCGTGTATTCCCCACACTCGAGCTTCCTCTGGACTGCGATCAGGTCCACAAAGTGAATCTCTGTAAAGACGTAAGAGGAGTTAGCAAACACCAGCCACATTTCTCAAAGTCAAAGCAGAATAATTCAGTCCTTTTCTTTATGACAGCCCTCAAAGTGGTGTGTAACTCGGAAGGCAATAAATGCCGGCATTTCCCTTTAAAGACACCCGCGCACCGGGTGAAGTCTGTGCCGGTGCTACAGCCGAAGCTATACACCTGGTGCCCCGTAGCTTTTTCTGTGCACCGTAGCAGGGCGAAACAAGTACGGAGCAGAAACACAAAACCGTCGGCTGTAGCACCGACATAGTCTCCAATATGCGGATCAGAGCAGTATACCACGAAGCCCATAACTGGCTCACGATTAAACCTGGTGAACCCTAGCTTTGGCTGTAGTCCCTTAAAGGGATGGTGAACCGTAATTTGGATTTCAAAAAAACAATACTGGAGATGTAGGCAGGACGCTACAATCCCTACAACACTACTAGTAAGGCGATATCTCAAATGGACGGCCGTATTTTTGGAAGAAGTCGAGATTGAACCAGGCTGCCGAGGCGCGGGACCGTCAAGATACCTAGTTTCCTCCTCTCTTCGCTTTGCTCTCTCAAGGCCGCGAGGCGGAGAAGACACGAGGCCGTTCCCTCTCCTTCTCGGAGAAACATGACGTCAACATTCCTGCCAAATGCGCCTCTTTTTTTGAAAAATACAGTCATCCGTTCGAGATATCGCTGTATGATTGATGTTTTGGTGTTTGTAGCATCCCGTTGCACGCTTTTGCCGCGTGTTTTGGGGAATTCAGATTTCAGTTCAGCACGCTTCAGAGTAATGGTACTTCAGCCACGTTGGCGCTTAAAATCATCGTTGTCTCAAGCTTTATATGAAATCGCAGGAAATGGTTTTTCAGCCCCCAGAAACGTTCAAACAGTCCGCGGCAGACCAAAACGATATTGCCCGAGCTCCATGACGCGGCACCTATACTCTATCTCACTAGGCACACGCAAATTACCAAAGGAGGGTATACCTCTGGCAGTTCAGAAAAAAGGAAAGGAGGAACCCCTCTTGCTCGTGCCCTCCTTTGTGTACCCGCACGTCGCCATTCTCTCCCTAGAAGACAAGCCCATCGCTCAAACTTCAAACAAAAGTTGCTTTCTCCACTCTCCCGTCCGTGGCTTCTGCAGCACTGCGTGCAACTAGCGAATGTCACACTTCCAAATCGTAACCATCGCCAATTGCAGCCGCTCCACACAACCGTAAGCACCAAAAGTGGCAGCGCCCGCTAGAAAGTCGGGGAACAAAGCGTCGACACCCTAAGCACATAGGACGTACCCGTCCTCCAGACGGCCATGGGCTGCACCGAGTCCAGGGAGGGGTCGGTGAGCTCGTCTGGGAGCATGAGCAGGTCCGGAGGGGTGGGCACGGCTTGCTCTAGCACTTGGCACTTGTCTTTGGACGCCTTCTGCAGCTGAGAGAGGCCAGGACACTGCAGCCCACTGCCGCACACCCCGACACGCCCAGAGTCCCCCCACAGCGTGCCAAAAAGGGCAAGGTCTCCCCAAGTAACTACTACTTACGCAACTCAAATTCTTAAACACTGCCTTCCCCTTAAATGGGAATCTGTTTAGTGACTACTGTAATATCCCGAGTCATTGCCCACCCCTTTGCCGCCTGAAATTCATAAAAAAGGTGGGGGTGAGCCATGTCTAAATGGGTAAGCACAAAAGTGTAGAAAAAGCTATAAAAAGCACCAATCTTTTGTACATATTTAGCGCAGCTGCACAAGAGATACATTAAACTAAAAACTCGAATTAGTTTCATTATTTTATGAAAGAAATGCTCACGAATAAACGTTTTACAATTGCAAAGTCTATTGCTTGCACATGCGCGATGAACACTGCCGGTCGGCATACAGGGGTGGACAGTCTCTGGTTTTAAACATCATGATTAACTATCACCAGCTCGCCTCCGCACTCACTGTATTTTCATTAATGATACATACCGCAGACGCAGTGAATTTGCGATTGCGACAAGTTTGCGGGGATTTCCTATGAACTCCCCTGTCACGGGTACCACAGCAGAATGCTATACTTACACGTATTAACAGATCTGTGTTAATGTATTTCCCTTTGGGAAGCTCATATCAAAATAAATTGAATCTGTGTGTCAATTAAGACTCAACTCTATGTCTTTCCTTTTACCAGTTCAGCCTCACATAACCAACCAGCTAAACCCTCCCGCCCCCCTTCCCAGAATGGCCGGTTTTTTCTTCAGAGGTGGCAACCTTACGTAAATTTGATCTCGCAAGTACTGCAAAACCTTCACTCTAGTGAGATACAGTTCCAGGGCCCCCTCATAGGTGGTGCCAGCACGTTCCCTTGTTGCAAGAGATCACGAGAACTTCATAGTTTCCTTAACACATTACCAATCTTACGGGCCCTGTTCACGTGACAATATACATTGACGCAAAGAGAAAGCAGTGGGAGAAACCTCGAGGAGTGAGTTCATGATGCAGCGCAGGCGATCCTGCAGCACCCGTTCGGCCGTCCCGAGCCACAGGCGCGGGGAGTTGGGCTCGCAGATGCGACACAGGTAGAGCTCCGTCTCGGGAAGCAGGGAAAGCACTTGGTACAGCTCCTCTGCACATTCCGCGTCGGCGGATTGAGGTTCCCATGCAGCGGAGGAAAGAGGGCGAAAGATCAGCTGCTGGCAACTTTTAACCCAAGCACTTGTGGTTTGCCGTTAACAATGTTTGTTCGAATGCCCACCTCGTGTTTAACGAGCGAAGCTGCGTTAAAGGGTTTGAGGAAGCTCCGTTCGGAACGAGACAGTTTCAGTTGCTCTCGTGATAGTGCTTTGTGTCGTTCCATTTCGACAATTCAAAAATAATGTGGTATCTGGACGTCACTTTGTAATGGCTTATTTTAAGACTAGTTTTGCGCTGCGACCATTTCAACAAAAAAAAAATAAACACTTTTCAAAAGTCTGCGTAATCGCCTGTCCGCCATTGCTTGCTCATGCAGTCCTAGTGTGTATTGGACACGAGGGTTGAGTCAGAGTTCGGCATGAACTCGGCTCGGCTTGTATTGAAAAAAAGTGTTGCGTCAGCAATCGGCAAGGACACGGATCCATAGAGCTGTTATGATGTATGCTAGAGGTTCAACTGGCACTAGTGTCGATGCGACCACCAGGCTGAAAATTGAAGCAGACAGCGACCAGTCTACTTTTGCGGTGCTCCTATGCATTTTGTGTCTTCGCCGGAGAATAAGAGGAATCACCTTTGTTACTTGGGTCATAGCAAATACTAGGTAACTTCATTAACATTGTAAAAGTGTAATTGCGTTAGTTACAGTAGATTTATTCACCAGTAAACAATGTTAAACTTCGCTATATTTAAGGCCGAAACGTCTGTTCCATAGCAGGCGTGCAAAAAAGTGTGATGATTCTAAACAAAAGAACAACTGAAAGGAATGTTGAGCGTTTTGAAGGTTCGCCGGGGGCACTTATATATTGCTAATACGCACGTCCTGTCATTATATAAAAATGACCCCGTCAGGTGTCTTTACGAGCGGTTAAAAACATTCAAAACGTAAAGTATAACGTATGTGGGTTATGAAAGTTGTTCCTTTTCACTATTTCCTATGCCGGGCAGCTTTTATCGGGCCATCAAGCATCTTCACAGATATTCATGGGCAAAAGGAAGAGAAAAGTACTTATTTATTGCAAATTTGGAGTATATTATGTGACCTTCAATTTATTTTGATTATCTACATGCACAGGAAGTTACTGATCCAGTGTTACTGTGTAGTTGTTGCCGTCTCTAGGTTTTCTAGACGTCCTTCGTTTGTTTGGCACATATATCCCTAATGCTGAAAAGCGTCGACGCCATGTTCGCGCCAACAGTGTCTGAGTGCACAAAAATGCATGTATAAAGCTGTTTTAGCACTGTGTTTAATGCCATGAATTTGAAAGAAAAACGCTGCAACTGACCAATTACCACTTCGTCCGCGTGACTGAGAAATGTTCCAAGCCAGATAGTTGCTGTTATAATCGAGCGCGGGGAAGTGCACACATTTCCCCATAAAAATGTATTACCAGAAGTAAATTTTCGACTGGCTGCTGTCTGCTTCAATTTGCAACTGTACGCTAGCGCCAGTTGAACCTCTAGCGTGCATTATAATAACTCTATGCTCAGACTCAATCACACGCTACGTGTCCAAGCAATGGAGACTGCCAATATTGCTTGAACTTTTAAAAAGGGTCTATCACGCTATGAAAATGCAGGAGTACTTAAATGTCTCAAACCTTGCAAACCATTAGCAAATACTTTGCAATACAACGCTATATTTCACTAGCAAAGTCAGCATTAGTAACACAATTTAAAATCTGCCTAACTGTTGCAGAAACACTTGATATGGTTATGCTGCAGTTCTTAGTCACATTTCAACATTTAACGAACTTTGCGGTTATAACTACTGAACCAGAAAAAATACTGTAGAAGGTTCCAGCATTCATTAGATATCGGCATTGTTGAATCCAGGATTATGAACTTTTCAGAAGTATTTCAAATCTGGACTAACCTTTCTTACACAACTATGTTTTAAGTAGCTATATTTGACTGCCTGGAAAATACCTTACACATCAAACTTCTACAATGCAAAAAAAAAATCCACTTGCATTATTTTATGGTTTTCTCTGTCCTAAGACACAAAGCATGTTGCAAATGACAAGCCCTCAATTCCTACAGACCTGATATTCCATCACAACGTGCGTGAATCCATTTTTGGCACTGAGAGCACTGGACCATCTGAAAACAAAAAGGCAAGATATCAATAGGCATCATAAATACTTGCTGAAACATGTTAATTTTTCAGAGATAACTAAAACCCAAACAAACCACATTTTCAGTCTCATACAGTAAACAAACAAAAATTACATAAAACCCAAGCACCAGTAGTATTTTATCTTAACATCAACTTTACAGGCGAGACAGATATAGAGAAAAGTTTGAAAGTAATGACTTACCATAGACTCGTAATCATCATCCTCATAACACTTTTCACACAGGGGGCAATAGTTTCCTGTTGGGGGAATGGGAGAAAACCCATGAGTACCTTCTCACAAACTTAATGCTTCTCGGGCAGAAAGGGCAGACTGGTCAAATTACCTTTCTCACGCAACAACATGCAGTCCTGACACAGCGACAAGTCAAAGTTCCATGCCGACTGCTTGGATGAAGTACCACAGCTCTTACACCTGATGCACTTGACACAGAGCTGCAGCACGAAAGGAAAAGCCATTCTGAGATTGAACGAGAAAAAATGCACAAGCTCCCGAACTATCAACGCGTCGTCAACGGACCGTTTCAGTGAACAGGTTCCTGCAGATTAATAGGAAAGGACATTAGAAATAGCTTTGGGAAACATGTAACCACAATATCAGTATACTTCCCACATTGAAAATTTATTCCCACATTTTAATTTTCCAAAATAACTTTTCACCAATTTTTAAAATAATTTTGGTACCACTATTTTTGCTATCGCGAGAAATCCAAATGCTAAGAGCGTTTGAGTTACTAAATGCTTTTTTCCTGTCTCACTGAACCTAAGTTCACAGAAAGGCCATTGTGAAGGTAGTACTATTTCTTATTGGCAAGGAAATTGAAATATAGATGGTGCTTTGTGTAGCTTCTTTTCCGATAAATATGGTGTTTACCCAACACAAGGCCCGTTGACCAGATACTTTACGTCGTCTCTCGCCCTTCAAGAACACGGCACGGATTGAACACAAGCGTTGCGTGGGAACTCGACTGGAATTTTTCTTTTGTTGTTTCACTAGCCAAACACAAACCCTAGCCAAACGCTGCATCAGAAAGACAAACAAAATACTCATTCGCTCGATCATGCCAACAAAAACTAGGGAGCACAGACCGTCTCCCACGCAATACACAGGTGCATGGGACACAATCCACACAGGCACACGGTACACTAAGAGAAACCACACTCCATGCATGGTTTGTGCTAGTTCTTTCGGGGCAAAACCGAGCGAATGAGTGCTCCGCACGGGCGCTACCTTCTATGGCTTTCGCACGACGTTAACGAGGCGAGCAGTCGCACGGTGTGACATTGCACCGCTCTCACCAGCACGTCTCGCCAGGAGCCCAATACTTCTAGAGCACCTGTGCTATGCAGCTCAGAAGCTATGGTATCCGACTGCCACCGACCCAGGTTCGAGCCCCGCCAAGCCTTGAACCTTAATCTCGTCCAACGCTCCCAGCATGTCACTCCATCAAATTGCTCGTCCGCCTCGACCGTTCGTGACGCTCGTTTATGATGCTGATTCGTCGCCATTTTCTCATAGAAAAAGGCTCATAAACAGATTCTATGTTAATAATTCATGTTGCTGTTGTCTCCACAAGTGCAATTCTCAAACTAGCTGCTAGAGGGGCTCCGGTTTGATCCCCTTTCTAATGGCGCAAAGTGTGTGACGTCCGCCGACAAAAAAACTCACCCATATCTTCTTTTTCCGAGACGGCTTGGAAGGGTAGCCAGGCCCCAGGCAGTCTGTGTGGTATGTCTGCTGACACTTGCTGCACCTCAGGAGTTGCTGCGAGTAAACAAAACAATGCGTTGCGGCACAAAACCGCAAAAGACGAACGAGTTGAGGGGGTGAAGACGGGACGCTCACACTGCTGCGGTGGCCGCAGGCGATGCACGTCTGGCAGCGGGGGCAGCACCAGCTCTCCTTGTCCAGGCCCTGGGGGGCTTCCTCGGGGTCCAGACAGAACCAGTGGTATGGTTCGCAGCACACCGTGCAGAACAGCAGCTGAAGCAGATGAGGCCATTCGGGAGGGAACAAAACTGGTCTAAAAGTGACACTATTCCTGGTCAGCTTCCTCCCTCGACTCGATATGCCCTAAAAGTTGAGGACTGGTACGCACGCAACTTCCCGTAACTCAAGATTCCGACGTCGGCTCGCAGTCAAGAGATCCTTTCTGTGCATTTGTTGCTAGATCTGGGGCAGTTGTCAAGTTTTGAGAGAAAAATGATGCAATGCCACTCACAGTTGTGTATGGTGCTAGCTTCGCAGCTTGACGTTAGCGCCTTACTGCTGCTAGCCGCATGACCTCGGTACTAATGAATACAAAGTCAGCGACATTGCTATTGCGTCGTTGACAAGGCATACTGCCAGCAAGTGTTGTACTGTGATGATGTCTCCATTTTCTAGACATGACGAGGCCCATCCTCTCATGCGGGGACTTCAGAAACTGCTTGCGTCTCTGTGTATGTATGGTTCTGACATTTGCAGGGCTGCGTTTCAAGTCTGCAGCTTGAAACGCGCGGATTTTCCTTTTCTGATGCAGTGTAGGTATTTGTGTCGAAGAGTTCAAGGCTATACTGCTGCATACATTTGAAGTCACGTTAGGTTGAAGTAATAATCTGAAGACGTCTCCGTCACCTGAAGGAAGCGAGTTTGTTTGAATTGGCTATATGGCCTACTACAAAGGCGTCCTCAATGAAAAAAAGCAACTTAATTATTTTTTATTTGTGTTCTTTAAGCTTGCAACGAGCACAGTCCTTCCACTTCTGCAAGCAATACTGAAGTGATGCAGCCAAGGGTTATGAGATTCCAGGCATTACTCCTCAACAGAACAAAGCGGGTTCGTTTGTGTTCTTCCCCGTGAAGTTTTACATGTAGTGCAAGCCCACGCCGCTACAGGTTTGTATCATTTTACAGCCATGTGGCCAAAAGGGTATGAATTTTAATATTTTGATTGTCTGTGCCAAGAAGTTCATTTGTGTAAGCATCCTGCTCCAAACTAACTAGAGTGGCATTTCTTACATTTAACGGTGCTTGCTGAAGTGCGCAAATAAACTCAGCATCACCTGGAGTTGTAGGCTTATAAAAAGGCCATTTCTTTGTCCTCCTTACAGATTATGTCTTCAAAGAGAATGTAACTTCCCCACACTTATTGCGTCATAAAGCCATTGGCTGGAGACATTTAGGTAAATCAAACGAAGCCATTAGCAATTCTACTCCCAATAGCTTTCTCGCTACATGTGCTAAACAAGATAAATTAAGACCTTGAAGTTTTTAACTATATTCACAAAGTCTCTCGTCAAATTCCGCGATAAACAGTGACACCCAGAACTACTGACCAATGATTGAAATATATAAAACAAGACACTGACTTATTAAGTAAAACTGACAATTGAAACAAGACTAATACTCCTTGTATTATTTATTTGCTTTTTAGTCCTATGTCCCACAGCTGCACCCTTACTAAAACTGTGTTAGTGGGCATGTATCTGATGATATTGCATAAATTGCAAAGTTTGCCGTTTAAAAAAAAAGAGCAATAAAGCAGGAGCTAAAATTTTGTTTTAACGACAGAAGTCCAAATGAAACAATGCATGCCGGGACTCACTTCTTCCTCCCCCGCACTGGCACAGAGGAAACACACTGCCTGCACAGCAAAGCGCCGAGACGACACAAGGGCAAAGCCCGTCGCTATGATCTGTGCCCGCCGATATTCTTCCTCCTGCAAAACCCCAAGAACAAACACACATGACATGTAACAGACCCCAAGCTCAGATTTATTGCCATTTTATTCTCTCTGCTCCAGTTGGTTGTTTGCACACATTAAAACTGTTCACTATCAGAACCTACTCACATTTTACGAATACGAATTCGAGCAGTCTAAAATAACTGCACAATGCTACCATTCCAACGCACAATTCAACACATTTACGAAATGATGTGTCTACCCAATACGAACAGATCGCAAAGAAATCCGTGATAAAATATTATTGCCAACAACGGTGCACAATATAAGAAACTTAAGTCAAAATATGGAACAACCACAGCAACAGCCGTTATTTAGGTACGCTGCAGTCCTTTGCAGAACGAGGCAGTCATTCTTAACTCTTTTGTGTCTGGCACTGACAATTAATAACGTCAAAAGACATATTTGGGTAGACCTGCGTACAAACCAGCTCCGAGGAGTGTGATCTTAGCTTATATTAAATTAAATTTTACATTTCCCGAGATGTATGTACTCTTCCGGTATACACCTTTCCAAAAAACGCTCTTAGGCCGCTGCCATGTTGCTGTTGCTGATGCGGCTGGTGCGACTCTCGCACCCCCTATCAGCTAGAAATTTTCTGCCATTCTCTTGGGCAGAGAAAACCCACTCAGCGCAATTCTCCATTTATGTTTTGCAGTTTCGTATTCAACATTTTCCGGCCCCTTTTCAAAGTTTCCACTTAATTTTTCTGATGCATGCTGCATACCCTTTTTGTGTTATCTTCGTTATCTTCCACTGTGAGAAATAGGGCTGGTAAGCGCCTGCCATTCAAGCGTTTCTGCTCGATATTCACGGGAAATGAAGGAGGGAAGGGACGTTGAACGGCCCTCGACGCGATTTTGCGAACAATGACAACTGTTCTCCCCCTCCTACAGATAATCCGCGTATAGTCCTTCTCAGTCATAGCCAAAAATAGTTGTTCGGGTTGGAGTCAGTCGCGCCCGTTCCTTTGCCTTAGTGCTGATGTGAGAAAAGCAAGCTCTCCCCAAGCATGAACCAAAACGAAGTCATCTTGGATTCCATCCGATCATCAAGATGTGACTGTCGTCGACTGTGTCTGTGTTATTTGAGATCTTTCTCAAATAAATTCTTTTTAGATAAAGCTGATCGTGTGGTACACACAATATATTGCTTGAATGTTAACACCCGCTAAATTGTATGTCAGTGTCCTGTCCATCGGTAAACACATTGAGCGTAAAAAATGCATGCCTTTAAGCTACCTCCTGTTGTAAATTATTTTCGACAGCTAAGCGCTTTGTCATTTGACAAGCAGCTAATCAGGCGGCGCCGCCAAAGCTTACCGTAAAAAAATTGACAACATTCCAGTCGCCTTCATTCTGTTGCGCGCGCGTACGCAACAAAAATAGTTTACAGTTTATTGCTTTTTTGTTTTTTCAAATGTGGTACAATGCTTTCTCAATGTCCTTGGGAAAATACATACACCATGAAACACAGAATACAGCGGTAAAAAACAAGAATTTAGTTGCCAGCAGTGTATGAAAGTGCACCTACGCAGGCTGCGCCTATCGAAACCACAGTCCACTCGGTTAGGGTTAGCAGGGACGCCGGTGAGCGTCTAGCCTCAAACCCAGTGACTGGGCTCGAAAACAGTTTGCTGCCCCTGGGGTTGAGTGTTTCTTGGAAAAGTGTGTAATCGCTGGGTAGCGATTCTTCATCATTCACCCGAATATCGATTCTACAGTTGATTATTTGGTCGCAAATCACGAATGAATCGAATATCAAAGATGCTCCACTCATATTAGAAATTTAGAATATTTCCTCAGCTCTAAAAGTCACATTTCCATGGTGAAATTTAAATCTTTATCTGAAAGGGTCAGGTCACATCATGCGTCGGGTAGACTGCCAATGACCCGCAAGCTATTCGAAGAAACTGCAAGCGGTAGGTCGTGTGTACGAGGGGCGAAGAGAAGTCGGGGAGAGACTACTCACCCCGAATAACGACTGGACGAGAGGCTGGTTCCCGTGTCCCACCGATTTCTTGCTCAGCTGCCTCGAGGACAGTGGGTGCTCCACCACCTTGGGCACCAGTGGAGGATATGCCTGCAGAAATACCCCACCACCGAATCTGCAGCCTCTCCTGCTTCAACACCCGCGAGATGACACGTATTGAACAGCCTTTCCTAACCAGGTTGTAAATGTCGGAGACAACAGTTTGCTCGGTGTCACGGCACACATTTCTTACGCATCCCAAATGTACCTCGGCGAAATTCATGTACGAAAGCACTTGCTCGCCTTGATCACCCTTGCCCTTGGAGTTAAGGTGAAGGTGAATGAATTTATAAGCCTCGAACGCTCGCGAGCTTAAAGTTGAGTGAGAGGCGTGAGGTCAGTGTGGAGAACGAGTTTGGCGAGCTCACGAGTTCGAGTCTGGCGAGTTCGCAAGTGCCGTCGTGATAGCGAGTCGAATTTGAGTCCAACTGTGAGTTTGACGAAATGACTATTTTTTTTCCTTTTATTTTGAGGTGGTTACGAGTGAGCGATTTGCACCCATCATGCCAGCTTCGGGTTCTAATGCACGACACCTTTTGTAATACCTCGCTTCGCTCATCTTCGCTTACCTTTGGTTGCAACTTGTCCTGGAGTCTTCCTGCCGAGGAGGAAGCTCCACCCACCCTGTCTAGAGAGTGCACCGTGCCCCCGACGTCCCGATCCCACTCCCGACGGGTTGACGCAGCATTCGCGTCGTCGCATCCCGTCCCCTCTTCCAACTTGCACTCGCGCCGCTCCATGGTGTCGTCCGCTTCCCGCTTGGCAACCGGGCCTCCTTCCCGCCAGCCGTTCTTCCGCGCCACTCGCGAGGCCATCATCGCGGCCCTGGCTTTGGATGTGACTTTGGACTTGCTTTTGGACTTCGCTTTCTTGGCTGCCGTGTGGAGCAGGAGCCGCCGGGATTGTTCGACCTTGGACTTGTAGCTCCGTAGCGGCTGCGCGAGAAGGCGCTTCTTTTGTAGGGCCAGGCTGGGCTTCCCGGGCAGCTTGGAGGCGACGGGTGTCTTAGAGTCTGGCGTAGCTTCGGAAGGCGCGGCCGACGACTTCTCCGGAGCGTCCGAAGTCTTTTCAGCTGCGGGCTCCGGGGGATCTTTCTCCGTTCGACTTGACGGGACCGGGTCCAGACACCGCCGATAGCTGGAAGAAAGTAAAGACAAAATTAGTGGAAAGGAAAAAGCAGCCCAGCAATGAAGCACCACTGGCCAAGAGAACATGAACACGAGACAAAGAGTAAAGCTTTTTCTCCTCTTTCTTTTCCGAGATTTGAAGGTTTGATACGGACTAACGAGATTTATATATTGACCTTTTGTCCCTTGTTCTCACACTTTATGACATTTGCACTTGCAAATATGGACTATTGAGCTCAAAGTGTGATTCTTCTGCGAGTGTCATGCTTTACAAGCGTGTCTATCAATCGAGGATCAGTTTGGAAATAGCCTAGAGAAAGATTAGAAGGAATATCTTATAGTACTGCACCTCTAGTTAAGTTTCTAAATCATGTACAGTAAAACCTCGTTATAACAAAGTTGAAGGAGCGGTCGTAATTATTTCGTTATAACCATTAGTTTGTTATAGCCAATGTCCATTTCTTCCCCTATAAGCAAGCAAGGGGAATTATGATTGCTTTGTTATATCCATTAGTTTGTTATATCCCGTTTTGTTATAACGAGGTTTTACTGTAATCAAAAGTTCAAACAAAGTGGAGGGAGGCAAGATGAAAGACGAGGCAAAGCTGGTGAAAGGCGCAAGTGAGATGGTACTTTGATGCACATCAAAAGAAGTCATGTGATAATATATGAGCAAGAAGCACCTGTGGCAAGATGCGTCATTGTTTTTCTCAAAGCTCATACAGCTTACTACACAGATATTCAAAGCTGCGACATTCACTCAACAGTAAAACACAACTCCTTTCTTCCATTCCAAATTTATAATTCATAATCCACATTACGCACACACACACAAAAAAAAAAGGAAGTTTATTTTAAAATACCAATTACTAGTCATGTGCTATTGGTAGATTCCGAGTTTGAAGCGAATTCTAAGCAAATAGTGGTTTTGGTCGAATATTTCCGAATTTAATAATGCCGCGTGCAAAGACGAGCAAGCAACGTTTGATCACGGACTTCTAGACGATTGATGTTTAGCCTAACTCAGGACATAACTTTAATCATTTTGTCCTACTTTCTTGTTCTCGAAGGTGCCTGTTCATTCTCACTCCGAATGCTTGACGCTCGAACCTTCTGGACTAAATTTTATAGATACCGAAGTACACTCGACAAGGAGCTTCGCAGGACCTTTTCGAGTCAGTTTCGCTCTACTGTATAAACTGTGGCATGTAAACGTCAGATTTGTCGTAGTTATCGTAATTGAGGGAGTTTATAAATCTGGCTGCTATATGCAAATACTTTCTTCTATTTCAAATTTGACAAAAAAAAGAAAAAAAAAAAGCCCAGCCAGTGCATTATGCTTTCTACTTCTAAAACATAGCTGCATTCAGTAGCAAGCTCTTGAACGAAAATTCCGAGGACACCTAAGAGCTTCGTACGAGTTGTGAATGCGAAAGCATGAATGCCGTTCTTCCGCTCCCTTAGTTCGTCTGCGGTGTACTGGCATGGACGGCTACGTTTTGCTACTGCCGAGGTTGCGGCCGGCGGCAGAGCACTTGCTCTCGTAAAGCAACCGCAGCCCCCCCCCCCCGTTCCTTCAGCAACACCTGCCACAAGAGCGGTGACCGGGTGCGCGCTCTTGTGGAGTGGCTGCCAATGGCTATCTACGAGCCGTTTCGCTCGGCCAATGGAAAAATTGGCATTTCTTTTGCATTTTTTTTTTTTTTTTTCGGTTACAGACGCCGTTGGCTTTGCTCCTTGGGATAGGTCATGCTTTTGCATTAAAACAAGCTTGATCACGCTGACAAAGGCTAATAAGAACAAGCTCCTGCTGCAGCTTCTGCCATTTCTTATGTTCCCGATAAGCTTGGCTCTCTTCCTCCAACATGGCCACGACGGAAGAAAACAAGGCATCTAAATGGCAGCGCCTCGCTAAAAAGCAAGTGTGTCGAAGATTTGCTCTAATTTCTGACAAATGCCATGGGATGGATCACCTGCGCCATCTCATGGGCTGCGCCACGAGATGGCACAACCCGACATGACCACACGCTTTCAAGGCCATGAGGCGCGCACCTCTGAACACCGTGCGAAGGAGTCTCTGTTCGTGTCGAGATCAAATGCCGTCTCTGGCTAGCGCAGTCGGTAAAGCACTTTGCTTACAATCTCAAGGTGGCGAGTCTTTTTATATGGTTCCCTAAGGGCGTAACGCTTTCGGTGTCAGATGTTCATTACAGTCAAACGTTACAGATCTGCATGAAAATCAACTGACAAAACACACTTTGTGTTAAAAGCATGAACAATGAATGTAGGATGTCAAGACATTGCTGCCTAACATATACTCTTGCACAATCACAGCAGGTTAGCCCCGTTGAGTGCGCTTCTCACCGAGCACCGGTGCACTACGGGGAAGCACTACCCGCGGAGCTTGCAACCTTCACGGGTGTTTCTTCTCTGCAGTGCAACGGTGCTCAAGGAAAAGTGCACTTAACGGGGCTAGTTTGCCACAATCAACACTTCGAAAAGTATTACTATCGTAGTTAGCGTATTATTCAAAACTATTGTTATAAAATTAAAGTACACCCGTTGGCGACATGAAGGTGAACGCCGAACCGTCGACCGGTCCGTGCTATCAACGCCATGACGCGGCTGCCGTGGCGGCTCGCTTTCTTATCGCGCGCTTCGCCGAAATTAAGTGCTTGGATCGAGCGCTGTTCTCAGCTCTGCTGCTACTCCCAAAAGAAAGCGTGAGGATTGTGGAAGGAGACTCCTTTCAGGTGCGATCAATAGACAATATGATTTAGTTTTTTTTTTTTTGTGATATGTGCTAAACCAGAAAACTGCGGAACAAATAAAAAAGTAACTTATACTTTCCATTTCTTAAAAAGAACAGTTATTAGCGTTCGCTCATTAATGAAAAAAAAAGTGGTCGAGTCACTGATAAACTATGCCGAACAACGTCCGCTCTAGTACACGTGCAAGGTGCAAATCATTTGTCAACAATGACGTAGACACAGCGCCCACAAAAAGCGATGTCAAAATCGAAACCCACTTCCACGCTTTCTGTGGGGAGTAGCATCAGAGCCGAGAACAGCTCTCGATCAAAGCGCTTAATCTCGGCGAAGCGCGCGATAAGAAAGCGAGCCATCACGGAAGCCGCGCCATGGCACTGATAGGTCGGACCAGTCGACGGTTCGGCGTTCACCTTCGCATCGCCGACGGATGTACTCACACAAGACTACAAATTACACTCTTGCTTAAAACACTCCGGAAACAACAGTTAGGGCTTACTGTCGATCCCAGGCAAAGTTAGTCACTGGGGGCATCACAAGAAGTGTGAAATATGGGTCTCAAAGTGGGCTAAGCCTGCATAGGAGACATAGGGCCAACCTTCTGCACTAAAAAGGTTTACAACTTGGAAATGTACTTACGAACAAGCTTGCTTCAGGAGATTCTTTCCACCAAACTTCTTCTTGTCTCTGCAAAAGAAAACCTTGCTCTTAGCCTAATAAACCCAATGAGATTGACTCAGGATGAGTGGCAATTAATCTGCTGCCCACCACGAACAATGCCCCCTGTATTTAGTATTTCCTGTCCACCGTTACGAAAAGATTGAACACCAAACCACCGAGTGTGATGTTAAGGACTTTGGCGTCAATCGTGCCGACCAGTCGCCGAATTAAAGATGCGCAGTGCTCGACGCTACATTAGTGGAAGTCGGAGAAAGCGCACATTGCACCCCGCTTCGTTTTGGCCTAATGTTCAGCACATGAGCTCTAGGAACATTCTCTCACATTAACATCAAGTTGGACCAGAGCACGGTGCAGCAGAGAAGAGAGTTATGGCAAAACAAAAAACGCCCTGCATGTTTTCATCGGCCCTTTTTAATATTTACATACCGTAAAATCCCGTAGGGCCGCCCTCCCCCATGAGATCGCCCGTCCCGTTTTTTAGGCTAATATCTAAAACATAAATATTCTGAAATACTGCCCACCAATATTCTCGTCGTCGACGACGTCGACGGGAATCGCATTGATCAAGCGATCTGCGGTACCGGTACATCTAACAAAGGAGTTTCTAGCGCTAGGTTTCAGGCGTTTTTGTCTGTGATCTCCACATGCAATATTGGTTCATGTGACGTGCAAGTTGATCCAGATCGTTTATTGCATCGTGAGATGCGAATCTGCTGCGTTCGCCATCCGCGATATTTGTTCCCGTAGCATGTGCATTTGTAGTGGGTTCCCGCGTTTTTTGTCCGCAATCTGCGCACGCAATATCCGTTCCCGTGACATACGAGTTGTCCCGAATGTCTGTTGCACCGTGAAATGCAAATCGGTTCCCATATGTGCGAGCTCGCGGCAGGTTCCCACGTGACCTTTGCACCGTGTACCGTGTTTTCGCAATTCTAACGCGCATTTCTTCCCGCTAAAGTTTGGGCCCAAAATTACATGCAGGTTTCCAATCAAAACCAAGAACCGAAACTAAAAAAAAACAACGCAATACTCGGTATAAAGTGGCTAGCCCCAACGCCATCGTGACCGTTTCTTTACGTTTGTCATTTTGGTATTTGTGTCACGCGTCTACAGGCTCGTGCCCGCCATTTTGAGATGGAAAAGAAAATCCACTAGGAGGCTTTATTTCAACGAAAGGCCGTCTTGCTGCCGGGAAAAAATAACAACGGAGCAGCACTGCGTGGCCTCGCAATCCCAGCGGCCCGACGAGCTTGCAAACTGTTGTTTGGAAGACAACCCTCCCAAAGCCGATGGTCGCGCACTCAAACATGCGCAAGAAGCACGGCACTTAAAACGCTTCAGACGAAAACAGGGATCACCTCTGTGGACAGCAAAGAACCATCGTCGAACTGTGACAACGACGATTAGTGCACAGCATTTATTTTTGTGTTGGCATTCGTTTCTTAAAATCTGTTCTATGATTTATGTATTCAATCTTCATTATTTTACCTGCGCGGCAGAATCGGCCACAATGTACTTTTTGAACATCTAAAAGCCATATCTGCCTGCGCGTTAGAATCACGCAAAAACGGTAAAGCGAATCTGCTGCGTCCGCAACGTCTTTTACCGTGACGCAGGATGTCATAACAAAATCCCGCGTGGTTATCACATCATAAAACATAAATTTGCTGTGTCTGCAATCCACGGTATCAGTTCGCGTTTTATATGGTTTGTAGCGGATAGCCTAGTGTCTTATCACTTTTTTTTTTTATAAAGATTTGCTGTCGCATCTCCAAAAATAGCCCCATCCCATGTTTTTCCCAATTCATCTCTTCATTGTGGGTGGGCGTCCTCACAGGATTTTACGGTAGTTCTATTCAAACAATTAAGACCATTCGGGAGAACATACCGTATTTACACGATTTAAGTCGACCTGCCACACTGCACGTCAACAAAAAAAAAAAAATTTTTAGGGGCGCATTTTACGGCGAACGTGTGAGGACGACGGAACGTCTCTTTCAAAAGCCCAGCACCCGTCGCACGCTCGATGCCTTCTAGCTGCGCACACGCGAGGTGCACGAGGTGCTGAAGCGTTATAGAAGCTAGGCAGTTCGTACTCGAGGCGGGACAACCGAAGCAGTCATTCTCATTCTGTCTGCGACTAGACACAACGATTCGTCCGCACTATTGCTGTCCTTGCCGTTGTCGTCGCTGATTCGTTCCCAAAGCCCGACACCGGCGTCATACAATAAAATCTGGCGCTTTGCGAATGACTGCATGGACCGCACCTTCCGTGCTTGCTCGGTGACAGCGTCGCACGTCACAAGTGGGAACCGATCACGGATAAGGCATTTCAGCGACGTATGTTGCAAGCCCGACTTCTCCGACTCCGGAGGGCATCAGGACCTATCTGGACTTTGGCCCGCAGAAGCCTTTTCGTTTGCCGTCGCAGTTCAGGTCCTGCGCCGTTACAGGTGGCACTGGCGCGCCATGCGCTCTGACAGGTCGAATTTGCGTCCAGCAGCACAATTGTTGGTTGCTTTTGGACAAAAAATCGCCATAAACGACAGCCGAAAACCTAAACTGCCCAGATCACGTGTTGACACAGAGAAAAGTAGTTGGCACTCCAGCTCGTTCCCACAATCTTGACACTCTATCAAACAATGTGCGGCCATGCACTGTGGAAAAGTACCCGCAAGAAGCGAGGATGTTCAGGGTTCCAGCAGATATTCCGCAGTGGCTCTTACATCAAGCCTGCCACTCCCGGAAGTCGAGTGCGCCGCATGCCGTTCAGCGCCATGCATTCGGGCTAATTTGCAAATCGCAATCAATGATACTCGTTCGCTCAGATCAAAAAAAGATATATGGAACTTGTAAAATGAGCGCACAGAATGACGCAATGCTACAGGTACAACCGGCTGAACAAGCCGAGGCATTCTTGATATCGCGATTGTTTCGTTTCTGTCGGTGATGGAATGCTTTAATTCGATTATAAGTCAACCCTCCCCCCCCCCCCTCCCCCTTCAGGTTTTCAAAAATTTAGAACTAAGTTGACCTACAATTGTGTAAATACGGTACTTAAGTCAAAACAAATTGATGTTTCAGCTGTTTTTTTTACTGTTGATGTTTGATGTTGATTGCCATTATTTTTTACCCAGCTAAATGCCCATCAATGGTAAAGGGAGAAACAATGAAAAATATAGGCTGGGTGGACTATGTGAATGCGATAACAAAAGTTGATTTAAAAACTTTCAGCCTTTCCACTCCGATGAAGAAAGACCAGCGGAGCTGTACTATGGTGGGACGACCTCAAGGACGATGCCTTGAGGACGACGTCTAGATGACCTCAAGGACGACCCCAGGGACGACCCCTAGGACGACCCCAGGGACGACCCCTAGGACGACCTCAGGGACAACGCCTAGGACGACCTCAGGGACGACGTCTAGGACGACCTCAGGGACGACGTCTAGGACGACCTCAAGGACGATTTCTAGGACGACCTCAAAGACAACGTCTAGTACGGACTCAAGGACGATTTCGAGGACGACGTCTAGACAACCTCAAGGATGACTTCTAGGGCAACTTCAAGGATGACGTCTAGGATGACCTCAAGGACGACCTTTAGGATGATGCTTATAGAACGTCATCCTCTAGGCATCGTTCTTGAAGACGACGTTTAGAGAAATTAAGCTTTTTGACTCAGGTGAAAACCAAAGTGGAAAGGTTGCCGCCGTCTGTCCAGAGTTTTGTGCCGAGATTTATTTGTCTACGGACACGAAACTGGGGAAACTAGCCCTTAACAGCCCCGCTTTAAAAATTAGTTATACATAATATACCCCCTATGAACTCACCCGACATGGAAAAACAGAAAATGATACTGCAGATAGCAGACGTGGCAACCTCGCTTTCGACTGGGGAATAAACAGATGGGACCCGATACCGCAGATCGTAGTCACTGAGAACTCCAGAGCCATAGGGCAATAAATGTGCAGGAAACCACAACGAACTTGCTAGTCACGGAACTGCTACCACAAATTGCGGACACGACAAATTTCCATTCCACAGCACAAAAAACACGTAGGAACCCACCACGAATTTCCGCGTCATGGAATCCGATACCACAGATTGCTGTCACTGCAAACGCGGATACCGTGGTGCAACAAGCATGAGAGAAATTTACAAATATTTACAGAGAAAAACGGAATGGGCAATTTCTCGAGCAATGTTACGGCAAGCGTTCCTTCACCTCTTTTGCAACTGCCCGTGCACGTGCCCGCGAACGACAAGAGAGAAAAAGAGAAAGTCAAAGAACACTTCCCATCTGAAGTCCTTCAAAAGGCACCACTTCGCTAACTACGTTGTAGATTTGGGCAAGCGTTATAGATTTGGGCAAGCAATCCAGCATTTTAAAAAGATTTTTTTTCTCTCTGCAAATACACACCTCTCAAGCTCAATATTTTTAGGGTGATCCCCAAGAACCATTTTCGGTTGTTTGCAATAATAAAAACAAATATTGATGTGGAAGTTGTCTGTGACCCTTTTGGCTTGGGCATAGTGGTTGGAAGGATTAAAAAGCAGACAACTGGCCCATGCTCAAAGTGAAGCATGTGAGAGAAAAAGGAGGGCCTGAGGAGACACTAACCGGCAGTTGGCACACTTGCCACAGTCCTCGGCCAGGCAGCCGGCACACTGGTGGCATCGCCCCTTGCGCGGCCGTTGCTGCGTCTCTTCTCTTTTCTTCTCCCTGACCCTCCCTTCCTTTTCTTTCACCTTTTCCCTGACCCTCTCTTCCTTTTCTTTCACTGTTTCCCTGACCCCCTCTTCCTTCTTGGAGATTCTCCGAGTGGGCCGCCTTCTGACTCTCTCGTCCTCCTCCTTGGGCTGTTCCGCCTCCTCCTTCTTCACCTCTGTCTCTTGGACCTGCTCTCGCTCCTTCTCTTCCTTGACCCGCTCCTTCTCTTCTTTCACCCTCTCTTTCTCCTTGGCCTTTTCCTCCTTCTCCTTGACCCTCTCCTCTTTCTCCTTCACCTTCTCCTTCATTCTCTCTTCTTTCTCCCTGACCCTCTCTTCCTTGTCTTTCACCTTTTCCCTCATTCTCTCCTCCTTTTCCCTGACCCTCTCTTCCTTCTCTCTCCTCTTCCTCTTGTCGACCTCTTCCTTCTTGTCGGGGGAAGAATCTGTGTCTGAACAAACAGAGGGGAAAGCGTGACGAAGTTAGCCTCTTTGAGAATCACGGGCCATTAAAACGACACTTTCTCGAAGGTGCGATGGCAACTGCCTCAGTCATAGACACAAACCTAAAAACCTCGCAACCCAGCTCCTAGGACTGCGGCATACTCTCATCGTTCTAGAGCTGGGGTTCTCGAACTCCGCAAGCTCGAGGAAACTCTCTCTCAAGCGACGGCCGAGGAACCCCGCCCGTCTTGGCATCGCCGCAATAAAGCGGCCAAGAAGCCTACAGACCTTGTAAACGACAAAGGTAGAAAATGGGGCCAGTTGGTGATTCACAATATTTAAAAAAGCGCAACTCGACACAGACAAGGAAGGTAGACAAAGATACAATGCTAACTTACAACCAAACTTTATTTTTGTAGTCACTTAGTGTACACTCTTGTTGACGCCGGTTATATATATCACAGGCGACTACTCTGTCTCCCTTGTTCGTGTCTCGTTGCACGTCTTAAAATATTATGAATCAACAACTGGCCCTATTTCCCACTCTTGTTGTCTAGAAGGTCCGTAGGCTTCTGTTGGTGGGGACAAGGGAAGGTCCTTCCTGCCGCCCTCAGCTTGTGGGTGACTATAGAGAGGCACATAGCTGTACATCAACGGGAGGCTCAAATCTGCTAGAATAGCGCTCAAACTGCAAAAACACTAATATTGGGGGGAAGGGGGGGCTGCAAGGACGGGCGGACAAATCTGCGATATCTAGTAACCATCTACGGTAAGACTTGGGAATATGAAACACAGTTTGAGCACCCACGTTCTACAACTCAAAATGGCCGAAGCCGTAGACACGCCCGGCGTGAGCGACGAATTTCTCCAGATCCAACGCCGTTTCCTTAGACCGGCAGTACAACGCTTAAACCAACTGCCAACGTTTCGAGTGCCGCTCACCTTCGAGTGCGCCGCGTACGAGCAGGTTCTTGTCCTCCTCCGAGAGTGCGCTGAGGCTGATCCTGCTCGAAGGAGGGGAGAAGGTGGCACGCTCGTGGCCCAGGACCACGGCTGCCCTGCGGCACACGTGCTTGATGCGTGGACCCTTGCTGACCTTGGCTGGAAGGCATGGGGGAGCACAAACAAAGAAGACGGTCAGGAGGCAGCTGCCGCGACGACAGACCTTCGTAAGGACGCAGCATCCGTAGCAACTCGTGGAATATGAACGGTAGTTTGTATCGGTTGGCATGAGCAATGAAATTTATAAAATTTATGCAGCATTAAAGAAAAAATTAAATGTTGACAAATCTGGTTGTTTTACCAGAATTTTATGTATCAGATTTGCTAACAGCGAGCAATGGGAGCTAAGACTTTGCTAGAACATTGTACCACTCTGTAATCAGAATTTGGGGGTCATTTTTTTTTAAGGGGGGGGGGGGGGGTATTTTTTCCACAGATTCAGTGTTTTGTGTGAAAATTGGTTATACCTAACCAATTTACAGAAAAATACACCAAACCTATAAACCCCCCCCCCCCCCCCAAAAAAAAAAAACAAAAAAAAAAAACATTCATTGAAACACACAGAATTTTAATTATAAATAAGGACGAGTCACCAAGCACTGAGAAAAGATGAGAAGGGGAGCATGAACAATTTGCAAGACCCACGTCTCCCTGTCAAGAACTGCATTAATTTGTTGCCCCAATCCTTTTGTCACAGTGACAAGATGAGGCTGACTTTTATAGACAACCATTTGGACAAAAATATGTCAATGAAACATAACTGGAGAAGTTTAAAAGTGAGTTCATTAATTCTTTTAGCTTCCTTCCAACGTTTTGATGCCCAAAGTTGTATAAAAAGTTATTACAGGACCCTATTGCATTCATTTAAGTGCACTACAACAAAATATATCGGAACTTCTTGGAAGTGCCCATAATTGCAGTGGATAAGAAAGACATATCCACAACCTCAGAGAAGCAAAGCTCCTTGAATAACGCTAGCCAAAACTGCAATGCAAAGACATGACTCACTTAAAGCGCCATTAATATGGTTCATGATTTTGACATAGACACAATTTATGCGTTGAATAAGTAAGAACCAAACAAGATGTCTAATGAGTGTAACAGATTTTCTGTACCAGTGCACTGTTACTGCATTGTAGAACCCGATAAATTAAAGTTACAAGGAGCACAACACAACATAAATATCAAAATGAGGGCATGCCAACTGAAAGCTTTAGAAATGTGTGAAACCGCTGCTTACAGGAATCGCTACTAGAAATTTGTGCATCTAGCGAATCCTCTGGACTAGAAAGAACAGGTTTTGGCATCTCAGAAGGTCCCTCTGTACCTAGAAAACAGAAATAAAAACATCAGCAAGATACCCAGGAGTACTTTCCATGTCATATCAGTATACATCACCACCCTATATAGCAGTAAAATAGCACAGCTTCGTTTAAAAGCCAGTAAGCCAAGAAAAACGGGTTTGTCAAGACAACGGGGTATTACGGAAAATTTTTTGATTAGGCCAGACTTCCATTACAGAAACAACAAAAAATAATTAAATTTAAGCCTGTTTCCAAAGCCTCCCAGACTACAAGTCTCACAATTAAAAGTGGTACAGTCAAGACCAGTTATAACGAAGCCAGTTATAATGAAATAGCGGCACAGCGAAGCGGTCACGATTTCCCATTCCCTTTTGCACTTCGTTAACCGAAGTCGATTAAAAGGAAATAGCGGATATAGCGTAGTGATTTCCAATTCCTGTTGACTTCGTTATAACTGGTCTTGACAGTAACATCTTTCTGTCAGGAAAAGTAAAGTTCCACATTCAGTTAAGCCATCTCCACCAATAAATGGGAACTTAAAAAACGAGCAGTCACGGCGACAGCTGCAGCATGCCACGGTGAGGTCGTTGGGCATCGGTGTCGCATTCACGCACCATGGATTCTTGACAGCGAAGTCTTTCGGCTTCATTCTTACAAGCGTGCACCTCACTGTTCTCGCGGCGACGACCGAGACGCAACGCCAGCGCGTCTTTCGGCATCTCACAACAAGCGCGATGCTAGCACGCGTCGATGCCAAGACAGACGCGTCTGCCGCTTTGGGCGGCTCAGGGATTCACCGACAACGACATAATGCGTAGGCTTTGTCCTCTAGGTAGTAGTTGTTGTAAAAAAAAGCTATCCCAAAACTTTGGTCTAAAAAGAGGCTTTTCGTGTAAGGCTTGTCAAATTATGAGGTGCTGGAGAAAACCAGCCTTCTGCGTTAAATCCTTATTTCAAACCCTTTTTGTTTGCGTTCCACCCATTGAAAAGCATGTGGGAAGTGCCTCAGCATGCACCTCGTATCGCTGCACTGCAGTGTTGCTCCGCAGCACAAAGGCCGTCTGCTTTCATCGCCATCACCATGGCAATGAACGCCAATTTTCTCAATGCTGTCTGCTAGTCAAAATTTAATAGTTTTGTAATGAGCAACCGGAGACTGTCGCTGTGAGGCGGCGTAAACGCAAGTGAGGGGTGGGTTAACACGCACCCCAGTGATACACATGCCGTCCGGACAGGTCATTCGGCGTTAAATGCCATGGTAACGGCAATGAAAGCAGACGGCCTTTTTTCTGCAGAAGAACACTGCGGCACAGCGGTACGAGGTGCGTGCTGAGGCACTTCCCGTATGCTTTTCAATGGGCGGAACACTAACAAAGAGAGTTAAATAAGGGCACTACACACAAGAAGCACACGCACATGTTTGTTCCTCAAATATTGTACACAAAACGGATGGTCAAAGTTGTGGCATAGCTCTGTGGTGGCACGCCCGCTTCACACACGGCGGACCTGGGATCAAATCCCGAGAGCTTTGCAGCAGCGGGTGTTCTTTTCCGAGCACTTACCGACATCGACGACGGGCACGATGTGCCCTACATTTTACTACGACGGATGTCATTTCCAGTAATGGGAACAGCCCATGACAGTTATTGCTGTAAAACAAAATCTAATCTGGATATGCAGACTGCATTTCTGTAGACTTTAGATGTATTCAAACTTCTGTCAACCTCGGATGTTGTGTGTACCTCTATACTGGAAGCAACTTTCCGTGGTATTTCTGAAGAAAGGAGAAGTGCACAGCTGAGATACTCCGAGTATTTCTTAAAAAAATAAGAAAAAAAAAAGTGCCTCTTCTTTCCTAAGTTCCCTCCCCATTTTGCTTAATTTCACTCACCAGAGAGAAGTCATGTGACACAAACAACTTTTAATTGAGTTTGCAGGCACCCTAGACACCTAATAAAAGTCTAATATGACAGGCATGCTTAGAATGATAAGTGTCTCCTGAGAACAGTGTACATAACATCATAAAGCAAAAATTATGCCAGACTTTCCTTTAGTGTTCCTTACCCAGAGTTTTCTGCATGCCTTTTTCTTTGCCAGAGCTAACTAGCTTGTGCTATACTCCGTGTCACTAGTTGCGTGCAGTACAAGCGAAGGCAATGCCAGGCGAGGGGAGGAAGAGAGAAACCTCCTCTCCTCTCTAACGTTCCAAGTGCTCTCCCTTTCTCCCCTCGCGCTCCATTGCCCTCCTCCCCCGTCCCGCCTTCCTAGAGCTCGCCCTTTCTCTCTTTTGCCTGGTGTTGCCTTCGCCAGCACTGCACACAACTAATGACACAGAGCCCTGGAAAACGCAAAATGAAACCTTACAGAGTTTTTCTAGTCAGCAAACACCTTCCTTCCCAAACCTGGAGCGATCGGCGATTGTTCAATTCTGAGTGAGGAAACTCACCGAGGCCCCCCTCCCCAACGGTCCGTGAAGACTTGCGTTTCCTGGTCAGCTGCTGGTGCCTAGGGCCGCCAGTGAGGTGTACCAAGTGCCTCTGCAAATGCCGCTTCTGCGTTGCCGGGATCTCAAACAGGGTCCAACAAGAATGCAGCAGGCAGCCTTTGCACTTGACTTTTCTGCTCAGGTCACATGACCCCGGCACTGAAAAAAGTGACAAAACATGTTCTTGCCGCTTTCAACAGCAAAACTCCCAAATGGTGGCAACAATGTGGCTACAACTTGTGACGAAAGGAGTCCGACGTATGGCCAGAAAGGAGAACCCCCCCCCTCAAACTACCACACCCTCCCATCCCCCCAAAAAAAACCACACTTTGTCAAAAAAATTTGTTTTTCCTTTTTTGGTTTGTAACAGTGCTTGAACCCTGAGCCCAAACCCACAAAAGTCAGGCGAAGAGTAGGAGAGAGTCAATGTGAGCTTAAGAAGAAATTGAAAGAAGGAAACTGGGGGAGGGATTTCAAGATGGTTGTATGTCTGTCTTTAAAAGAGCAAAACAAGCCAACCAATCATGCTTTGTTAGCACAGGAGATTGTCAGACTCGTAGCATAACATTGTGTTCTGGAAATTTTGTTGATTTAACTCCAGAACGGTCTTGGGGCGCATGCCACATAAATCACACAGTGCTATATGATGAAACTGGCTATTGCCTTCATTCAGCCAAACTCATAAAACGCTCAGGTAGGCATTTTTGTCTTAACGGGGCCCTGCGACGACTTTTTACTGTTTTTTAATTTGCACAGAACCTGAGCGCATCGAACGTAGTAACGTAGTGAACTTTTTCTTTTCTCGAAATTCGCTTTATTTTAAAAGTTAGAGGCATATTAAAATTACAAAAACAAGCAAAAAATAACCTCCTTCATGACGTTCTTGGTCCTCTGTTTCTCCCCTTTTCCTGCGCCAAAGGATTCCCCTTGCCACGGCGACTGAGGAATGTAGGGAAGGAGGGGAAGACGGGAAAATGAGGTGAGGCCGAGGAGAGAGAGCTGTTGGGGAACGGGGCAGCTCTCTCCCCTCGGCTGACCAGGACCAACAACGTCACGATTTTGTCACATGCCGGGCGCGTTTGACATTACGGGGCACCCCCGTAGGAGAAGGAGGTTTCCGTGTCCTCCGGTTAAAATATGACGCACTGATATTTAGTTACTCTCTCCGTGACCGCTGGGTTACTTGAACCACAAGAGATGTGGAAACCGCAAAAAAGGTAGACGTTTAAATAGGATTGCAGGGCCCCTTTAAGATGTCGGACGAAGTGCCAAAGGTCCAGAATGTACTGTGCCGCAAAAGTGGCGTCCACGATGCTTGCTGCCAGTGCACCTGCCAAATTCTGTTTAAGGGGATACCGTGTCTAATTCATTTACAGAGGTTTACGTCAGGAACTGCTGAAGCCAAGAAAAGCCTGTTAATGAAGGCGCAGATGTAAAATAATCACGCACTTATAGAAACGGTGCTGCTCTTACCTTCCCCCATGCACCGAAATTTAATCGGCTTTCTGAGGAATCGGTTGTAGAAGCTGAAGCAGAATCGGCAGCTGCGCTGACCATACTTGACTGTGATTTCCGCAGATGGCTTGCTCTGTCTGCAGACAGCACACTGAGAAACTTCGGTCAGGGACGCACCTCTCTCTGAAAATAAAAATATTTGCAAACCAGCGTGAGGAACCAAACCGGAACCATAAACGTCAAGCTTTGGCAACCACACGGAAGAGTCCCCACGAGGTACCATTTCGTTATGCTTGATTTGTTAGTATACAACAAATAGGTGGTCAGTTTCAAGAAGTCCAGAGTTGATCTGATTATGACCCTTGTAGTGGGCACACACAACACGGCACTGTTTTTGCACAAAGCAAGCACAATGACATATGCATGAAGACATCCTACAAGGCAAGAAACAACCCAGAACCAGATAGACAGTTTGCATAGTTTTAGAGAGATTTTATCATAAAACTCGCAAGGTACCTCCTAACCAATTTAATAAAGAAGTTGTAACTATAAGAAGAAAGCTCAAGTGCTCCTCTTTTTGTTTTCTATGCTAGTGTTACTGCATTTTCCAAACTGACAAAAGCAAATTGATGTGCTCTGATTATCAAATCACTTCAATCCATATAACGCAGAGAGCAAGTCATCTGTTTCTTGGGCAGGAGTTGCGGTGACGTCAGAATGATGCCGAGCTCCGATTGGCTTTGATTGAAATGATAGTGGGTAGACCTCAATGCTAGATGCCTTGAGGTGTACCCACCATTTTTTTGATCAGCCAATAAGAGCCTGGCGTTTTGACATCATCGCAACCCCTGTGCAAGAAGGAGACAAACTTGCACCCCGCATAGTTCCAGCAAAGTTCATATTGTTACATCACAAAAAGTATGTCCTGCGAATTCTCTCACAAAGTAACAAAATGATTAGTAACACATAAAATATCCTTTGTACTAAATTAACCTGAAAATGCCAAGCAATCCTTCATTTGAGAAGCATAAGAATTATGGTTAAATAGATATTTAAAAATGATGGCCAGCAAAGGTGCTTCTAAGCTTCCTTTCTGAACAGATTTTTGAGCAGTTCAAGAAGCTTGAGCTGCCACTCCTTTCGAAACAGCACCCCTCAAAACAAAAGTGAAACCATATATTTTTCTTTTGATCATCGTAACACCACAAAACATATGGAGGCCTGATGTTGGGCCCACAAAGGACTGATGGTTAATAGGCTGCATATGGTACCGTAGTTTCTGGACTATAGTCCGCACCCTGTGCATAGTCCGCAAAAAACAATTTGGGGTCAAAAATAAAAGTTTTTGCTTAGATAGTCCGCATCCAGTGCACACTCTGCAGGCCAGACATAGTCCGCACTTAGTGCCCAGTCCAAACGTAAAACTTATGACACACAGCACACCTTGACAAATGCCTGCTGTATTAACGTGCAAGGAAGCTTGTATCATACATAAATCAACATTAATATGTTCTGTCACAATGAACAATCTAGAAAAAAAAAAAAGAAATCCTTGTATAGTCTGCATTGGGTCAACTTTTAATCATGTATACTCCACGGTCTATAGTCCAAAAGAAACGGTAACTGCATTTATAAATTTGTGGCTTTTCCCCTGTCATTTTTAGCAATACTCCAAGACTAATTTGGAAAAATGGATGTTAAAGAACCACAAATAATAATAATTCAAGCCATTGTCCATACTTGTGCTATTTTTCACCAATTCACATCATTCCCAATATGCTGAAAAGATATGTGCAGGCGCTTTGGGCATACGCAGGTATATTGTCACAGTAGAAGTAGCATATCTTCCCCGTTACCCCTGACTCTGGTATGTCTTTGGAAACTCTCAACAGTTTCAGGTCACCCTTGCCTTTTCTCTACAATGACGAAATAAGTTGCCATACATCCTGTAGTGTGGCTAATTTCTTGCAGAGATGCGTATATGCCATACATTGGCTGCCTCTCACGTTGTAAACATCATAGATAAAGGCCTCATTTTGAATGTAACACAGTCCTAAAAAATAAACCTAGGGAACAAAAACTAGCTGTAGGGCTCTCGACACAAAACCAAAGCTGGTTTGCATCTCAAACAGTTCGCTATGCAGTCGAAATCAAGCAGGCAACAATGCGGGGCAAAGTATAAAGTCTCCCCAACAAAGAGGGTCAGGGGTTTTAAACGGCGCATAAATCAAATGCATACTACAGAATGGTGTAACTTAACCGAAGGAATGCCCAGTGGTTAAGACAGGATGCAAAAGTTTCAGTCCAATATGTTACTTGAATCAAAAGGTACGAGTGATTTCCTGAAGAGTTTGGGTCGCAGCGTACCGTCCTTCCAGGAAGCAGGTATAGGCAGGCTGTCTGACATTGTGGCCGGCTCTAGCTTTTAGTTCTATGCGAAGTCATCTCTACATTGAAACTACCTTCCAGCACAATAACATGCAGACGAAAAATTGGGCCACCTGAATTGTATTGTGTAGCCAACTTGCATCTGCTACAAACGAAAGACGGTGGCTTGTCTTCTAGACCTTCACGAAATTGCTTCTGACTTCTGATTCAGGTAACATAGTGTGCTGAAATCTCTGCATCCTTGCTACGAAATTCCAGCACTCTGCAATGCATGGTTCATTAGTACTGCAATGCAAAAAATCTCTAACGCTTCCTAGGGAACGATCAGACTGAAGTGGATTACATTTCTTCAAAAGAATGGTTGGCAGGTGCAAGCTTCATGCCCTGGAAATTCTCTTCTCAGTAGTTTCAGCAACCGAAACGAGTTATGTGTGGAACGTCGCTAAAAAGTCTTTCTAGTATTGTCGGGACAGAATGAGCTGTTAAAAGCTGCCGAAAATGATTAATGGTTTCTCACTAGAAATGTCCCAATGCAGACAAGACCCCAAGAGCTGAGTCCAATGACAATAAAGCAGTTACCACTGTCTCTCACTCTACCCCACACTGAGTTGCTGGATATCCATAAAATAGCAGAGCTTCTAAGCTTCTACTAACTGTCCACCTCTCGGTAGTACAAGCGTCGGTGGGCATTAAACTCAAACGCCTTTACGCATTCATTGCCCGAAACTGCACACCCCACCCTATTAAAGTTAAGTTCTAAAATGCTAAAGAGATGTCAATGAAGTTAACAGTGACATTAATTTATTTGAAACAAAGAGCTACTCTGTGAAGGTAAATTAAAGGTCATCTCAAATGTCCCAAGCACTGGTGTACCCTACGACGAATGTTTCGGTTGCATTTGCTTGCCTAGCCCAGACGGGGTCAACAGGGCTGCGAGGTATCACTTGACAAGCTCTACTTTTGGAGTGGGTGTCACGGCACTTGGCACTCTTGCAGCATTCGGTGTGCAAACTTGGTTTATCTGTGCCTTGGTGGCTGAAACACGTCTCCGACTAGTGCATTCAACGCATCCTCGAGTGTGTTCCCTTAATTTCTGCCCCAGGACATCACACTCGTATCATGCTGCTGCCTATAGCGATCCCGGTGGTAGCAAAGCAGGAAAGGAGGATATGGCAGACAATTAGTGCTGCTGCAGGTCTCTTGCACAACAAAATCCCGCAACGCGATTAGTTGCTACCTCGGGACTACCTTCAATGGACGGGCAGCATGGGGTGCTAAATATGCCAGTCGAAGACACATTCTAGGTGCTGCACCTGCACTCTCCTGCACTGAAATTGGAGGTGCAGCCCGCCTCGTTCGACGGGCAAGTGCAGGCCATCTCGGAACATGTCCGGAACTCCAACCCCGCAAACGCGCGAGTTTGTACGCCCTCACCTTTCTTGACTCCGGTGACGTGCGGCTTCTCCCGCCGCGTCCTGGCCGGCCCCTCGGTGGCCTCCAGGACCCCACACGGCTCGCGGGCCTCCCTGGGGCCCTCCTCCCCCGGGCTCTCGTCCAGGGGCTGCCTGAGCCTGCGCAGCGTGCGCTGACTCAGCCGCAGCCTCGCCTTGCGCAGCACCACGTTCTTCTTGCGCGTGCCCCCCTGCAGCCGGTTCTCCCACTGCGACTTGAGCAGCCGCTCAATCTTGGCGGCCACCTTGTCCTCGAGCAGCCCCCCGGAGGTGCCCGGCGGGGAGTTGGCCGGCACTTCCACGGTGTCCTCCTTGGTCGCCATGATCTCGGCATAGCGGGACACCATGTCCCGCTTGATGGACTCACGGCAGCACGAGTCCGAGGAGGTGCGTGAGCCGCCACTGCCGCTGCCGCCCCGGAAGGCGAACGGCGACCCCAGGTTGGCTTCTGACAGTCGCATCTGCACTTTGAGTGACGGCTTCCAGGGACGCTTCCCCTGCACCACCAGGGGACGGTCGAAGAGGCCCACCCTCGTCGTCCCCGCTGCATACGGTTCCCCTTCTGCGTCGGCCGCCGTTTCGGCTCCCCGCTCCCCTCCGAGCCTCACGTCGAGCTCCGCGTCTCGATCCGTGTTGGGTTTCCCGTCCTCCGCAATCCTCTCCTCTTTTGCGGTCAACCGCTCCAGCACCACGACGGGGGAATCTCCGGGCGCCTCGACGGAAGGCTGTGACATTGGCCTCTTTTTCTGCAACTGCTGCGGAGCGTCGTCCTCGCTGTCTTCCAGGTAACGCTTCCGGGGGATGATCCTCCGAGACGACCGCGCACTCACAGCCGGCAGCTGGAAGCAGCCCATCTTGAGGGCCAATGCAGCGGCCCCCCCGCGCTCTGTCTGCTCCTCCTTGCCCGTCCAGGTGCGTCCTCGCTTGGCGCGGTCGAGCAGCCGGTGTGCAGCCTGCCTGCCCGGCGTCTTCCTCGCACCTTCCCCTTTGGTCTGGCCGGCCGCCGAAGAGGGCATCTCCGGGTGGCGAGCTCGAGGCGCATTCTCCAGCTTGGGAACTTTGCTGTCCCTCCCGCCGTTCTTCCCGCCGGGGTCCGGAGGGAGATTGTTGGTTCTGCCCACCAGCTTGCTGGTGGACCTGAGAGACACAGTTTTGCTTCTGTTGCCGCTTGCTGTTTCGTCCTTGCTGCTAGGCTCCGATGAGATGTCGTCATTGTAGTGCCCCAGCTTCTGAACGGCATTCCTGACGTCCCCGGAAGAGAAACCGCCAAACTCCTCGTCCTGAACAGCGGGAGAAAGAGAATGATGAGCGTACGTGCAAGGAAAAGCTATGACGCTATTACTGATCATGAGTGCCTCGAGCTCCTTTCGTGTAGCCAAAATATCCACGAGAGCTGCAGTCGCAGCATAGGACGCATTTCAAGCTCCTATAGCGCATGGTACCGTTGACTATCGTTTCCTTGTTTATATCTTTTTGCAGGTTAGTCAATCTAAAATATTTTTTTATAGATATGTGGCGGTCACATTTTAGCGATGAAGTAAAATACTTTAACTGACATGATATTCCCTTGGCAGATTGGACAAATAAATCAAAACTTAACAGTTTATCGTACAAATAAAGCAGAACTTTTGTGTGAGACCAATTTGCTCGCGCAAGAAAAGTGACACACCAAGCTTAAGCTTTTTTTTTACTTGGCACAATAATACCCATGGCACGGTCACTTCATATAATATCACTTGTGCTTGACCAAAAAGCATATTACACCATCTTAACAATTTCCTTGAAAAGTGAGCCCAAAGGGACAGATGCAATAATAAAGCAACAGAACAAAAAAAGAAGAGTGCCAATACTTATCCACCTTTTGTCCCCAACATTCTCACAAAACTCTTCTGTGTGCCAACATCAACATCCTACGTTTTGAGCAACAAGTATGTTAACAACCGGTGTCGAAGAAAGGGGAGGCTTTCTTTTTCTATTGTATCTTTAGAAAATACACGAGAATAACCCACCAACCTAGAAGTTTGGCCAAAGGCTGACCATTTATTTTTAACCTCTGATACTTTCTTTTCCAGTTTTTCTGATGGCCTCAAACAAATATGCAAGCTGGATTGTGAGGGTGCACATTGAGACATGCTAAACATTGTTTTTGTTCCAGTTGTGAACTACATCCTCCTCCAAAGTTTACATAAAAGAGGCTCATTCCCTTTCTCACTGATCAGCACAAAAACAAAAAAGTAAAATAGGATCAGTGCAGCGAAAAATATCTCGCAGGCCAGCTTTTCAACAGAAATTCAGTTCACTAAGAACCAGATGACTGGGATGCAATTGCACATGATTGTTCTCAATTAGGAAAGACTCCATCCATGAGCATGATTAGTAGTCACGAGTAGCATTATAGTGTGCCATTCTAAAAACATGCTCACCTTGAAAAATGTTGCAAAAGGAAAATTACCTGCACCAATAAAGTTTAAGCATTATTGTTTGAACGTAATAGGAGAGATCAGAAGGCATTCCCATTTCTTGCACATTTGGATCATTAACGCTTGTTTTATGCAGCTACAGTGACAGTCTTTTTCCGCTGAAATGTTAAAGTAATGAAAAATTAAAGTAATCTGGAAAATAAAAAAATAAAAAAAAATGTGCATGCATGCACGAGTTAAAAAGAGCTCAGCACCTTTAATGTCAAGAATAACTGACAACTAAAAATGCATAACACCTCACACATGAAGATATGGTAATATTTTTTGTGTGCTAATACCGTTATATTTTTAAAGAGATAACTGCATAAAAAAAGGGGGGTTGACCCTTGCATGTGAAGGTCCAGTAACTTAAAACTAATACATTAGTTTCACTAGAAGCTAAAGTATGCAGGCAATCTAGTTAGGAAACATTATATATAACCTAAACCCCGAGGAACGAAGAAATCAAATTTTCCGTCATTTTATTTTTCCCTGTCTCAGGGTTTAGACAATGAGATTTGTTTCCATTAATGAAGTTGGCACGAACTACAATAATGGAGGAACACTCTTGATGCAACACAAGCAGAAGCATAAAACCATATATTTTCCAACATTAAAAAAAAAATATATATATATATATATATATATATATATATATACATATATCGTATGCTATTTACATTAACATTCTAATGATAATGAGAAGATTTTATTAGAGTCTATGACAAATGTTGCACCGCTGGGACAAAACACGCCGAGCTTGAGCGCTGTCAAAGGCGCACAATAAAGAATAAGAACAAAAGAACTATGACATCAAAACAACGCCAAAAGCAAAGAAAAATGGTAACGAATTGTATAGCGCGTGCTTGAAGCAGTCAATGACATGCCAAAGTACCAACAGTTGTGAAGAAAAAAAAAAGCCAAAAATTATTTAAATGGCGTCTGTACCAACGGTCTATTATTAGAAAGAAAACCCTCTTGGACAACGATAAAAAGGCGTAAATATTATAATTTGCAAAAGCAATAACAACTACGCATTGCGCGCAGTACAACCAGAAAATTGACACTCCGCGTTTAAACCTTCGACATGCACTCGGTTCAAGAGATCAATGGAAAAGATGGCGAAATACGGTTCGGGCTTTTAAAAGCATGGAAACATGCGTCTACACTATTGATCCCACGCTCGTGACAGTCGCTCCGGTTTACTCGGTTGGGTCTTTCGCGTGATTTAGAAAAGAAACAAGGATACGCCATAACTCAATGTCAGCCACAACCACGACGGAGCCGACCGCAGCTACGAGCGGCGTTCTAACGGTAAAAGGAGAAAAAAAAAAATCATCCTACTACAGGTAAACAGTATGGTGGCTCTGCCGCGATGCACCGTGCTGTGAACAACGTCGAAGTTTAACGAGAATCACATTCACTGCGATTACCGGTACGCGTGACGATAGGTGGGTTGTCACCCAGATCTACGGACCGAATCCGAAATAAAGACCGGACAGATACTAAATAACAAGAAAAGGGGGAAGAGAATAAAAAATAAAAATAAAACATCCAAGTCGGAACAAAATGTCAGAGGGCTTGCAACGACCATCCATCCGAACAATTAGCACGCTGTTTTCTCCGTTTCGAAGACGAGATTAAACGAAATTCGGGAATGAGTCGGGACCTGATCGAAAATTTTCGGCCGCGAGAAACGTTCGCAAGCCCTACTAATACCCGTACACCAAGGCAGACGCGTCTTTTTCAACACGGTGCAGCCGACCAAGAGTGAGTCGACTGGGCCCATCGCAACTTGCTTCAAGCGTTGCACAAAGGCGTCGGGTGGTGTCAAACTACGAGAAATGCACATGGAAGCGCACTCGATGACGGGAAATTCAGTTGCGACGCCAAACTTGGGGCGTTAATGCTCGTTTGCTCTAAAACACAGCGGCGAGAAAAAAAATACTGGCTGCGGGGAGACCTAGGCCTAAATACATGTTAAAGGTTTTAGATATGTAAAACGGCCTCCATATAACAACATTTCACGAATAGTAATTATCGGTGTCCCAACAAGTGTGTCCGATAGCTGAGATCACTCTAAGCGTCCCGATAATCATTTTTAAGTCGGCTCTCATCACCTCGCGAAGCCATCTCAAATACGCTATGTGTCGTAAGATGTCACCTACCTCATCTGACGCTCCGAACAGCTCGTAGAAGCTGCTCAAACTTCTTTGAATGTTTGACACAACACTTAACGATGGATCACACTGTAAACGATTCCTATTTTCTTCGTAAGTAACAACGTTTCTTCCAATTCTCTGTCCAGGACATCCAGGGAAACGCAGTCGCGCCATTTTGGATGGTGCGTTTTGAGGCCCGTCGCGGCCTTCCGCCCAGAAAAAGAGTGCCAAATGTTTCGGGTCGCATAACCGCTAAAAAACAAATTTTAACTGCTAAAATAATTAACTGGAAATATGTTCTAAAACTGTTTATCACTTTGTTGGAAGTATTTTACTATAGTTTATAATAAAACTCGATGGAAGCGGACTATGTTCCGAGCCCGTAAAGGTACATGTGTAGTACTGCGCTACTTCGCGCCATATTCAATGTTTGGAAGTATTTTGATTCCCTCTTCGTTGCAACAACGCATATGTTTCCTTGCTCTTTGGCCGGTCATAATGACGTATTTCAGTCTAGAACACTTTTGATTGATCGCACCGAAATGCTTAACTAAAATTGTGTCATTTTTTTGTTAAATCTTGCGTTGATTTCTGACAATAAATCGGAGTGTCGAATTGATGCTTTCATGATCATTGACTTGTCCTCTGCGTCAAAATAAAATCGATTAACACACTTTTTTTTTTCTTTTTTCTTTTCTTTTAACAGTTGAGTTTTTGAATAACGGATGCCTCTGCCCTTTCTTTAACAGCCCGGTGGAAAACTACAAAAAAAAAAAAGAAAAGTAAAAAGAAACCTTTTTTTTTATTTTTTTTATTTTACGTTTTTGTTGTGAAAATTAACATGTCTTCGAGACGAAGAGGCCTTTTTCGTAATACTGATTATTACTTTTTTTTTTTATTGTTGGTGGGTTTGTTTATTGTATGGCGATTTGTGAATATGCAGCAACAGAGTGTTTCAGAATTCGTCTGCTCCAAAACGTCTGTTTGCGCACTCTCAGCCATCTGGCGCTTGAGCGCTCTATGCGGAGCGTAAATTCGTCTGCTTCTTTTGTAGAGATTGTGGTAAAGTCAGTACGCCGAGCTCTGATAGGCTCTGAATGAATGATAGTGGGTAGACCTCAAGTAAGCTTGCCTCGAGGTCTACCCATTATCCTTCGTTTAGAGCCAATCACAGTGCGGCGTCTTTCTGACGTCACCGGAACTCCTACAAAAGAAGCAGACGACTTCCTCTCCGCATTAATTTGCGCTCCGCGTAATCAATCGCCAGGCGTATTTCATTCGCGCGTAGCGCACCAAAGGCAATATTCCGACAATTCCGGTTATTCGAGACGCGAAATATAACATGCGAGCCGATTCAACCCGGAGAAGAGAGCTTCGCTAATTGATTGTAGAGCAAAGTGGATTAGTTACTTTTTTATTGTGCCGCCTATTGACTTTTGCGCTGATATTTTGTTGTGGAGGTGTCTTTGCACGCTCAGCGTCGATAAGGGTGTGCCACTGAAACGCGAGCTTTTAGATAACCGAAATTGATAAGCTGCGATCGCCCGCGTCTACGAAACCGACGAAACTCGTTGAAAATATAAAGGAAATGAGGGGAAGAGAGAAAGCAATTGACGGGAAAAAGACCTGGTTTTATTGCGCAAGCGGCTAGCAAACAATCGCCTTCCGATATGCAATCGATTGGGGAGAATATATTACCGCTCCTCGCCTTCGCGTGCTTCGATTTTATTCATTTTCTTCGTTTATTTTCGCTCTCCCTTCTTGTTCTCTCCCGTTTATGTTTGAGGTTTATTTTGTTGTCAAACGCTCGGGGAACGTTCTCGAAAACACGCAGCGCGCGGCGGCGTACGCGTACACGTACGCTCTTCACCTCAATTTCGCGATTTGCTTTTTTATTTTATCCGACGCAGTCAGGCTCGCTCGTCGAGCGACGCTCGATGGCTTGAGGATGCGCGTCATCGTTGTCGCACAGGGGTCACTTGTTCAGCTGAAAATCGCTGCACGCTCATCGTTGCTGATCACAGTTTTTTTTTTTTTTTTTAGATGGGATTTGTAAAGTGGGTGTGCTTGGATCGTGTTTACAACGCTGTCCAGTATCGACCGGCTTGGTCAAGTTCACGTCAGTCAAACAAACACAACCATTCCAGGACTGGACAAGCGCACGCGTCACCGCCTTTCTCTCTCTCTCTCTATTTGTCATTTCTCTTTCCTTCTTTCTTTTACTGTCCTTTTTTTTTTTTTTAATTGAAGTCGGAACGTTGTTTTGAACGCCGTTCAAACAAAGCAATGGCTTCTTTTATTTGTTCACATGGCCTGCGTGCGCGGATCGTGGGTTGGCCATGAAGGTCGTGGCATTCGAAGAGTGACAAAGGAAAGAATTCTGCACGCGACTTGCAATGACTTTTCGGTTTGGAAAGAAATTCACGGACATCGGGAGGCCGGGGGTACATTCCGGCCGATCTTGCAGTGACGAAATGATGAATCAATAGCCCGCTTGCGTTGTGCAGCGCTGCCCGCGGCTGAAACATCCACTTTTCAGGAGCATCGATTACTGTGACGCAATCGCGGCTAGCTCCGCCGCTCCGACCGCCCGTGCAAGGGCACATTGTCCATTGCGTCATCGCGGGCGCTGCTCTCTATGGTCCTTTGTTGGCGTCGTCTCAGTCGGCTGCTTTGGGCTCTGCTCAACGCTCGGTGTCTCAGTTCGCTTTATAGAACAGCTAGAGCAGCAAAAAGCAAAAGGAGCGGCGTCGTTCATTCCTGGAATGAATTTTGCCCCGTGTGTCGCAAGACGTAACGTTTGGACGATGTGCTTATAGATTTCTGGCCGAAAGGGATTTCATTCGTACTTTTTCTTTCTTTTGTTCGCCTTACAACTTGAAGCGCGGTGATAGCGCTATAGAAACAAAAATATATAAAATATGTACCAACTCCGATCTATGACGTCATTTTAATGCGGTGGCGCTGCTGTTGACACTGCGCGTGCGCAAACGCTTTCTCTCACGCAGATCTGGTTGCTGTGCGCGCGCAATGCCCGCAGCTGGGGAGGGCAATACGCCCGCTTGTTTGTAAACAACGTGTTGGCACCAGACAGAAACCTGATTTGTAGAGAGAGAGAGAGAGAGAAAAAAAAAAAGAAGGGGGGGAATGCGTATAACATTCTTCAGTTAGAAATATATATGAGGTCGCTCGGGCGCTAAATATCGCTCTGAACGCCATTAAGATGCATTAACGTTTTAATTCTATTCACTTGACATCGATATTTTAGTTGAGTCACAATCGCGACCTAATCTCTCGTCGGAACAAACAAACGACGGAGGTGAAAAACAAACAAAGCAGGATTCTTATTTTTAGCTGCCACTAAATTACGATCCTGTCGCTCCTCTTTTTTTTTTTTTTTTTCGTTTTTTACCTTGTTTAGCGCGTAGAAGTACTTCTGTCGCGTTGTTCCACATTAAATACCCTATCAACGGCATGACGAGCGCCTGTTTTCTTTTTTTACAAGGTACTCAACCGCGTTTTATTGCACTCCCCGTATGCTTCCATAACCCCGTAAAAAAAGTTGTTAGTTTTTCTTTCTTTTCTCTCTCCCACCACTCCTGCTTTCAGGAGTCGTTGCAATTCAATCCATTCAATCTCGCTTCTCGCGTTGGTGCGGGAGGGACTTCCGCCATGCACGTCAAAAATCTCTCTCTCTCTTTCATATATATATATATAGAAGGAAAAAGCTTTCTTTCTCGATTCCACATTGATATATCTTTCTCGATCCAAACCATCCTCCGAACACCCAACACCCGAACGAACGCGGTGTTTCACAACGCGTTTGGCACGGCGACCGCACGTTCCGCGCAAGAGGCAGCCGCCCGCGCGCTCAGGCTCAGCGAGTACACGCACACACACACGCGGCGCAGTCACTCACACAACCCGAGCAAATTTGCCTCTTTGGCGAAGAATGAGCTCGCTTGGGCGAGACGGCGGGGGCCACCTCCTCAGACACTCTAGCGGCGAAGCAGCTAAATAAATCCGCCGCCGCCGCCACGGCTGCCGCTGTTGCTTCTACGGCTTTCGCAACACGCACTCTTTTTTTTTTTTTCTCCGTGTGTGCCTGCGTGCGTGTGTCTTAGGTTTTTTTGTTTTTTTTCAACAGCCGCCAACTAACAAACTAAGCAAATAAACGCTGTCACTTAAACCGGAGCCTGGGGAAGCAGGAGGGCATCATCGCGCTAGCGCGAAGAAGAGGCTGCTTCGTAATATCAAGTCCTCATGTCGGGTGCGAAGGGTACTTTTGGTTATATACCGCCGACGTCTTTCAAATAATAACAGTCATAATAAATAAAAATCTATAGAAAAAGAAGGCTAAAAGAAAAGAAAAAATAGGAGAGGATGCGGAGCGGGCTCTCGTAAGCTCCTTTTCAAATTGCGTATTACTTTGTTCCTGTTATTTATTTATTTTTTTTTTTTTTTGCAAGTGAAGCGTAAGTAGAGTTTTGTTGTTGCTTCTAACGAGGATTTACAGCGCGAGTCACTCCTTTTTTCGAGAGAGTTGCGATCACCGTGGAGACGTAGCGAAAGGGGTAAGAAAACAAAATATCAACAAAAAGGAAAAAAAAAAGAGTAGGCGAGAATTTTTTTTTTTTTTTTTTTTTTTTTTTTTTAAAGGGAGCGCGGTGGAAAACGACATTCCGAAAATGCTCTTCGTCGTTTTTGTCGTTTTTCGCAGTAGATGCTAGGGGGGGGGGGGGGGGGGGGGGGGACGCTGGGCAGAACACTAGTCAACAAAATAATATCCACAAAAAGAAAAAGCACGCTAAAGATAAAGAGAAAACGGAGAGCGAGAGAAACTTGGAATGGTTTCAACGTCTTGCACGGTCGTCTGCTTCGTCGACGTCGTCTGCACCTTTTTGACTTCTTATTTGTGTCGGCCCGTTGTGTTTTTACTGGGTGATTGTTTTCGCCGGGCTCGGCCGTTCCTCTCTGGATGCCGCGGTGGTGCACGGATGACGGCGTATTTTTAACCCGTCCGTTCCCCGCCCACTCCCTCACGCACAAAAGAAGCGTGGAAAGCGAGAATGCAAAGGGGGCGGAAACGAGGAAACAAATTAAACGCTCACAAGTGTCGCTCCCACTCCTTCGGCGCCTCGTTCGCCCAGCGTGACTCGGCGAAGGGTGCGATCTTCGTGGGCTAATTAGAGCGA